TTTCTCTCTCTCTCTCTTTCTCCCACACACTCACATCTTCACGTAAGAATTGAACTTAACAAGAATTGAATCTCAATTGAACATTCTGATCACATCATGATCATCATGTTGTATATATGTAATAATAATAATATTTATCTGAATGCTCATGAGAGATTGTGAAAAGAATGGAAAAGAAAACAATTGGAAAATATTTTGTTCTTTCTCGATCTTCATGTTCTCATATTCTAAGGTATATATTCCTATCAGAATGTATCAGAATTATTGGAAATCCATCAGAATGCATATCAAGTCATCAAAGAATAAAATACAATTTCAAAACATTTTCTCCATGAAAATGTTACTTCATGAGAGATAATCTCTCCCTTTACTCTCTTTACTCTCTTTCCTCTTCCTTTTTTCTGAAATTTTCCCATGAAACAGAACATTAATTGTCTTTACCAGAATTCTGGTTCTTTACTGAATCAAGGTAAATAGAAATATTCATAAATTTTTCTCTTTTAAATCAAATCATCATGAATTTCAATCAAAAAAATGAAACTAATGAATCTTAGCTCCCATCAGCTGATAAATAATCTCCATTATATAATCAATATTTACACCAAAGAATCAGAACTTATTACTTTAACAACCTCCCAGCAACTAATCTTGATTTATCACTGAAATTGAACATAAACATGAAACACTAAGATTTCATCATGATAATAACGATAATACACCTACTAATCATTTCGAGATTTTTTATCACAAATGTTCAGAGGTTCTTGAAAATTTTTTAGAACCAAACAAAAAACATCTCGAACCCATTAGAATCAATCTAGTAAAAATGTAGCGAAAATTATGTTATACTAATTTAATAGAAATGATCATGAAAGCCCCATGAAATTTCATCAATCCGAAGGTGATTTATTTACACTTAGTATTAGAACTTTTTTTTTACTCAGTTCGATAAATGAAAATTCCCTGTAAACTAGTGAGCATACACACATTTATCTCTAGATTTACAATTATCCTAATTGTTGATTAGCTGATTAAATTTACTTCCCACTGTCAACTTTATCCAAAGCATCACAATAAACATCACACACTCCACAACCACCACCACCACCATCATCATCATCAACACCAAGACTCAAACACATGATGATTAACATGATGTTTCATCTTGTTGATGTTGAAACAAAAGTATTAGGAGCAAGTGGATGATTTTGATGATATTATGTTGATCATTTGAAGCGTAATAATATAATTCAGAAGTGGAATTTGTATATCAATCTTACCCACCCCACCCACTTATATATACCATTATTATTACCATGTGGGTGAAAGGTAATGTGTATATATGGAAGGTGGTGAAAAAAAAATATTCAATGAAATTGTTCATTACTATTGGGTGTCATTTAGATGTGTGAATATGTGTCTTGGTGAGTGCATGTGTGTATGTAAGTGTGTATATTTGTGTGTGTGTGTGTGTGTGTTGAGTCTCCCTCTCGGTGGGTCTATCATGGTGGAAATTGGTTAATGATGGATTCAGTGCACGCTCAGGTAACTTGAAATACAAAAGGAAAAAGAGAATAAAAAAAACTTATTCTTTCAACGAAAATATTTTCTCTTCTTTTTTCATCATCTCCTCCTCTTCTTCCTCCTCCTTTTCCTCCTCATTCACCACCACCACCATCACCTTCAATGGTGACATTGTGAATGCAAATTATTAATCTTCGTGTCTACTATCATTATCTTCATTATTTTATCTTCCTCTTTTCATCTAAATAACAGTAACCTTTTTTTTCATATTACTCTCACCATCTTCATCATGTAGCCTCAATATCACCCACCGCCTTCATCATGATAATGATTAGTTCATTTTCATTGTTCTCGAACTTTTCTCTCTCTCTCTCTTCATTTCATGTACATGGTAATTCATTTTATCGGATAATCAGGTTTAGGGTCACTCTTTTAGTCCAGGTTAATGATGATGGTTAATAATTATCATCTACTGACCAATGGTTGATGATTTTTTTTATATCTCTCATTGATGATTATTATTGTTTTAATATCATGATTAACTTGAATTATTGTTAATCATTATTATCATTACATTTTCATGGTGATTGGTCTTGATAATATCAATTGAATGTCCAGTTAATATATTGAAAGTTTTTAAACTTTCGTTGGTCAATTAGTTTTTTTTTAATTTATCACCAAATTACTAATTGTAAGCAATTAACGTTGTGATTATAAATCATAATTAACATGCAAAAAATGGGCTTCAAGTTTAGTGTTAAAAGTGAGTAATAAATTGTCACCTAAATTATTGGGGATTAATTTGTTTCTCGGATTAGAAATCAATTTTAATTCAGTTAACGTAATAATTTCCTTATTCAGTAAATCATGATAACTTTTTTCTTACAAATTTTCCCAATCAATTTTACTGAATTAAATTTATTATTATTCCCATAATCTGACAACTTAAAGTAATAGTTAAATTATTTACACTTAATTACCATGCTAATTGTCACACACATAATTCAGCTTAAATGTTTAACAAGATGATCAGTCAATTGTTCACGTGTTAATGATGAAATATGATGAAATCCTGATTAGTTTTCATGGTAACATCAGAACTTTTTGTTTCCTCATAGATCATCATTGAGAGTTGATGGTCAAACTTTTGTTTCGCATCCAAAACCATTTCTACCTATTCTAATCTAATTGAAGCATATCCAATCATCCTCATCATCTTCATCTCCATCATCTTGTTAGACCTCCCAAAAGTTTATCTTCTCTCTCATCTTATCCCTCCCACTTTTCCTAAACTCTTATATACCTTTTATCCTCCCAATGGATTAGATTGAAACAACAAACATTTCACTTCGTTTGAAGTTTTTTTCGTTGTTGTTGTTGTTGTTATTTTCGTTTTGCTTAAATACCTTAGTAAATCCAATTTACCACGATGCTATCGATGTAACTTACAATCGAGGATGAGGATGAACAATTTCAATCCCTTCTCTCTCTTTCATCTTAGTGAAAGTCAAGAGGGTAAAGGTGAACAGCTTACGGAGAAAAAGATTAACTAGAAACTGGTAGTTTCTCGTTGTTTATAAGGGGTTTTCTCAGTACAAAGAAGAGAAATAGTAGTTTATTATTATTGTTATCGTAGAGGAAACTGAATTGCTTTTTGCCAGAATTTCTTGTTTACATCATCAGTTTTCAGGGTAAAGATGAAGATGATTGTGAGAGAGAAAGAGAATGTATGATAATGATGACAAAAAGCAAAAGAGAGAAGGTGAGAAATAGCATCTTTCTCCTTATATATAAGATTTTCGATTCTCATCATCATCTTCAATCTTCTTCATCTTCATCTCTCTCTCTTTCTCTCCTCTTTCATCTTCTTGATAATCCTTATGTTCACTATAAGAAACTATTGCCTAGTGTTAAGCTTAATACACATACTAATACCTCTTTGGAATACTCACCGAACCTTCATTCTAACTCCCACTTTACTCTGAGCTTCTCAGTAATTGATTACCTTAATCCGATGAGAAAGTAACAACATCTTTCACCTTGATGTATATGAAGACAAACCCTTTTCATCCTCATCCTCATCCTCATCATCTTACTTTCATCTCATGATATTGACTCTCTCTCTCTCTCTCTTTCTCTCTCTTGTCCACTCTGATTGAACTTTTAGCCTTCACTAATTGTAAACAATCAACTAACCATTTTGTCATCCATATCATCATCTTAAGGCATCAATATAATTCTTGGTGTATGAAATTCAGGTCAATGAACATTTCATATCATGTCCATGATAAGTTAATATGTTAAAGGGAGAAAATAAAAATCTCAAAGTAAACAATTTTCCATTGGAATAAACTTGTAATAAGATTTAACTGTTGTTAGTTAATTGTTGTTGATTGTTTGTACTAATATTCTTAAGTTAATATGACAAAGTGACAATTAAATCAACTTACGACCAAGAAAATTAAAAGTTAATCTAATTAAATCCATTTCCGCATTCAGAAATTCAAAGTCAATCAAATTTTTGGTGAAGAAAAGAATGAAAAAAAAAATCAACAAAAACAATCAAATTAAACTTCAATAGTTAATTGCTCTGATTTTATTGATTAAACATTTTTAATTTAGTTGTAAAAATATTTCCATAATCATTTGAATCTACCAAAGCATTAAGATTAATGGTAAACAATTAATTAATTGCTCAACAATGAGTTAGGTGATTAAAGTAAACAACCAAACCCAATATTTTACTCAACTCTATGTTAATTGTTACAATTTAATTATATAAATCATCATTTAAACAACTTAATCAAGATAAACATGATTAGATAAATCATCTTAATCTCAAGTAGATTATTATCAATATTAGTTAACATTGGTGTCTATCTTAATATTGATTAATCGAGAGTAACTTTTTTTACTTTGCTTACCTGTAAATTAGACTTTGACTGATTGTTAACAATTAACGAAACAATTAATTTTTTTTTCATTTTGCTTATCAAATGATCAGAAAGTTAACAAACAATTTAATTACAATCTATACAATAACCAAATGTTAATAGTGATCTGACCTCACCTATTACTAGAGATACATGAAACTGACCTGAAAAAAAAATGATCATTTAAAGTTTTCCTGAAAATCGTATATGAAAATTTATGAGGCGTAACCTTGACCGCCTCCTAAAGGTCAGTCTGATCGCCTTTGACCTCGAATGGTTTTTGTTTGCCCCTCAACAATTTGTACCTACGATTATCTGAAAATAATAGACTGTAACTAAATTGTTACCAAAATGATAATTCATTAATTATTTTTACCACAAAGTGAGAGAGAGAGAGAGAGAGAGAGAGAGAGAGAGATTAATTTTAAATGCAATACAATTTACTAATAAAAAGAGTGACCATTGAATCAAATTAACTAAATGAAAACTTTGTTTTTTTTGTTTCGTCCTTCTTGGTGTCCAAATCTCGCTTGGCCTGAATAGTCCGCCCGCTTTTGGTTAGAATTCAAGGTGATAATAAAGCCTTTTCCTCGGGAAAACCAAGTGAGGTGACCTGTCAAACCGCTGGTTCCCGTCCAGCGCCAACAATTAACTGGTATTTAGGGACAACTCGATTAAAAAAGACACGGGAAAAACATTCTGCCGATGGCAACATAACGACCAGTATACTGACCTTTAAGCCAAGTGCCGATGATACTGGTAAACATTTATTTTGTCGAGCTGAGAATCCATTGATACCTTCAAGTGCTATTGAGGATAGTTGGAAACTGACCATTCACTGTAAGTTACTGGACATTAACTGAATGTTAACTTTGACCTTTCACAAAGAGTTTCGTCTCATCTTCTTTATCATTAACCTTAGAACTTTTCGGAAAAAATTTGCCTTCAAATCGAGTTCACTCACATTCGAAAGTTAATTAGTCATGAATTGATTATGATGATGAAAGTGATTAACTTTATATCTAATTAATTGATCATCATGTTAATTATATTGTTGAGAATGAACTTTTTTTCTCCCTTTACAACTAACGTACTTAGAGTAATCAAATTTAATTGTAAACTGATTAACTGTTAATCACTTTTTCATTTCAACTTTTTTTTTGTTTCAACAAATTTGAATTAGGTAATCAATAACAATTAGCCAATAGTGACATGATCAAATTAACTTTTTATTAACAGTTTTCTTTAATCAACAATTTAATCTTTAAATTTCAATCTTATCCAACACAATTAGGGATAACAATCAGGGTGATAAAGTTAATTCACTAACTAGATTAAGCAAGAGATATATGATGATCCTTTACGTTTATTATTAAATTAACATTAAATTGGCTATTAAATTGTTATCATCATGATCCAAATTAAATGAGCTGGTTATGATTAAGCTAATAATCGTTGTAAAAGAAACTGATTTTTTATCAACAATTTAAAACTGAATTACTTTGTAATCTATCAAATCAGTTTGGAGAAAATGGTTGAGCGGGAAAAAGATTAGTTTAAAATTAGTTCGAGATGATAATTGATTGAAAGGAGAAAATGAAAAAGTTTAAATCGAATTCAAAGTTTCGAATTTGGTCTATCTTTTTTCGAAACATTTTCGAAAGTGTCAAGTTCGATCTGATTGTGTTTTTTTTTCTTTCTATTTGAATGGTAAAGATGTCCCACAATTGTCTCTTCGATTGGGAAATAAACTTCGACATTCGCACATCCAAGCGGGTAACGATGTTTACTTCGAGTGTATCATTAGATCAAATCCAAAAGTTTCCGAGATTCGCTGGTGGTTTGAGGGCAAAGAATTGCATACAAACACCTCAGCGGGAATTATTGTCTCCAATCAATCGTTGGTACTGCAAAAGGTTCAACGTGTCAATCGAGGTAGGTACACATGTACCGCTCTTAACTCGGAGGGAGAGGGTGAATCTAATGCGGTTCACCTTCGGGTACAATTTTCTCCTGTTTGTAAAGAGCGACAGAAAGCCCTTTATGGTGCAGCAAGAATGGAATCGGTTAAAATTAAATGTGACCTGGAAGCCGATCCACCTGATGTAACGTTTGCCTGGTCTTTCAATAATTCAAATGAAAACATTGAACTGACCAATCATTCATCGGACGGTGCCTCATCCATAGTTACCTATGTACCCAAAACGGAATATGATTATGGGACTTTATTTTGTTGGGGCAAAAATTCAGTGGGCTCACAATCGGAGCCCTGTGTGTTCACTGTGATACCCGCTGGTCCACCCGATCCATTGAAAAATTGTTCCCTAGTTAATTCAAGTGAAGATTCACTTCGAGTCGATTGTACCGAAGGTTATGACGGTGGACTCATGCAACATTATATTATGGAAGTTTATGATTCATATTTTCCCGTTGACCTTAAGGCCAACATTTCTACTAACTGGCCTTCATTTACTGCCAAAGGTCTTCCACCAGGTACTCAGTTTACCTTGAAAATTTACTCTGTCAATTCCAAGGGGCAAAGTCAACCAGAAACTCTTTCAGGGACAACCCTTTCTCTTCCCGAATCGGCCAATCGAACCAGTAAAGGTCAAGTTTGGCAGTTGACCGCTTCACCTTTCCTCCTTATCTTAATCACCGTTGTGACCATAATTGTGGTTCTTGCCTTATTGATCATCATGATCCTTAAATTGTGTCCATCATCACCAAGGATACGAAAACATCAAGGTAAAAACTTTCACTAATTAACCAAAATAAAACTTAAAAACTACAAACAATTAACATGAAAAACTCAATCAGAACTCAAATTAAACTCTTAAACTTAAACAGTTGAGTTCCAGTCAATATAATCAAAGTCAATCAAGTTGATTACAATTCAATAGTTAAGATATTAACAATCAGTATCAAGTCAATGGCGATTGTAAATTGTTACAATTATCAATGAATAGATGAAACAATCAAATTCCCATAAATATAATTAACAACAATTACTATTGGATTTAGGTTAGCACACTGATAATATAAATCTATTAATAGCTAATAATTATCCTTGACCAATTGATTTAAATTGTCGATTAATATTACTGATATTACATCAGTAACAATTAACAAAGTAACAGCAATTAATATCCCTTTGAAAAAAAAACTAATCAATATCAATAATATTAATAACCATTAACAATTATCAGTTTAAATGGTAATACAAATTAACCTAATTATTTGTAATCATGATTATTGGTTTCATGTCACAATTGATTATCATTGATTGCTGTTAGTTTGTAAATTGTTGTTTCCAATGATTGGAAAACAATCATTTCAATTTACCTTTTTTGTTGCCTGTTTGAATCAGAATTGATTGAATTGATTCCTCATGGATCTCAGAATATGAATTATACTTTGTTAGATGGAAAAATAGATTATAATGATTCATGATAAATACATGATGATGAATTTCAAGTGAATTTATAGATTGATTGTTGACAAAATTCTGATAAATCTGATTGCTACTCAACTTTATAATCCAATAAATAGAATACCTTTAATCGTGTTAGAATCAAATCCAATTGGGTTAATTGTTGTTCACTTATGATAGATTATGAATACTATGATAACTACTATATGGTAACTGTATCTTTTTTTTTATTACTTGATATGGAAACGGAAGTTACCAACGAAATGAAAACGGAAATAGTGAAAGTTTATCTTAACTTTTCAACTGGAAAAAATTAAATTATAATTATTGCATTGCTGATGATTATGAGGGTGATGATGGTGATGATAGTGTTTGAATAAGAAATTATCATCACCGAAAATAGTTCTTATCATTTTGTTCATTGTCCATGAATCTTGAATGAAGAAGATACTTAAATTTCCGGTTTCATCATCAACATGGAAAAAGTCATGAGACTTTCTTGTTAATTAAACTAAATTTAATCTCTTATCAGTTTAGATTCAGTAATTATAATAATGAATTTTTTTTTCTCCAAATTCGAAGTTTTTTTACTTCAACTATTTTTCATTATTCATTGAAAAATATTCGAAAAGGAAAAAAAGTTCTAATGATTTTTCGAAATTCTCTCTCTCTCTCTCTTTCTCTGTTTCGTTCATTTGGGAGAATCATCCATAAAGAATCTGTAACAATCTCGCCTGAGAATTGAAATACAAAAGAGATGAAGAGAAAAAGTTCAAATATTATCATGATTATATAAAAAAAATTCGATGGAAAGAGGAAAAAAGTTCTAAAACTCTTCTGAACGTTATATATTTCGCCTGAAGGTTTTGATTATTCAGAGAGATGATGATGAGAGAGCTGAACCCTTGATGATGATCATCATTTACATCATATTATGAAAAAAACAACGAGAAAAAAATTATCAAATTCTTAGGGCGGAAAAAGTGTAGGAGGAGAAGGTGGAAAGAGGTTAGATTTGCATCCATTAGGATATATTTATAACATGATATTCAAATTCCCATGGGATGATATTGATGCATGAAACAATCAAATGGAACAAAAAAATCATCATGAGTTTTAACAGGTAACCCAGAAGAGAGAGAGAGAGGTAAAAATCTATGGATATATTTGAACAACAAAGAGAGAAAAAAATTTCAGTTCAGTTGAGTTTTTTCTGTTCTTCATGAATTCTAGTGAAAAATTTATCACCTGAGAAAAAGGAAACAAAGTTTCACCTTTTTTTTCAATGAATTTCAGGGTAAAAGTAAAAAAGTTACATTGAAACTAATGTAGTTCCTTTTATATACATACATGTATCATACAAGATAAATGGTCAAGAATCATGATAATCTTTTGAGCAAATTGAATTTTCCTCAGGTAAAAAAGGGTGTCAAGGTGTCAAGGTAACAGCAAGTAATTGTTGTGTATCTTTACACAACAATTAATCGTAATTGAAATTGATTAATGTTCTTACTAATTGGATATCCAATTGATTATCTAATTTTCATCATTATTCATATTGATTGTTTACTGATTAGTAATTAGACTTTTGTTACAATTGGTTTTCTGTAGTAAAACTTTGATATTACCTTAATGTTACTATGGTGTCATTCACACTGGTGGGTGGTGGTTGTGACTGTGGTGATTGTGGGTTGGTCAGTGTGTCCAGTGAAAATGTTAAAGGTAACACAGATTGAGGTAAATTGAAGTTATAATCACTTTTTCTTTGGGTTAATTTATAATCTTATTCTTACAAAAGGTAAACCAATTGATAACATTGACCCCCTGATGACCACTAGATGTTAAGATAAATTACAAGAAAACACCATGGCATTGTAATGGTCACTCCTCTCTCTCTCTCTTTCACTTACTTAAAGGTCAATCAGGGGGTCAGTTTGTAATAATTCCCATTGCAATGGTCAATTATTTGCTATAATTACTTTTGTTTTTTACTTCATCAGAATTAGTGATTTAAATTGATAAGATTACAAGCAATTAATTAGTCTGATAGATTTGCAAATTTAATCATTAACCATTTATCATCTTGTATTAGTATTTAAATGTATTTCAATCAGTTTATCAGCTGATTAACGATGTAAATCTAATCAGTCAATTGTTACATTTCTTTCAATTATCTTAATTACTTTGATTGTTTTATCGCCATAACATTGATTAAATTGATTTGTAAGTTATAAAGATCAGGTTGATTAGATTAACCATACAATCAACTTGATTATTTGAATAGAAATCAGCTGATTAATCAGTTGAATCAAAATATTAACTGGTTTACATCATAATCTCCCAATGAATTTGATTAACTGAGATTAAGGTTATTAAATTTTCAAATTAACACTTTATTATATTACTCAAAATTAGATTATCATGAATATTAACTGAGAATGGAAAATTTTACATCAGAACTTTTTTTTATCTTTAAATTCTTGAAACTTTTGTATATTAGTAATTCAATTATATTTTAAGAAACTTTTTTAATCATGTACCATGAAATTATCTCCTTAATCACTCAACTCATTTACCTGATGTTTCAGGTGAGAGATAAATATGGAACTCAGAACTTTACCATGAGAGAAAATTTGGAAAAATAAATGAATCAGTTTTATCAGTTTGTCTCAATATTACTTTTACTTTTGCTCCTCGATAGCTTCAGGCTATTTACAGAATAGTTTCAAATCAGAATCATCACAGAATTTTAGACTTTTTAACCATTTATTTTTCATTCTAAAAAGTTATCTAACTCATGATAATAGTTCTGACCAGAATTCTGAATGCATAATCTTATCCAATAGAAGGGTAATAACAATAACAATTATCTGAATAGTTTTCCTGACATTGTTCAATTGAATTGAATACTTTTTTATTATCGTTCATGAACAGTAATCATCATCAATTCAAACATGAAATATCAACAAATTGAAACGTTTCAGCAAAAAAAAACATTAATAACATTTGAATTGATCAAAACGATAAACATGTAACCATTTGAAATTAAGTTTCTTTCATGACAAATTGATTTAATCTTAATTCATCATCTCCTGGTTATTTCATGATGATTATCATGAAATAATATGATAACCATTTTTCTGGCTTGATAAATGATTTATTATTATTCAGATGATAATTTGTACTGTTAATCAATATTGATTTTCATGTTAATTGATTGTATTCAGAATTGTTTCTGACATTTATATTCAATTGGTTACCATAAATTTGGGCTACTACTGAATCTGAATGATTCAAATCAAATCGTTTGTTCATGGGGATTGGTGGTGTTGATTGAGTTTTAAACTTTTCCATTTTGTTGAATTTCAAGGTTCCAATGGTGATGAAAAGGACCCTAAGCAAACTACTCCACTACGAAAACCCGCCGGGGACGAAGTGTGTGACGTTTGTACCTGTGGTGATGGAGATGACAAATGTCCTGATATAATTCCAGGTATGTTTCAGAATCCTCCAGGAATATTTTGAGTTCTGTCATTCACCATGAAAACGAACTAGTTTTTTTCTTTTGAGAAAATGATAAAATCCACCTTTTAGGATTACTGAATAATCATCATAGAGAACAGGAAGTTTCAGCTGAAAGTAAATGAAAAGAAGAGTATTTCTTATCATTATCTCTTTCTTATATTTCATCATGAGAATCATCATGAAGATGGTGAGATAATATTTCACGCTGAAAACGAAAGTCTAAAGCCAAACCTTTAAACGTATTCTGGTGAATCAGAATTCATGAATTGTATATAATTCATTGAAGGAAAAATAGAAGGAAATTCGCAATCATTATCAATTTCCAAATAACAACTCGAAACGTTGCCATGGCAACCAGAATTTCTAACTGATTATAAGTTGTAATCTCTATTGGAAATTTTCACAATTCTATTGATATAAATCATTATCATCATGTTTCAGTTAATAACCACTGGATCATAAGTTGATGTAAATTACCAACTAATGAACTTTTAGTTATTATTTTCAGTTCAATTTAGAAATTTTCGTTAGAACAATTTTTCGCAAGAAAGTCTAACTGAATGGAGACTCACAATTTTCTCCATGATAATGTTGATCGAGATAATAAAAGATAATCCATAATCCTGTGGATGCTAAGAAACTAGCAGATCTTTTTTTTTCAATTGGTTCTTTATCCATGTTCTTCCTGAATTCAGTGTGCTTGTTTTTCACTCTTCTTTTATATCATGATCATCATGAAGCTTAAAAAATTTTCTCTCTTCTCTACTTAGAGAAATTACTTTTCATCCTTATCTTCATCTTCATCTTCATCTCTCATCATTTTCAGAAAGGATTAACTGTCTCTCTTTTTAAATCGTTATTAAACTTTTTTTCACCAATCCTTTTTTTCCCAAAACTTACTCTTCATCTTCTAGTTTTTTACATCCACCTTGCCTCTCTCAATCCCACTCTCACTCCTCCATCTCCTCCTTTTCCTCATCCACTCTCATCATCATTTCCATCATCATCATCATCATCACTTACATCTGTCTGAAAGTGTTAGTTTTCAATCTGTTTCAACAGCTCTTCAGATTAATACCTTTGGTTCAGGTCATTTACCACCCTGGTGACTTTATAACCACCATAACCATTACTCTCAGAATCATTGAAACTGAATTGAAATCTACATGAAAGTTACATCTCTAATATCACTTATCCATTAACCGATAACAATATCAACCTAATAATAGATTTTCCCTCTTCCGTCTCCTCCTCTTCTCCCATAATCTGTCCAATATGTTTATCTAAATGATACATAATTCCAACATCAACAACAGAATTTAATATTAGATAATAGGAATCAAAATTTCCATGAGAAATGATGAATTAAAGTTCTGAACAAAACACTGAACCAGTTTCAAATGATAATAGAAAGAAAACTTTTCTCATCTCATAATAAGTGAATATCAATTTCTAATTGATATTCAAATCAATTGAAAATCGTATCCTTAATAAACTTGACTATCTTTAAAAGCAAAGTTTTCACCATGAAGAAATATTTAACTGAATATTGTTTGATTCTTAAAAGGTAAAACCAAATCCTCCATTAATTTGATTGCTGTTGTTATTAGTTAACGTTTCAGTTGAATTACAATTGTGTTTATTGTAATGATATAACATTGATAGTGAGAAAGTGAGAGCAGCATGGTAAACAAAAAAGTACAATACCCTGGGGGTGTTTCAATGTTCATCTTTCAGAAAGGGAAGGGGAAAATAGTACATAAAATTTAATTCGTTTACATGGGAAGATGTTGATTCTGTTGGAAGTTGAGAATGAAAAATTTATCGAAATTTAATTGAACATAAATTGTACATTAGTATTTACACTTTGATTGTCATGGGATTAATTTATCTTCTGAATCATGATTATCAGAACTTTTTTTTCTCTCTACACTCATGAACTTGAACACCAAAAGGTAACACATTTGATTTTCTCCATATTTCTACTAAATGAGTTTACTGATATTTTCCAATGAAAAGATTGAAAAATTATTATCTTCACTTGAGAATATTCATCCTGACGATAGTTCAGAATTTCAGTTGAACTCTGGAAATTGTGGATTTACTTTTTGATTCTTTGTTTTCGTTTTTTTTTTTTGGTGAAGAATAAAATAGTTCTAATCCTCGAACTAGATGTTCTGGCTCGACGATGACGATAATGGATAATATGTATTTTCTTTGTTTCTCTGTCAACTAATAGATACATTGTTTCAATTCCATGGTGAAAGTTCATTGAACATGAGGTGAGGATAGAAAAGAAAAGAAAATTAAATTATTTCTTTTTCTCTCTCTCATCTTTTACCTCTAGTTGTTAATGAGAAAAAAATGAAACAAACTTCTTGAGAATGTTTCAAATTAGCTCAAGAATTCACTTTCTATCATGATATATAAAAAGAATAAAATTCCAAGAAGATAATTCTGATGATAGAAGAATAATTCTGTTAATCAACCGTTAGATTATCAGTTAATTAGGAAAAGATGATTGTTTTAAATGTTCTGAATTCCATTGATTGGAGATAAATGTTTCCAATTATCTAATTGAGTCTAAATGAGAATTCATTCAAATAAATTCAAACAACCTTGAACATTTTATCACTCAGAGATGATGAAATTCATGGTGGTAATCGTTATGATGGATTATGATGATTACCATTTGAATAACATTTTGTTTCAAAATTCTGGCCAATCAACTGATGAAAACTCAGCACTGACCTTATGGTCAAGCTTTTTATATGTATTCAAGTTACTCAGATGGGATGAGGTGAATTCCAACCCATGGTGAAGGTTATCTAATGACCCATGAAACGTTTGATAAATTACACTTTCTCAAGCAAACCTGATATTCATATTCAATTCTGATATAATAACAATAAACATAATGATGATAAGTAATGCTAATAATAAGTTAGAGGAGGAGAGACAGGGAATGAGCTGAATGATTCTGATAAAAGTTGAAAAACAAAAATGTAAATAAACCCTGTGAATATATTGAGATAATAGTAATTGGTTGGTAAATATTAAGAAGATTTAAAAAAACTCTTACCTTAGACCAGAAAAAAATAATAATACATTTAGCATTTTACTCAGAATTTTGGGTGAAAATGCTCAAGAGCAACTGATAATTCAGAATTTATCATTAATATTATCAGGGAGGAGAAAAGATTGTATTCATTTCCATTCTCTCTCTCTCTCTCTCTCTCTCTCTCTCTTCTTGCTCTCCCTGAACCAGAATTATTATTATCATGATAATATTCAGAGTCTATTAAAGTTGTCAAATTAATTCTTGAATGTTTTTTGTTTTTCTTTTACACAACTAATGCATTTCAAATGGTGACGATGATGATGATGATGATGATGATAACGATAATTGTGAAATATTTTCCTCATCCTGACTCTCTTTCTTTTCACCTAAACCATGAAAACATATTTTATCCTGAAATATTCTGAGTGTATGTTGTATATAATGTTCAGAACTCATTATGACAATTTCTCATTCTATTATTATCATCAACCATTTACACTATTATGATGATAACTACTTTTTGTTGCAAACTTGTCATCAACTTTGTCATCATCATCATGGAAGCAATAATGAAAAAGTTCAGTAACCACTGAGTATTATTTTTTTCTTCTTCATATTCTTTCATCATTCACTATCATGGTACTGATGATTTTCATTGTTATTCATTCATGATGAAAAAAGGTAAATTGAATATTTCAGCTTTTCTTGCCTCCTGATAATCATATTGAATAATTGATTAATATTTTAATCATCATCAAATCATAATAATGATTATAATCAAAATAGTATAATGACAATTAAGCTGCTCACTCAGGATTTTGCTTTCCATGTACAAATATATATATTAATATATAAATCATATCATGAATCATGAAATATATTCATGGTGATGATGGATCTGATTTTTGCTTCTTCCCTTGATTCTTATCATTGGAAATCAAGTGAAAATATTATTTATTATTTATCTTTAGCTTTTGGCTTGATTATCATTAACATTTTTGCTTCATGTTAATTAATGAATTAAATATAATTACAATTAACCAGGAGGGGGAGAGAAAAATGAATTTTAATCAACATTTTATTAGGTGAATTACTTTTTACATGAGTTACACCTTACAATTGAACTTTACTTCACCATCAACATGATCATTATCATTGTTAAAATCATCAATTGTGTGATGGAAACTTTTTTGGTGACAATAATCATCTTCATGATTTTTTTTACTTTTCATGGGAAATGAATAATTTGAAAAACACTTTCTGAATTAAGATATTGTGTTTAGTAGGTCAACCGTTAATTTGAATTAACTTACAGCCATAGATTGTAAATAATTACCTTTAAGACATTAGAGTTCAGGTAATACGATTGATTAATTGTTGATAATAATGAGGAGGAAAAAGATGGTGATAAGTAAAGATGAACAAAAGGTAAACTGGATCAGAACTTTGATCCATATTCTCAGCTAAATTTCGAGTCAAATGTCAACGATTCTCTTTGGACTGAGCGTTTATATTGTGACGTTTTTATTTTTTTTCCTTTTCGATAATTTGAATCACACAGAATTCCCGCTTCTTTTCTCAATTCTAATCTTTAACTTGGATCATTTTCAGAACTTTATCAATTCGACAATGATCAATATCAGTATGACGATGACGATGATGATGATGATGTTTTAATGATCATTAACTGAACTTTTTTCTCCTTCTTCTTCATTAGATATTGGCTTTAATGGCTCTGAGACATTATCACGAAATGGTGATCTTACCACCATGATGAAAGATGAAACAATGATAAGTGAAAAACTTGATTCCACTAATCCATTGACCGCTCCACTTTTATCAAATTCATCCTCATGTCAAGCCACTTATACCAATGGTATCAATTGTCCATTAATGGAAACTGGTCATCAACTTAATCACTGGCGATCAGGGGGAAGTATTGGTCATCCAGCAACTCCAACACCACCACCACCAACAATACACCAACAACCTACCTCAACATCAACACCATTAGTTAATCCAATGGGTTCAAATCAATCAAATCATTTAACCAATTTATCCTCAACGATACATAATAACATTCAAAATGGTCAAAGTTTGGTAAGTATTGACAGCTAATCAAATTAAAATTAATTGATTATGTTTCTATCATTATTTAACCTTTCAAATTGCCAATTAATTTGCCAGTATAATTATGATCTTGAATGACAAAGCTAATCAACTTTTTTTATTGCTCAACTTTATTCTGATAATAACTTGATAATGACCAATGGTCATCACAATAAGTGTAAATGATGAGATGATAATGTTTTCAAGAAATTTTCTATTCTTTCCTCAATCTCTTTGACCTTTAAACTCTAAATTTTCACCAAGGGTATTCAATGGATTTGAAAAGGTATTGCCATGAAAATTTCCAAGCCATGATGATAAATCCCAATTCAAAGGGATGTAATGTACTTTCAAGCGAGGATTTAACAAGAAAAAGGAGAAAGATGAAAAAAAAGATGATAAAAAAACGGTTTTATAAGAAAAAGATGATGATGATGGTGATGGAAGAGATGATAAAAAGGATATGAGAAAGAGTAATGGAATTCAAAATCTTTGGTAATTCAGGGTAGTGAGAGAGAGAGAGAGAGAGAGAGAGAGAGAGAGAGAGAGAGAGAGAGAGAGAATGATTCAATTTCTCTGAAAAGCTTATCATCCATGGAAATGGTCACTTACCATATGAAATATTTCTCTTCATCTTTACTTATCTTCTCTTTCTTTTTCCATTGTTATCTTTCTTGGGATGCGGATGATAAGATGAAAAACTAATATTTTCTTGAGTAAAAAAAAAGTTTTTCACTATTCACAAAGTGTGTCATTCACTTTCTCTTTTTTTTCTCTAACCTTTCATTCATCAATCTCATCTTCTTTTTTTATTATTATCATCATCTTTATCTTTCTCTCTCTCTCTCCCTTTATCTCATATCCATCTTATTGTGATGATGATGATAATAATAATGGGAATGATGATAAAGTGGATAACCTTCTCGTTGTGAATAACCAATAAAATGGCCATTGAAAGTATCAACTGGACATTTAAAGAGGTAAAATCTTAAAGGGAAGGTCAAGTCTCTAGTGTTCAGGTTATTGGTCAACAAGATGAAAATAAAGATGGCGATGATGATGATGATGATTAAGGATAAAATATAAATAAAAAGATAAGCCTTTTGAGGGTCAATGGAGGAGGAGGTTGACAGTTACTTTCAATAAAAGATTTCATCAGATGAGGTTGATTCCAGTTCACTTAGTATCTTCATCCTTTTGGTTCATGATGATGATAATATTGAAGATGATGTTGTCTCTTCAGGATAAAAAAGTTCAGGACAAAATTTATATACAATTTTACCCTGTAGATTAGGATCTCGACCCTGCAACCAACTTTTACCGTTCTCACCTATTGAAATTTGATGAATGAGGAGGTAAAAATATTGAATCTTTTTCTAATACAATATATATGAATTAACGAGGCTCAATTTTACCATGAAAAGGAAAAATTGATGAAATTTTTTCTCTTCGAATTTTCAATTTTTCTTAGAAAAAAATATTCATTCATTCGGATGATGTAAATTCATGATAATCTCATTGGAATAGTGTTTTCATTTTTGGACCGTGACTTTGATTGTCAATCAATTCAATTCTCAGAGGTTTTCACTTGTAAATCGTTGAGTTAATTGTTGATTCATTTTATTCAGGTGATAGTCTTGATTTAGTTTAATCACCTAATCTGATAACAGGTTAGGTTTCCAATCTGATCAATGAGTTTACTATTATTGGTAGAGAGAGGAGAAGAAGATAATTTCATGATGAATGAATTTACCATCATGTGAATGAATAATATTAATTTATTAGCTTATCCTTTTCACTTAGTTACCATGGTTATTATTGAGAATGACAATTGAACTGAATCATATAACAATCAAATTGTTTACTTTGGATGATTGAAAATGTCACAATCGTTGATTATAAATGAAGAAAACCTATCAAACTTATTGATTGTGAGGCTTATCTGATTTAATTAATCTTTGATCGAGTTAATTGTGATAAGAAGAGAGAAAGAAAGTCAGTAAACTGTCAACAATCAAATTAATTGATAGAAAAGTTAATTGGTGTAACTTTTCCTGGTCTATTTTAGGTTTTAATTGATAAGAAATTGAAAGTTTGTTTCCTTTCAGCCTGAAAACTGTTATATAAAAAAAAGAGTTGATTCTGATTATCTGATCAACTTTTGTTTCTTGAAACTTTCATTGATTTCTTACTTTGCTCAATTTTTCTGGGTGAAAAGTTATCATGAAATTTATTGACTTCCATGTTGGATGACATTAAAAACAGAAACTGAACCTTTTTCACCAGGGGGAATGGATAAAGTTGATCTAAGATGAATGTTGGAAATCCTTTTTTTTCAAAGTCATTATTCAATATCCATGTAATGGTGGTTGAAACTGAATCAGAATTTTTTTCCTGAGGTTTTTTTTTCTTGATACTTTTGCTTACGGATCGATGTTCAGATGAAGGTAGAGCAAGAGGGAGAGGTGGATACAGAGTGGAAGTGGGTTTTCAAGATGAGAGTAAAGTTTTCTAGCACTCTTACAACAACATAAGAACCTTTAAAGATGATCATCATCATGGTGGAAGATGGAAATAGATCAGTTCCAAATTGAAGATAAAACTTGAAACCAATCAGATTAACATTTATATTCACAATCTAATGATAGTTACATTGAGTTGGAACTTTTTTGTTCAGGGTAAGTTGAACAAGAGAGAAAGCGAATGAAAAAAAAACTCTTAAGTAAATAATGTCTTAACTCTTTTGCTTATCTTCATCATCTTCATCATCTTCTTCTTCATGGGCTAAAGCACATTGTGATAGTAATGATTGAGATAAAAAGGGTTGAGTTTCTGAAAAGTTCTGAACAGATTCCGATATCATGCATGATTGTGACTTCACATTTAAATAGATTTAGGAAATTTTCAAATTCTTTTTTTCTTCTTCATCTCTTATCATCATTAGTATATATATCATGATGATGATGATGATGATGATGTTCAGATGATCATTATTAACTTCATCATCATTATCAGAATCCTGAATTTTTTTATCCTCGGTGCATTTGTTTGAAATTTAAGTTTATTGAACTTGAAATTGATTCGGAAATTTTGAGCATTTTTTTTCATGGTAATGATGCTAATTGGCTGATGATGATAATCATGTAAAGAAATCATCATAATAAGATGATGATAATCATGTTATGTGTATAAATAGACTCAAAAAAAGTTGATCTTCATGAATGAACTCATTATTGTCATGATTATTTGTTCATTATCGATGATTAATTTCAATTTGAATAGGAAGATGACATTTATATGAATCATTTCATGTGAATATGAGAAGAGAGAGAGAGAGAGAGAGAAAAGTTCTGAAATTTTCCAAAATGATCAATATTAGTTTTCTTCAAAGGATTATCATGATAGTTATCATGTTAATTGGCTCATATTTTGATAGATCAATCAGAATTGAATTTAAGAAAAGGTTCAATTCTTTATATATACTTTGAAATCTTCTTGAATCCAATTGATCTTATTCAGTCAATTCAACCTGAGGCAATATGATGAAAAAAAAGTTCATGATAACCTTTCATATTTTGACATATGAAAATCAAATCATCAAACTGAATGAGTTACAAAATAAAACTCAATCATGAATCTCAACTTGGTTCATATTGTTTCATGATAATAATAATGATGATGATGAAACAATACCATTCTAATATAATAGACTGAATAAAATTCATGGTGATGGTTCAGAATCAATTCAATCAATTGATTCAGTTTTCTGCTTGTATTACATAACTTTGATTTCTTTATTCTTGATATCCTTTCATGGGAATTGTGAGTTACCATGAAACTATTTCATCTATTTTGTTTTCCATTTTAAAAGCGATAGTAATCATATCATCATCATGAACTTGTAACAATAATGATTCAGTTTCATTTTTATCATGTAACTATACACACTTTGGATAATGTTTACCATGTAAATTTCTGTTCCAATAGTTATGAAAACTATTTCTTTTCTGATTTGAGCTCAGGGAAAAAGTTGGAATTTAGAACTGAAAATGATTCAAATCTTCTGAATAAAAGTTTATTAGAAATTCAAGAAAATTTATCAAAATAAATGAACTTATCATTATTATTATTATAATATTTTTCGAAATCAAAAAATCTCTGGATCAAGAGTTCCAATAGAATATAAATAAGTTAAAGAATAAAAATAAAAAACGAAAAAATTATCTTATAATAACTTTTTTATTCGTATTCATGGTGATGAGTATAAGTCGAAGTTGAGAATCATGATTGGAAGTTCATTGTTTTCAGAAGAATCTGATTATTTATCAGAAAAAAAGAAAAGTGTCTCATTAGTTGGAGAGAAAAATTTAAGTTCGTAACTCGAAGTCTCAACTTTCTGTTCTAATAAATGATATCACTTTTATTATCTTACGATTATTATCTAAGAGAGAGAGAGAGAGAGAGATTATCATGCTCAGAATTTTGTTCTGAACAAGTTCTGTAACTTTAGTTGAGTTAAATCTGTTCAGAATCTACTGATATTAACACTGTTAGAATTTGAAAATTGCAATAATATTTTTCTTTCCATGATGAAAAAAAGGTGAAGATGATTACTTTATATAAGAAAAAAATAAGGTTTAGATTTAGTTCTGATCATCATCATCATCTTTTTGTCTGTCTTTTTCAAGATAATGATGAAGATGCTAAAGTCAAGAAGAGCTTGAAAAAAAATCTGAAATTCATTCAATCATCAATTTTGTGTGTTATTGCTTTTCCTTCATGATGATCATGAACATTTTTCAGTCCCTGTTGTTACCCTGCTCATCTCCATCCTTATCCCTTATCATATATACACACAAATGAAAATCCATTATCAGCAGATTCTGGATCCACACACCACCATCACCACCACCGTCAAAAGAAAAAAAAACCTCTTCAACTTGATCATCCTCATCTCAAGATGATCATGTTGCCTCTTGCTGAGTCTCCTCCTTGAAAATCATCATGAAATTATCAGTAAATGTTTTTTTTCCTCTGGACTCTTGAGGAGCATCTTCACCTTTGCCTTTGAACCAAAGGGAGAGAGAAATGGATCAGGAAATTGAAGGTGGGAGGGGAAAAAGTATCAAAGTGTTTGATCAAAAGATATTGTTCATGATGATGATGATAATTTCTGAAAAATTCGCGTTTCATTCAGCACAATCAAAGATAAATCATGTTTCAGTTCAGATTTTCAGAGTGGAATTTTTTATTCTCTCTCTCTCTCTATTTTCCACTCCAAAATATGAGAGAGAGAGAGAGAGAGAGAGAGATGAAGGGTGGAAAAAATACTTCTCTGAGGGAGAATTTTTCTTTCATTTTCATGGTATCATTCAACTCGAGTTCAGAACTTTTTTGTTCTCATCTTCCAATCTTCAAATTATCAAATATTATATCTTTTTTTTGTCGAGTTGGTCAAAACCTTGTCATCATGTTATCATCTTCGAAGATGATCAACTCTCAACCTCATCTTTATTACAGTTACAATTTAAACCGCTGAATCTTTATCATGTCATCTTTGAACATTTCTCCATCAAACACGATACCCACCCCACTCCACAACCATGGACAATATCAATTTCTCATTGTGAACATCTCTCACTCATCTTTATACTGGAAACGAAATACTTGACATTTTTTTCTCATTTTCTTTCTGGTCAGTATTGGTCATCTCTAAAGAAAAAGATACACGATATTTGATATTAAACTAGATTTCGATGATATTAAAGTTCAATCATCATCATCATCAGAAATCATGATTTAGCTGAAAAACACAACATGATGTCCAGTTGATTAAAGGTTACTCATGATTTGGATTGTGATCAAGAAGATAAAACATTTTTTGTTTCAACCTGATTAACTATAATCATGAAATTTTTTATGAAAATTGATAAAGAAAAAGTTGATTGAAATTTATTTTATCATGTACATGATGATTATCGATACTGTATCAAAAAAAATGTGATAATGTTTTCTCAACTAATAATAATATAACCATTCATGATAAACTGATTCGATAAGTTTTGATGATGAAAATGATAATATACTTGAGTTGGAAAACAACAAAAAACAATCAACAATAACTGATCATCAAAGGTCATCTAGTTGTCTATTATTTCATGAGAGTAATTTCTTATATTTTATCATCATCAGATGATCATAATAGTCTTGAGATGGAAAATCCCATGTTGATTACCTTTGAAAGTTCAAATTCTGTCATCAAAATAAAAAAAGAAAAGAAGAAGAAAAAAAATCTTCCCTCAACTTCAGTAGGTGAACTTTTCATCTTCTCATTATGATGATAATGATGATTCCCTGATGATGATCATCATCATCATGGTGACATTTTATTTTGATGGTTTTTTCACCAGAAATACCTTTCCCATTGAAACGATTATAATCAAATGCTAATCTACCTGATGAAAGGAGCTCATGGTTAATGATTAGTCAATTGTTGATCTAGTTAGTGGGCGAAAGGTTCATGAAACATCATGAACAATTATCGGATCATGGTAATGATGATTACAATGAGTTCGTAGCTTTGTTGATAAACTTTCTGCTCACCTAATCATCACTTATTGAGATTGTTTTTTATTGAATCATTTGATTACAATCAATATTTGAAACTTTGGATTGGTTTTCAAATCTATTAATATTGATTTTTGATATTGAAAATCCGTAATTGTATCGAGTAAGTTAATTGTTGTTCAAAGTTTTTCACTTCAAATTGCGACAATCCAGTTAATGGTTCATGGGTGTTAATGGTTGATTATTTGAGAGAGAAAAATTCATATGAGCTTATGGTTCATGGTGATGATGCTGTTGATCATGAAATCATTGGCACCTTTGAACATGATAGAAATATAATATTATTACTTTTTCCATGAATCGAATTGGTGATTTATCATTTTTTTTTGTTCGTCGAGTTGAATGTTTAACCTTAGATATCATGAGAAATCAACTGAATCATTATCATGATGATCATCAGGGTGAATGATAAAGTAGCAAATGTTATATTGTTGATCCATTAAACTAGTTTGATGCTGATTATTATAATGTTTATCATCGTAATCATCATGATATTTTATTATCAGAATCCAAATTGAGAATGAGAAACAGTGAAACCATTAAAAGTCAATGTTAACTGTTAACAGGAATCAGAAAAAAAAGTTCAAGGTAATCATTTGGTAAATCAATGATATATTATTTACCAATCATGACAATCAACATGATATAATTGTCATTCATTTATATTGATCAAATTACTGAGCCATTTAATTGTCATTTACTTTCATTTGTTTTCATCATTAATTTTGTTTTAAAAACTTTTTCTTTCCCAAACTTCAGCTTTGATTAACTTAATTGTTGCTTTGCAAAAAAAAATCATTCCCAACGTTTTGTTTTTAATTATTTCGTTTCCTGCATCCTGATTGTTGTGCTCAATTAATTAATTGCATGATTAACAAGTTGATCATCATCATCATCGCCATTATTTTAATTTGCACGAGATTTTAATTGTAATTATAAAACTTATATATGTTATCAAAATCAAAGAGATTTAAAAAAAGAGACAATCTAATCTGAATCTTTTTTATTTCTAACTCGATCTCTTTTTTTTTGGCAAAAAATTAACTGATTGTTGGTGATTTATACATAACAATATTCCAGTCAATGAAAGGAATCATCAGTAATAACAACAACAATAATAATAATCTTAATTGTAATAATACTGTTAATCATAATCATCAAAATCATGTTCATAATAACAACACAATCAATGGTCAATCAAATTATTCAACATCAATGATCCAGCCAACAATTAATTTAAACGATTATAATAATATCATCACAGCAACAACCTCATCATCATTATCATCATCATCATCATCTTCAATAAAAGTGCCTTCATCTAATTATCATCATCATCTGCAAACAATTAACAACAATAATACTAATCGTTTACCCTCACAATCACAATTAATACAATCAATGATTTCAAGTGATTCTCCAACTAGTCTTTATCAACAATCAACTAATCACAACAACAACAACAACAATAATCATTTAAATACCGGAACTGTTACAATATTGTCTTCATCATCATTATCATCATCTTCATCTTCATCAACACCATCAACAACAACAACGACAACAACACCGGGATCATATTATCTGAATCAAGGATCAATACCATTGAGTAATTTAAATCATTCGGATATTTATCAATCAAATAATTTATCATCTCCATCATCAATGGTATCATCTTCATCTTCATCATCCAATCATCCCCAACACTTTGCCACCCTTTCGTACCCACGGCGGGTACGAGTGTTGCCCTCGAGCACCTTTACCATTAGATCAACGGATGATATTGATTCTCATCACCATACGGATGTATAATCATCACCCAAATTATCATTTTAATTAACAGAATCATCATCAAATTTGCTAATTGAAACTTTTTATTTTCTGTCAATTAATTGTCACCCAAACAATTGCGAATAAAAAAAAAATCAACAACAATTTAACAAAATTAAGCAAATCAATTGTGTAAATAATGAAAATAAAGTAAAACAAAAAATAATTCAATTTCTTGTAATAATAATAACAACAATTAATTAATAAAAATACAATCAATAATAATGAGGACAATTATTAATTTCATTCAATTAACAATTATAGACCTAAAGAGGTTAATGATTATCGGCTAATCAAAAATAATAATAATCATATTAAATTCATTGTTATTAAATTAATGGGTTAAAGTTGATTCTCATCATTATGATAACCATAGTTACCCATTGTCCACTCCAGTGTCCATCTTTATCCCTCCCCACTGCCTTTGCCTAATGGTGGGTATATATTAATATATGATTTGACTCCTCATGGTGATTCATGAATAACTTCAAATCAATAAGACTGAACCATGAACTCTGAAAGTTCATACCGATAATAATAACATGATCAACGATATGAAAGTTTTTTTTTTCTTGGTGCTGCTCTTGTTTAATTATTTATGTTTTTTTATCTTGTAATTAGGTTGAATAGTTGAATTGATCTAGAGAATCTGATTAATGATAATTTGATAGATTTAACTTTTTTTTTGTCCATGTAAACTGATTAATGATCATTATCACCATGATTAGTTACTGAATCAACTGAATCAATCTCTGGATTCAATAAGCAAATATGTAAATGATTATGATTTCAATCTGGTTTAATCAATGGACCTGATTAATTGTGCTGCCAATTGACAGTTAATTTGATTATTATCAATGGTAATTTGGTTATTCCAATTGCTTATTTAGATTATTTCACTTGAGTTAATTTATTAATTACTTATTTACATAAATCTAACCAAATTAAATCACCTATTCAGGCATTAATATCCAATCAGAATTAGAAAACTTTTTGACTTTGAAAAAGTTTCGAAAAACTTTTCCAATCTTTATTCCTATTAATAGAATTGGAATTGTGATTTTCATTTGAATCAATTAATTGATAAGTTCTAGACATTGGTCAAGAAACAAGTGACTTGTTAAAGAAGAAAAAAATAATCCTTAACATTTGCAATTACAATTGTATCGATTCAATATCGATTCCTAATAATAAGAAATTGAATTGAATTGAGTATCAACATGAAACCATCATGAAGATGAACCAAAGAAACGTTTTTTTCTGTCTAACTGTAATTTATTGTATCTCTTATTTGGGTGTAATAATGATTACCTTTCGTGACAATTGATCTTTATCAAGGTAAGAGACATGGTTTTCTTTATGTATCATCTTAAGTAATCAAAAAGACAAAAGGTAAAAACGGTAAAAGAGAAAAAATTGAAACTCGAAAAGAAAATGTTCTAATATCGTCGATAAAAGTCAACAGGGGGTGATGACATATTCTATTAAACTAACCTTATATTGACAGAGAGAGAGAGGGAGAGAATCGATAGATGATTAGTAAGGAAGCGGGAAAAAAGTTCTAACCAAATTATTTGAACCTTTTCTAAGTCGAAACTTTTTTTCTTTACTTTTTTGCAAGTTCGTTGTTACTCACAATGTAAACACTATTGTACTTTTATTAGATGTAGATCAACATGTTACCTTTTGTCGATTTACATCAGAATGGGATAAGATTTTTTGTTCTTTCGTATTGAACCTCATCAATAGGCCAACATTTTCCATCTTCTTCTTTTCATCATCATCTTACTTTTTTTTTCTTCTACACATAAACATTTTCTTTTATCACCTTAACCATTGTGTCTAAACTGTACATCCATCTCTAATCAACACCAGGTAAGAAAGTCTTAAACAACATCAGTAGTTGAATGAGTTACTCCATCATCTTCATGTTTATCCTCATCTTCATCCTCATCTCTCTTTCTACATCATCAAGAGAAACAGTTTATTTTATGCTACAGTAAATTTGATAATCTTTTCGAACAGAACAAAAGAAGAAGAGAGAGAGAATGAAGAAAAATTCGAACTTTTCTCACTCTTTCCTCTCTCTCTCTCTCTTATTTGACATCTTCTCTTCATCATCATCTTATGTGTAACTTTCATAAATATCATCCTCATCATCATCATTCTGACAAAGGCAAAAGAAGAATATGAAAAAAACAATGATGAAAGAAAATGAATTAAACTAAAGTAACACCAATTCTGTCACCTCATGATAACTTTAAACTTCTAGTCTGTCAAAAATGATCAACATCATCATCATCATGATATTAAATTCATTTCTCATGATTAGATTATGAAATACATGATGAAAATTTGAGACAAATTTCCAAGAGCAAAAGTGAAGCTCAATTTTTTTCATGATAACCAATGAAACTTAACTGAATTTCACTTTTCCTGTTTTCCTTTCAATGTTTCAATTCAAGTTTAAATTTATAATGATAATCATGATGATAACTGACCAGGAATCATGGTCCACCCTAATCAAATAACCTTTTATATATAATGTAACCATTAATTAAATTTTTCACTTACTTGGTAATCAACAACAGATCATGATAGCCATTAATTGTAAAACCATAACTATTTGATGAGCAATTATAATTGGGTTTTTAATAATAATAATTTTCGGGTGGAACCAGAAACTTTTTTTTTTCATTTCTAGAAAATCAAACAATCAAAACTTTAAGGTAAACTTTTCCAAAATCCTTTTCAATGTTTAAATCTTTCAACAGCATGTTTACAATTAGGTGTGTACGGATACCATAGATGGACAATTAATTTCTTAACCATAATCAACTTTAAATATTAATTGTACATCTATTAAGTTAAACTAAATTAACTAACAATGAGAAAAGTTTATTTCATTATTTATTATCAAACACGAATCGATGACTGCGCCATCTTTTGGCGAGAAGATTAAAATGTTAATTGTTGTTGATAATTTTTTCATTTTTTCGAGCCAATTACATAATTTATCATCGCTTTTGGAATAACATTTAATTGATAATGTTCATTTTCGACTAGAACTGATCAATGTTGTGATTAATTCGTTTTGAATGGTCACTTTTATCATATTCGAAGAAAAAAAAGTTCTAACATCGAAACTTTGAAACTTGGGTTTAATTAATTTTCTTCCTTTCTTGGTGATAATATTTTCTCATTCTCGTGGTAAATTGTTGTCTAATAATAACTGAGATGATGATTGAATTTGATAATAATCGATGAATAAAAATTGATTTGTTTCTTTACTTAATATTTTTTTGTTTCATTGGAAATGAATATTTGAAATGAAGACAACAAATTCGTTGATTGTTTAACTAATTGATTTGATTTGATTATCCAAAATGTGAATAGTGTAAACAATTAACCATCTCAACTATTAATATATAACAAGGCTAACAACATATAATACTTATAACATGATAACCGTTATAACATTTAATTTTCACAGAATTGATAATGATTCTGATGGAATCAGTTTCCTTCCTAATGGAGATAACATGTTCACCATGGATGAGAATCAGGAAACAGAATTGTATAAATGTACAGAATGATTGAGATAGATAGAGATATATTATCATTAGGATCCTGAGAAATTAAATCAATCAATTGAGATGGGAAAACAAATTATTCATATTCCAATTCAATCAAAATCAATTGAAACTTTCAAATTATTCATTAGATTTGAGAGTTGGAGTAACAGAGAAAAGTTTTTAAAAAAAGTTTTCTCTTTTCTAAATAAAGATATTATTAGAATCTCCAAGTGTCGATCAATTTGTATAACAATTAACACCAAGTTTTCACATGGAGAAAAAATTTATTGATTGAGAGAAGGAAAAAAAAGTGATGAACAATAATCAATAATCAATTGATTGTTACCTTGATCCTTGAAACTGTCTACTGATTTGTTACAATGTTATCATCACCTTTTGACAGGTAATCTTGTTTTTCATCAATAACAATACAAATACACTGATTATCATGATAATCTAAATCTCTGTGTTGATTTACTGTATCACCTTTTGTTATGATGATTTTTTTTCATCCTAAGATTACATCATATTCATACAATGACGGCAATTGTGTCCCAAATTTGACCTCGAACCTTTAACCGCAAAAACTGTATCAGTTTTTATTAGAAACTTTGACCTAATAATTGATCGGACTACAAAAAAGTTCCGATCATTTGAGATTCGTCTTCATTGGAAACTTGGATTCTCAATGAATATATGAGATTATTTCCAATCATGGTGAATACCCTGATTGTGATTATCATGAACAATCAGTTAAATCGGAGTCAACAGGAAAATCATCATGTAAAAACTAATAACATAATCTTTGTGATAATATTTTAATATCATTGGGAGTTGATGATAAATTATGATGATAATATTTTCCTATCATCATTTTTATGAGGTTGAAGTTTTTTTAAAAAAAAAATTAATGATAACGGTAAATAATTAACTAATCATGGTAATGATCATGTGTGCATCTGAGTTAATTTAATTGAATCACAATCTCATTGATTATAATCATGAAAAGTAATGAGTATGTGTTTACTATGGTTGATTATATGTTAAGTATGAAAAAAAATGATGTCGATGTTTTTTTCTTACTCTTGATTGTTGTTGTTCATTATTGTTCACAATTATCTTGATTATTATGATTAGTTAATCATCATCATTATTATTATCATTGTTATCTTTAACTATTATTATTATTAAGACTCTGATGATTAGTTTTACAATTAAATAATCATACTGATGATATTGGTAATGAAAAACTTTCAATTTCCATTGAAAATTAAGGTTAAGGGTGTTTCTTAATTGTGTATTGTTACAATTAAGGATTTCTTTTTTTAACAAATAGTAAATATGATTAACAAGGCGTGGTTAAGTTGATCAGAGTTGATTGTTGTTGTAATTCAGATGCAACAACATACAATTATGTTTAATCATAATTACAATCAATTTAATCAGTTGATTAACGTGAAGACTTTTTTTTTCATTAGTTGAAAGGAAATAAAAAAATCAAAATGTTTTCCAATGAAAATCAAGTCTAATTTTCAACAATCAAATTTAATTGTATCTTCTAATTAACTAGACACTCACAGTTGATTATTATCATTATGCAGTAATTAAAAGGTTGATTAGTTTAAATTGTTGTTGTGATTAAAATGATCGAGGGTTTGTATTGGTTTTATTTTGGTTAATTTTTCATTTGTGTAGCAAAAGTTTAATTGTCGAAACAGTTAACTTAATGATTATGATTGATAATATTATAATGTAATGATAATAATAATTAACTGTATCTTGTCATTAGGTAAATTGGGTGAAATTGATTAACTAATTATACAATTGGTTATAATTGTAACTTTAATCAACAATTTGTTACAAAATCAACTCGAGTTAGTAGTTAATTTTAATCATAATAATGGTAACAATCAAATAAATCATTTGGGGTGAATTAAATTAGTTTTACAAAAAAAAGTTACATATTAAAATGATTAAGTTAATTGTCATTTGGAGGGTGATCATCACATAGTATTAATATTAATATAATCATAGTTGTACCAATTAACTTAAATCAATAGGATAAAGTTACAATTAACTTAACCACAATCAAACTTGTCTATAAGCTTTGGTTCATAATTTATGTACATTATTATGATTAATCAAACAATTAGATCAATTGTAGGGTTAACTATCAAATTGCTAATCATCAGAGGTTGAAAAATTAAATCAATTAGAAAAGTTAATCGACCACAATTAAGGATTTGAAGGAAAATTAAACGTTTAACCTCAACTTGTGAATCAATGATTTTGATTCCAAATGAAATGATTAAGATTCAACTTGATTTCATCTCTAAACAATTGTTAATTTAATGTTAAATTGTTGTTCTTGTGTTAAACTAAGTGGTTTGGAAACTCAGACCATAATTTATAAATTGTTACTTGATTAAATTTGATACCTTCACGAAAAACCGTATTACCATTAGTAGTAGTAAATTATTGTTAGTTAGTTAATTGTTTAGGGTTAAAATAAAGTAAATTGTGAATATGTTAATAATAATACAAGTAACAATCAATTTTCATTTCAAAATTGATTTAAATTCCCAAGAAAACCTTGACATTATTCAAGATGCAATTTAAATTGTTGTTTATTTTGATCACACAATGATTAACAATTGTGATCCATTGTGAGGGTAACAATTTAATAACAATTAAATTAACATTTGAATATGATGATAATATAGAAATGGATTTTATAAGAAAAGGTGAAGGATTTTTTTTCCATCAAGAAAAATTTTCTTTTTCAAATGTTTACTCCGCCTAACTGACCAATGGTCAGTTTTAAGTAGTGGACAAGGATTGAGTTACCTTGACAATGACCATTGATTATTTATTTCACCATTGACACTGAAAAAGGTCAAGTAACAATTGAGTATAAAACTTAACCCATTATTTTGTATGTTTCCCATTGTGTTCAAGTGTTGAATTGTATTTGTTTAATCACAATTAAATTAAACTGTCAATAGTCAATGAAATTGTTAGTTGATTATTATTATTGTTATGAATAAATTGTTTTGATTGTTATTATTGTATTATTAGGTAACCAAGTAAATAATGATACGATTTTTTGTCTCATTTTCAGATTTATTTTGAGAAATTATTAATTATAATAGAAATTAATTGATAACACCATCTTGTAGAGAAAAAAACAAGCTTTCTAATGATATAAAATTTATTTTAATACCTAATTAGTTAAACAACAATTAAAATTATCCAAAAATATTTTTTAAATTTCTGTCGATTTCAAAGCCGATAATTTCGGCTTAAACTCGGTGGAAAATTTTGAAAAGCTCATCAATCGATAGCTTGACCATCTGAGTCTCTTCACCGAAAAAATCTCACTAATTGTTAATTGGGTTCAGAAAATTCCAACAATTAAACAAAAAGACTGAAAATTTCCTATGGGCTTTTAACATTGAAAATTTTATTTTCAAAGAAAAAAATGATAAAATCCTCGAAAAGTTTTTGTCTATGGAAAATTAATGTTAAATCTTTTTTTGTTTAATTGTTGGAATTTTCTGAACCCAATTAACAATTAGTGAGATTTTTTGTGAAGAGACTCAGATGGTCAAGCTATCGATTGATGAGCTTTTCAAAATTTTCCACCGAGTTTAAAGCCGAAATTATCGGCTTTGAAATCGGCGGCTGAAATTTCAAAAAATATTGTTTTTGGATAATTTTAATTGTTGTTTAACTAATTAGGGTATTAAAATAAATTTTATATCATTAGAAAGCTTGTTTTTTTCTCTACAAGATGGTGTTATCAATTAATTTCTATTATAATTAATAATTTCTCAAAATAAATCTGAAAATGAGACAAAAAATCGTATCATTATTTACTTGGTTACCTAATAATATAACAATTGATGATAATAAAAAAAGATATTACGTTTTCATGATCATTTAATATGTTATTGGACTTGGATTGTTATTTAGTGGACAATGTCAATGATTAACTAATGATTAATTGATTTTAATTGTTGGTTAAAATTGGGGTAAAAAAAGAGGAAAATTAATTGTATAGTTTGTTATCTGATGAATTTGTTTAGATGATTAAGTTAACTATTGATTAAGAAATACCTGTTTATGTATTATTTGGATTGAGATTACTTTTTTTCATGGTTACGATTATATGTTAATCATTAATCCGATTAATCAAATTTCTTGATCAGTTGGTGAAATTTAATTATTACTTGTTCTTGGGTGAGGTTTATTAAACCATGGGGTTAATTGTAGTTGTAGTAGTGATCATGGTTAAAGGTGATTAACTTGATTAAAGATGATGATTATTTATCATGATTGTGAATCCATTGTTTATCTTATTGATTTCAACTTGATTGAATTAGAGATGTTGAATTGTTGAGATTGGCATCAATGATATGGTTAATTGTTGTCTCTCTATCCTTTTATTTAGATGATGATTATGTTTAACTTTAGTTTTGTGTTTCCGCTGATTAAGCTTAATCTTAGGATGAGTTCAAGTGTCTTCCATTTAATATAATTGTAACTTGGATTGTTAATCATCTTAACTTTATCCTTATATTCAGGCCCAAAGGTAAGACCTTTGATAATCATCATCATCACCACCAATCATTATCATTATCATCATGATAATAATAATCAAATCCATGGGTTGGGTCCAGGGTATTATTGTTATTATCTTCCTGAGTGTGAGAGTATCATTGTTGTTGATATTATCCTTCATGTAGCATTAGCATTGTTGTATCTTTATCACCCTCAATGACTGGAAACAATTAATTAAGTTAATATTAATCAGCAGAATAAGAAAATTGAGAATTGAGAATTGGATGATTCCATTGAATTAATTGTATTACATTGATAGTTGTTGATTCCTTTCCAATGATGATTTTCCCTTGATTCTTGTTAAATTGTTACTTGCAAGTTGATTTTTTTGTTGTTTCCTTATCAATAATAATATCCAATTATCAATGATTAGCTTTTTTTGTTTTCGTTTTCAATCAATTGGTTTCTCCTTGTTTTACTTTAAGTTTTATCATCAAACTGGTTCACAGGGATTTGATTATTGAATTAAATTATTTTCCTTTTCTTCCAATGTCAACAGAAATTTCATTCTTGTCCATCACCAAATTGATTCTCTTCTTCAATCAACTGGTCATTTTTGTGATTGATATTCCAATTGACTTTATCCCTTTTCACTTTAGAACAACTTTTCTCTTTTCCTTTGCTTTCAATCTTCTTCTTCTTCTATCATCTTTTAGATAATTTTATCAGCATCTTCATCTTCCAAATAGATTCCAAATAGTAATATCATCGTAACATCCGTTACGCTTTTCAATAGTAAATTTGATTTACTCTACGGTGGTTTATTAACTTTCACTTTAATCCGTTAAAATTGCGAATCCGGGGAAAGATGATTACTGAAGGTTGACAAGGGAACATGGATTACCAGATAATCTGCAAAATTTTACCTCCAAAATGGTGTAACCGGTTTACTAGTGTCATTTTGTATTCGTTGGATATTGACACTGATTTATTATTAACTTGATTGTTTGCATATATCTCTCTCTCTCTCCATGTTTTCCCTCTTTCGGTTCTGGTGGCCAGTTGATTGTCAACTTGATTATTCTGAAAGTAGAAAAATGAAATAAATAAACATTAAGATGGTGGTAGTTGGAAGTTGGATGTCGGCGGTGGGTGAAACTAACGATGCTGTTAAAGCCTCTGGGTAGAGGTTAGATATTGAATTACATTGGAATATCAAATAGGAGAGAGAGAGAAAAAAAACTCCACACTCTCTGTTGACTTTTGAGAAGAATTTAATCTTCATCTTCTATCAACATCGTTGTTTCGGTGATGAATATCAGGGAATAGATTCGGTGTAAAAAGAAAAAAAAATATTAGATGAAGAGAAAAAAGGTAATTAAGATGATGACGAAAAGTAATAAATCAACAGCCCATCAGTCAAATCAAGAACTTGGATTAGATATTCTAATATTATCACCAGGCAAGGAGAAGAAGAAAAAAAGAGAGAAATAAACACCAACCATCAGCTAATTAATTCTGTTGGAAGAAAAAAAGAAAAAGAAAAATTAAAATCAACTGATCAGTAACAAAGATCACATTTGATTGGAAAAATATTATAACCGTAACAATCTGATAATCTAAAGAGAAATCATTAGATTATCTTTAGATCAGCGGAGACACAGGTAAAGAATAGAAATCAAGATAAATACCAGAGAAAAGAATAAAATAAAAATCCAATTAACTAACAATTAACAATTAATTTAATTAGAAAACAAATAAACATTAAGATGGAAAAAGATTAATGCTAATCAGCTGTTTCTCTATAGAGACTCGAACGTTTCTATTGGTCGATTTTTTTTTCTTTCTTCTTGATTTTTGTTTTGTTTCTCTCAATTTTAATTCGCAATTTTCTTGATTATTTTTCTAATTGTTTGAGTGTTTTTTTTCCACAATTTGTTCCGGAACTTGATCTAAATTGTGAATTTTCTATTCTGTAAACTGTTACTCGTTTAGAATTTAATTTCTAAATGAATTAATCGATCGGTGTTTCCATGTTGTTGATTAGGTTTTTTTCTTTGTTGGATTTTCTTTATTATTTGCAATTGAAATCAACTTGTTGGAATTTATTAACTATTGGGTTTTAATTGTCTTGGAGTTGCTCTATCAATGGATAAATGATGCCTACATAATTAGACAATTAACTAATCAACGTTGATTGTATTTTGACTTATCCACACTTAATGGAGACAAAGGTAAATATCAATCATTACATTAGCTCAAAGACTCACATTCAATGGTCCTAATTGTTTGTCCTTGTGAATTTTAATTAACTAATGATTTGATTGCGTGTTTACATGATTATTATTAACATTTTAAAATAGATTCACTGTCTAAATATGTGTGTGTATATTTGTGGTGGTTGAACGATTGTCAATTGTTCAATGTTCATATAATCAATTGTTACGGTTTGATAATCTTTGATTAGAGAGAAAGAAAAAAACATTCTCTTTGGTAACAAAAAGATAATTAAAATTAATTGTGATCATTTTAAAATGGAACAAGTGACAATTTTGAAGATGGAAAAAACTATTTACATAATAAAGGTAAACAAATAGAAATGAAGGTAAGAAATTGAATGGAGATTGATAATTAATGAGTTAAAGTTAATTAAATGTCGCCTTGAATTCAATATATAAAAAGAAAAATTATCAATTCTAATTAATCATTGATTGTCTTTTCTCATAATTTAGATTCATTGAAAAGTGTCAACAGAATTTTTTTTTTCACTTCGATTTAATCTCTCTCTCTCTGATTGTTGGACTAATTGTTTGAATGCGGATTATCATGTGATTATGGATTATATTTGGATTAAAGTTATCACCTTAATCGTTTTGATTAGTTCACTTTGGGTTCCTTCAAAGGTAAACATTAATTTCTGATTGTTTTGTTTTCCTTTTGTTTTATAAATTGATTTTTGTTATTTTCTTTACAAAATTGATTCTTCTTAGGGTTCGCAATGTGTCATGATGGGACTTTGTGAACAAGCGGCTTTTGGTCATGTTCCTTGTGTCCACTCTGGTCCACCTCAGCCAATGACCGACGATTCAGCCAAAGGCCTTCTAACGGAAATGTGTCCCCATCTTTCAAGTGAATCTGGTTTATGTTGTTCTCGGGAACAAATTGAAGATCTTAAAAGTCACACGGAACTTTTTGGCCTTTTCTTGAAAACTTGCCCTTCCTGTTTCGCTAATTATCAAAAGCTATTATGTCATATTACCTGTTCACCCAATCAGGCTGATTTTGTGAAAATTTTACGAAAACAAATGACCGATGAAGGTGACAAAGAGCAAGTCGGTGAAATTGATGTTTTCCTTGACAATTCATTTGCATCCACTTTCTATGATTCTTGTAAAAATATTACTCGTTTCGGTGAACGGGTTATCGATGTTTTCTGTAAACCCTGGGGAGCTGAGAAATGTAATCCTGAACGATTACTTAAATATCTTGGCTCGGATTATGGTCATCTTGGTCATTCTCCTTATCAAATTGATTTTGTCCTCGATTCAAGTGATACCCATAAACTTTACGATGAAAACTTCCAGGTAACCAAATTGTCCGCTTCATCTTGCTCTGAATCGGTTAATGGTCAACCTGCTTGCCCTTGTGAACACTGTCCATCATCTTGTGGTTAACAATTGGATAAAAAAAAATCTAAACAATTTTGGTCAAACAATTAATTTTGTCTCAGATAACAAAACAAACAAATTTAACTCTCAAAACCAATCCAACTTAACATTTCATTTCTCAATTAATTTTCACACTCTTTTCATTGTTAATTGTAACTTTTCCCATTCACTCTCCTCTCAAATTATGTATATTTAAGGTTCCAATAAATGTACAGTTACATCATGTTAATTTAAATTGTTTCGTTCAATTGAAACGAAACAATTTCGTTGCAATTTATAAAAAGCGCTTCTTTCGGTTGCCATGGTTACGAAAAGCTAACACATGTTTCGATTGTTTTTTTTGGAACAGCCTATTCGACCAGAAATTTCTGGTTGTTTAGGCTCCCAGCCTAAACAGCCAGTTACTGAAACTAACTCCATCTCACGGTCGAATGAAAACAATAGGACAATCGATCAAGTTGATTCGATCAAAACTTTATTTTACTTGTAGTGTTGAACGATTAAGTTTATTTTTTACTGTTTCAAAAAATAGATCCAATTTTAAGATCTCAGTTAAAATTAACTAAAATGAGTGCATCTAGTGTTATAGATGAAAACGATCCATATTTCTATATCGGGAAAGTGTTTTCAACTAAAGAACAACTCGATGAGTTTATTGTTTTGTACGAGAAAAACGAGTTTGTTCAATTGCATAAACGCACTTGCAAAATTTTACCAGATTCTGTGCTTGGATATTCGAATATTGTTTTATGTTGTAAAGCCGGTGGCCGTGAGTTCAAAACATGCTCCAAAGGAAAACGTAAAACAAGGTAAGTTTATAAAATTTTTTGAACAAACTGAAATCTCAACTGGGTTTTATTCATTTAGGACTTTTCAAGACAAATGCCCTTTTAGAGTGAATGTCAACTTGTCTAAAGATAGAACGGTATTGTTGGTTACCAGCATGAACGAAATGCACACTTGTAAAATCGCTGGTAACCGCGAAATATACATGCGATTACCAAGACAAAGAAGACCAGACGATAAACAACGTGAGCTCATTCAAAGTATCAAGGGCTGTTTGGGTAATACCAAGTCAATTATAACAAAATTTCAAGATGAATTTGGTAAAACAATCACCGGAAAAGATATACAAAATGTACTAGCAATGGCCAGAAAGAGTGGAGATAAAATGAGTGATTGTGAAGAATTGGTAGAAATGATGAAGTCTCAATCCGAGAGTTCAATTTATATTGAGCACGAAGAAAATTTAGTTAACTGTGTCTTCTTCCAAGATCGCTACATGCGAGAACTTTATCATAGTTTTCCTGAAATTTTGCTCATTGATTCAACATACAAGTTGAACCAGAATCGGATGTGTTTGATGGTAATAATGGTTGTTGATGGAAATGGTGAATCGGGTATTGTTGGCCTCTCTTTTCTTCGTGGTGAGTCTGAGAAATGTACGACTGGTGCCTTGAATAGTTTCGTTAAAGCTGTTGGTAATCACCAAGAAACAAATATCATAATGGCAGACAAAGACATGGCTAACCGAAACGCTTTCGATAAGGTAAGACTTAGTTTAACTTGTTCATTTCTTCCTTTATCTGGATCTAAATTTTGTTTCCAATTTCTAGATCTAAATTTTCATATTAATTTCTAGATCTAAATTTTGTTTCCAGTTTCTAGATCTAAATTTTCTTATTAATTTCTAGATCTAAATTTTGTTTCCAGTTTCTAGATCTAAATTTTGTTTCCAGTTTCTAGATCTAAATTTTCTTATTAATTTCTAGATCTAAATTTTGTTTCCAGTTTCTAGATCTAAATTTTCTTATTAATTTCTAGATCTAAATTTTGTTTCCAGTTTCTAGATCTAAATTTTCTTATTAATTTCTAGATCTAAATTTTCTTATTAATTTCTAGATCTAAATTTTGTTTCCAATTTCTAGATCTAAATTTTGTTTTCTTTATCGTTTTTCTTCTAGGTTTTTCCCCATTCAAAGGTACATATCTGTATTTTTCACGTCATGCAAACATTCATTCGTGAAATTACTTGTAACAAAAGAAATATAACCGTCGAGCAAAGAGACGAGACTTTAAAAATATTGCAAAATATGGTTTATGCTGACTCCGAGTTGAAATATGAAACTCTTTATAAAAAATTAATGGATATGCAGCTCTCTTCAGTGAGTGACTATTTTAATGATAACTGGCACGATTTACGAGAACAATGGTCTATGTATGGACAAAACTCGATGTCACATTTCATGAATCGAACAAATAATAGATTAGAGCGATTCAATCGAGAGCTTCAAAATACATCGATTAAATATGGTAAAATTGCTTATTGTTTTTCCAATATCATGGTTGCTGTAAAAGCAATGAGAATGGAAAGAGATCAAAGAGCTTTCAACATGGTACTCAAAAAAAGATCAGAAGCTCTGCCTGATATTCTTTCTCATTACAATCAACACCTCACTGAATATGCTTTCAAGAAACTAAAAGTCCAGTATGAGATATCTCACGATTTGAAACCCCCTGTTTTGGTCAATCAATCTGCAACTTTCAATATCCATGGAACATCTTATACAACCACTACAAGTTCTTGTGATTGTTCTTTTTTTCATGTTATGCAGTTACCGTGTCGTCATATTTTCAGACTTGCAAGAGAGCTTGGAGAAGATGAATTTCTGCCCGAGCTTTGCTCAACTCGTTGGTCGCTCGACAGATTCGCTGCTATTAAAAAAAGATTGATGCAAACTGAAAATTTGGACTCAAATTTACACTTACAAAAGACGAAAAAAAATGTAGATCCAAATTTGAGATCTCAGTCGAGCAAATTCAGAGAGGTTAAAGATTGTGTATTAGACTTGGCAGAAATAATTTCTCATCAACCAAGTGAGGTTTATCGTATGATTTTGTCGGATACAGAAGCTTTTAAAAAGAAGATGATTGAAAAAATGTTGGCGATATCAAAAGAGATGAAAGGAGCCGAAGATCAGGAGCCAATATCACAAGATTGCTTCTGTTTAATTAATAACAAAGAGTTCAATATTGATTCTTTTATGTGCAGTGATTGCAAAAGGATAACTCACTCAACATGTCATGGATTTTTAAATGCCTTTTCACCAGATTATGACTTGAGATTTGACCCAGAATCACCTTTGACTTGTTGGAGGTGTTCGGATGCCATTTACTCAGATATTAGTCTCAAGTATATGAATAAACAGCAACTGAGAGCAAAAGCCTTGAAAAGATTGGCAATTAAAAATTTAGTTTCTTCCTTGCATTATGATCGTGATGAGTCAATTGATGAAATTCAAAGTGAGATTTCAAGTCAAGATCTGAATAGTTTGGTAACTGAAAATTTTACTCGAATCAATATTTGCTCTAATTTGGATCAAATTGAATTGATCTATGGAGAAAAAGAACCAACCGATTCACCTCCAATAGACGATTTAGAGCCTTTTCCACCTGAGATTGATCATTGCTACACAAGACAAATCAAAGAGCTCATTCTTCCACCTATTCCTGTCAATATAACAGCCAAGAGAGTTGGTAAAAGGGGTAAAAGAATTGCTACCTTAAAAACTTTTACCGAACTCAACCTTATTAATAAAAGAAAGAGTAAGTTTATTTCAGATCCAAAAATGAGATCTCAAAATTGGATCTATTTTTTTAATCCAAATTTTTCTTTTTTCGCAATAGGAATGTTAAATTGGCTCAATCTTAGCCGGAATACTGAAGCGATTCTTGGTAAGCAGATTATGATCACAGCTGACGACGTGAACGGCTTGGAAACGCTCATTCTTCAAAAGTTCAGGAACAAGGATATCAATGTTGGTATCATTGAGTCGTATTTTGAACCTGATGCATTCGAAAAACTAAAAGATCTAGTTGCAAGCCTGAAATCAAAGCGATGGCTTTGTGGTCATTGTAATAAGGCATCAGGATGCAAGGTCATTTTTTGTGACAGTTGTTACAATTGGTACCACTTCAGATGCGTTGGACTAACTTCTGTACCTCGCAAAGAATTTTATCACTGTCCGGATTGTAATTGAAAAATTTTTCTTAATTTCCATCAAAACTGCATTTGAATTACCCGCAAAAATTGATTAAAATTAAATATATCCTAAAATTAGATCTAATATTATCCGCCATTTATTATTAATTATATAATCTTCAAATTAATCAAATGAATTTTTTGTAATGGGTGATAATCTTGGAAACGATTGGTTATTTCAGCGAGTGAGTGAGCTCGAGGCTATCAATGACCAGCAATCAGGTGAAATTACTCGGCTTCAAGGTGAAAATACTCGGCTTCAAAGACGACTCGTCACCTTACGGCAACAGAAAGAAAGAGAAAAATCCGAAAAAAATTCATTAAGAGATGAAAACAAAGGTTTATTGAAACTTGTGAATAATCATTTCAAGTATCGGTGTTCAAATTGTCCCTATTTTTCGTGTAAACGTGCTAATTATCTGAGTCATCAATCTAATTGTAATCGTCGAACTCAAAATCGTCAATTAACTGATTAACTGAATCGATCCAAGACTTGATCCCATTTCTGGTTATTTAGGCTTAACCGTTTTTTTTTGTTTTCTCTTGGAAATTGATTGAAATTTTTTCTTAATTGTTGCTCTTTGATCTTAGTTAATTGTTCTACCTTTTTTATTAGTTTGTTAATCGAAACTCTTTTCTCAACATGGTGCAGTTAACTAATGTATTGATGAAATATATGCCACATTGGTTTCAATTGCCTATGAGAAATGGTGGTCGATATTTCAAAAAGTATAACCTGTACCGAATGACTGGTGCGTTTTATGGTCGAAATCGTAATACTTATAAAAATGCTGTAAATAAATGGACCAAAAAGATAGAATATGAGAATCGTGATCGTCCAGGTAAAAAAATTGAACTACGAGATCTATTTTCTCAAAGGCTTGTAGCCAGTTGCCGAGAACATGATTACCCTTTCCATTTATTCATCACAGCTTTACCAATGGTAACAATTTATTTCTATTCTTTGCTTTTTGGTGTTTTTAATTTTCTTTATTCTTCTATATCTAACCTTTTCTTATGTAATATCTTTTTCCTTTGTCTATTTTACTAGATGAACATTGAATTGGATAGAAAAACTTTGTCTAATTTAGCAATTTGGGAACCTCGAACGTTTAAATCTCTCATTGAATTAGCTAAAGAATTTCATCATGTCAATCAAAGAAATCCATTAATGGACCATCGAAAACCCGTCAGTGTCATCTCAAGAGGAATGTTGAAAGAGTCTTAAACGACAAAGATAAATGGAAAATGTAAATTTATATAACGGTATTTACGGACTAATCTAAATTTGTAAAATTTGGTTGCTAATCTTGTCAACAAACACAATCAATCCAAGCTCAATGTTCATCAAACTAAACATTTGCCCAATGTAGAAAGTTAATCCAATATAATCAACTTACTGTAACTAGTTTTACCCAACAATTAAATAAATTAATATGTTGAAAACAACATGACAATTGTAAACTAATCGAGCTCATGGTGACCAAGGTAACCATGAGATCTAAACATCAACAAACTTGACAACCGAATCAATTTCATCTCTTTTTTTGTGGATAATTTTGATTTAAAAAAAAACGATGATCAACCCAATCAATGATAAATTAACTTCCAAATTAGTTGAAGAGAAAGATAAACAAAGTGAAAAATCATCGAAAGTTGAACAATTAGCCAATGAGATGGATAAATTTTCCTCCTTCAATAGTCAAGTTGTTATTTTTGGAGAAATTGGTAAGTTAATTTGATTGTGATTCAAATTATTCCAAGTTTTAATTTTCTCTCATTTCTTTTTCTCTTTTCAGCCAAATTGATAAACTTTAAAGGTAAAAATGTTCACATCGAGTTCTGGTTGGAACCATCACAAGGTTGGTTTCCAAATGATGGTGATGATAAATCTCTATGTGGATTAACTCATAGATGTTACAGTTCAACGGAAATCACTTCGATCGGAGCTCCGTTTCAATTCATTGTCTCTCACAATCAAACTAAATCAACTAATGAATTAGAAATTGTCAAAGGATTTACACTCTATTTTCGAGTGGTCAAACATCACACATTCGGCCGATCGTCAACTGAAGCTTTTGGAATCCTGGGTTTCCCATGTCGACCTGGAAGATATTCCAGATCAATTAAGATGTTTCGACCTTATTCCAATAGAATAGCCGATAAATTGATGGAACATTTTCTTGATTATTCTTTTGATTTAGATGATTTAGAAGAGGTTAGTAATTTTTTTCTTCCAATCAATACAATCATGTTATCATCTTCTCACTGCTTCTCCAAATAGCATCACTATGAACCATTGGGTTTAATTTACACCGAATCAAAAGGATCCATATCAATAGATTTCAATATCATTTTACAATCAAGGTTAGTTTAATCTTCTCCTAGTGTTTGATTACTGATTGTCTCTAATTGACTCATTTTCTTTGACAGTTCTCTTGGATTACAATTAGACGAAACCAACGACACTTTCGATCCATTGTGGAGCGATATCTCTCAAATTGTGACCGCATTTAGACGAGCCCGACAACGGATGATTTTCTTACGAATGAAAGCACTTAAATTGTTTAAAAGGCAAAAATGAGAGTAAAATTGATCCAGCAATTTAATGTTTTATCGATGCTGCGGTGGTTCGTAGTTGTTGGAAAAGGGTGAAAGCTTTTTGAACGAAATTCTTGATCAAATAAAGTTCAGCTTTCGTTACATTGTGAAGTGTAACCGTTGAAACTGCGAGATTGTCCTTATACTCTTCATAGACATGTTGAAATAGGGAAGCAATTGAAGTCTTGAGAAATGCTTCTCGTCGTTCAATTAAATCAGCACAATCAGGAATAGAGGGGACATGTTGTTGTAACAATTTAATAATCTCTCTGTAATATTCTGAGGGCATCTCGAGCATCCGATCAGCTACTTCTTGTTGCTCTTGTAAATCAATTAGTTTCTTAATCCAACTTGGTAATTTAAGGGAACACTTATGTTGTTGGTGTAAATTTAAGGCCATCCAAATAGGAACCTTAACTGGTACATTAGGTTCAAATGGTCCAAAATCTCCAGAAATTAAATTTAATTGTTTGTTGAACTTGAAATTAGGTATGATCTCAATAAGCTCTTCCTCGGCAAGGAATTCACAGAAGTCCATTTTTCCTTTTATTTTCCTAGACTACAACCACTACAAGTTGAACATGAAAGGAAACAGAAAATTACTTAATAACTAAATTAAAACAATAAAATAGAGATTGATTAACATAATGAGAAAATTAAAATGTTCACATGAAGAAAAATCAAAATTAGGTAATCACTTGAATTGGTTGATAAATCAAAAATTCAACGTTTTAGGGACTCACCTTTAAGGTTTAGATTGTTGTGACACTTGGAATACTTTCAATTGTGAATTAATTGGTAACAATTTAATTAGAAATTTAAAAAAAAAGATTAAATTGATGAGACGATTGAAGGAGAAACGCTCAATACATTTGGCGCTTTTTCTCACAAAAGAAATAAACATCAGCTGTTTTCTGGAAAATGGAACAAATTTTGAAAAAATTTGTTCTTTTTTCTCATTTCGTTTAATTGTCAGCTAAGAGTTTTTAATTTAAATCGTTGACTTTTTGGTCGGAACAATTTATGGAAAATGGTCAACGTATATCAATTAATAGATTTAAAGGTAAGAAGATTAATTGAATTTCATTTATTTGGAGTTAAAATTTATTTCCAATCAGTTGTTTTTTATTTTCTTCCATAACAATTAGATTTCTTTTATTTTGGTGTTGATTGTTATTCATTTGGATCCTGATTTTCTCATGATTTGGTAACAAATAAGATGTCAAGTGTTAAGAGATAATCAGATTGCCCATAAAATTCACCCGTAAACATTTCAAGTGAAAATTATCAAGTGCAAGTCTCAAGGATGATCTTGATTAAAGCTCTTCATGGTTATCGGGTTTAATTTTATTACCTAAAAGGTAAGATGAATAAGGAAAATATTGATTAATATCCAAGTGACTCTTATTCTAGAGAAAAATTCAATTCCTTACCAAAATTTGTATTCAGTTGTTTGATTGGGAAAGGCCAATTTTTCTGACAGTCCAAAGCGATTTGATTACTGAATTGGCTCAATCCTCGTGAATTCAATTCCTTGACCGGCATTTCAACCTTTCCAGATTCATCGGATGTCCATTTCAACCATTCCCTTGACCCAACCTTTGGAACCTTTCTAATGATTTCATATAATAAGAATAAGTGAATGAATCGACACATTCGATATGATTTTAATTACACTTACCCGGTTCTTGCAAATTCCCCCCAAATATCAAGCATAACCATTGATAGAATTGTATCTTCTTGGTTATAAGTTGAATCGTTCAATGGACCTCCGAACATCATTGGAACATCGTCCCCATGAGTCGCCGGAATCCAATTACTTTCAGGAGTTATTTTGAATATTGGTTTTGATGGTTTATGGCTTTGATAATAAGCGTAAACATTTGATTTACTGTATTTAACTGCATCTCTACCGAACATGTAAGTTGGACAAGCGAGTGTAATATCTCCCAGTGACTGACCAATGGCTAATCTAAGTTGGTTTGGGTCATTGTGATCAATTTTGTCGAAAAATTTATCTACAATATATCCAATCCATTCATCACCGTAAATATCACCGATGATGGTTTTGGCCTCAACAAATGTCAAATTAACTGGGTTAACTGCATCAAAAGTTACGGGATCAGTAAGTGTCAACATACTAGCACCTTCATTACCAACAGTACCAAGTAAAATATTAACACTTGAATCAATTGATTTGATTAGGTTATTTGGATCTTCGGGTAAGAAATCGTCACCATGAACAGGCCAAAAGAGGAAATCGTTAACCGAGGCGAAGACACTTTCATTGGCTGATTGTAGACACGAGAAAACGTTTTCAGCTGAATTACAATTACTCTTTTCCATGATGATCTCTGACGATTTCGGATTAAACCATGTATCAATGTTCAGAATTGAGCCACTTTGTAGGATCGCATTTTTGAATAATCCTTTCGCCCGAGGTGATACAACTAATGCTGCAACCGAAATGCCTCCAGCACTTTCACCAAATATCGTAACTTGATCAGGATCACCACCAAATTGTTTGATGTTATTTTTTACCCATTGAAGGGCCAATAGCTGATCCCATAGTCCTAAGTTACTAGGAACACCATGTTCGGGTAAATGTAAGAAACCTAATGCTCCAAGACGATAATTAATGGCAACATAGACGATATCCTCTGTAGCGGCTAAAATTGTCCCATTATAAGCATCGAAATGAGCTGAACCAATAGCGAAACCACCGCCGTGAATCCAAACCATAACAGGTCTCAATCTTTTATCTCCATGTTCAAGAGCCGATGGTGTGATCACATTTAGAGTTAAACAATCTTCACTGAATTGATAATCAGAATTGAAACCAGGAAAAAGGGCTTGAGTACAATGAGGGGGCCAATTGGTCATCGATTTAACATCATTCCAAGGCTTAACTGGCACTGGTTTTTTGAATCGAAGCTCATTGATTGGTGGCTCAGCGAATGGTATCCCAAGGAATTCATAGACAATTGACCCACGGAAATTAATCAATTGACCTCTAACCTTACCTGTTTCAAGTTTTATCTCTGGGTTACCTGGTGAAATTTCACCTTTAATCGATTGGATTAAAATTAGCACAAATATTAGCAACTTAAATATCATCTTTTCGCAATTAACTAAACAATGATACAATCAATCTACAAGAAGATCATTTAAATTGTGAATTGTTTATCTCGATTGCACTCAAAACCTGTTTAACTTTCTAAGAGCAGTCTTTTTCCTCCTTGTTATTTAATTTTAATCTCGTAGTTGCTACAACAATCAATTAAGTGTTTTTTAATGACTCTAATTGATTGTTACAACAATTTTTCAAGGTTAAATCATTTGAATGAAAAGATTTTCAAACGAAAAACAAATTCGAATCATCAAAGATGATGGCTCAGTAAATTGACTTTAATTTGATTACATTGATTGAAATATTAGCTGATAAATAGTAACTCCGATCACAATTAAACTCAGTTAATTAGTTAGACAAGGAAGAGGACCAATTCTGCCTTGAAATTTGATCTCACTCAAAATTGTAATGATGATTAGATTATCATGATCATTTCTATGAATATTAATGAATTCATTATCTTTCCAAGCAAACCAATGGTTGGTTCATATTGAAACGATACTATGAATCAAATAAGACGAACGATTGGATTTCCTAGCCTTCGGCCACTAAACCGGGTGCTGCAAGTGCCATGGACAATAAGATGGAGCCCATCATCGTAACGAAACTCGGAGTTATAAGATATATCTTGACGAAAGACAGGCCAATGTTAGCGCGTCCAGCTCGTTCTAGGAACAAGTTGATCTACAATTGAGTAAAAAAGAATTGATTGTCCGATCAATTGATTTAAAAGATCATTAACTTGCCTCATTATGAGCCTCAGGTGATGTTATTTTAAATGATAATTCGTATACTTGATCATAACATTTCTTTGCAAAGTGATTGATTGAAACTAAATGATACGTAACATGAGCGGTACTTATGATTATGTCTATAAACTGGGCTGAGTAAACGATGAACATTTCAGTTCTGTGTGCGAGTTCAACGAAGAAACTGAAACTATTGATCAGAATATAAAGATAACCACCAAATATCGTTACAGAAAAAAATACGTCCAATTTGTGAGTAGTTTGTGCGGCCATTTCATATACATGACGAATCAATTTGATGCGTCTCTCAGCTTTCGAGTCTTGTTTTACATCGGATATTAGATAACTTATTAGCACGAAAGACCCTCTCAAAAAGAGACAACTTTCAATGATCATTTGCTTGGTGAGAACCCAACTAAGCGCATTCATAGCGGTGAATATGAGGATCATGATATAGTAAATTGGACTTTCTTCGTACAAGATATTATATGTGTAGTAAGGGAACAATCCGAGTGCGATGATACTTGACGAACACATCATGATATAGATTATAATTCGTGGATAGTAACGGATCTCTTCAAGAATCTGGCGAGATTTTGAAAAGTTGGTCGATAGAATTTTTTGATTTTCTTCAATAAACTTTACATAAGTATGACGGTTCCATGTTTGGTACGAAATTGTAGCCGAAAGAAAAATATTATATAAACCAGATATGAATCGATACTTTTTACCGAAATCTTTACCATTTTTTGAAGATCCCATGATGACATTGAATATACCATTGCCCAAATAAGCGATGGAAATGATCAAAGAACTGATAAGTTGAGATCTTTTACCTTTCAACAGAGATCTTGTTACGATACTCGATGGATTGAGTGCTTTCAATTTCGAATCCATCCTTCGATGTTCAAGTAAACTTTTCGTTATTCTTTTCGATCACTCAACTATAGTTGAACAAGATTTTAAATTGAACGAATAAATCGAAATCGGTTCAATATAAAGACTCTACTCAGTCTATTCTCCTTAACTGTGACAGGTTAAGATTGATCAAGAATCATAATGTTCGAACTTTTTCGAATTCGGAAGAAAAAAGGCCACAAATTAAGTATTTACTCAAGCAATTTTCGCAAAATAATTGTTATTTGATTGATCACAATCACTTCAAGATTGTTTAGATTTCATCAATCAACGTGTTGATTTTTTTCGTTTTTTTAATGAATGAAAATTACTCACAAAAATGATCTGAAAGTTATAATATGACATTCGAAATGATTATTTATAAATTAAGAATATAAGAATTAACGTTCAATTCAATTTGGTAACTAATAGAAAGTGTTTACTCTTTATAATTGAAATTTTTCTCATTATTTGATTATCATTCTATTCAAAATCAAATTAATAATAGATTTTTGTTTAGATTATCTTCAAACGAAAATAAGTAAAATGATCAACATGATTCCTACAATAATAGAGATTTTTTCAGTAACTTTCACCAGGCTACCAAAAGGTTTCGACGATTCCAATTTGATTCAGTCAACCCAATAGATTTTTTCACAATTTGTTTTCAATGAATTTCGCAGATTAGCAATTGATTAAGTTCTGGGAACAATAAGTCAAGATGCTTTCTTATTAAGACGGTTTTTTGCAGCCTAATTAACAAATTCAGCTAAAGGGTGTTACGGATAACATATTTTTCTTGCTAAATTTAGGATTTAAATTTCAATATGAGAATGAATATTTGATACAAATGTAAAACGTTCTTAGGATTTAATTGATTGTTATTTAATCGTACCAATCAAATCAATGATAGATTATTGGTTAGAGTAAGAAAAATCCAAAGGAATGGAAAGAGAGAAAAGTATATCAAGGTGTATCTTTTTGTTTTCTTCTCCATCTTATTATTCTGAATGAGGATTAATAGTATTTAAGTGAGAGATCAAAACAAAAATTGTATCAATAGTTACCATGATTACGATAATAATAATAATATATTTTCTATGCTCACAAACCTTCAGACACTCACCTGAATTTCGATCGATAATCATCTCTCATTGTCATCAATTAAATTCTTTGGCTCCAATGAGAGAAGATAATCAAAAGGAATAGAATCGAAAAAAAAAGTTCACCATAACATTTACATGAATGGAAGAGAAAAGGTTATCATTCTTACCTGAGATTATCTCTCTTCTGATAATTTCTTCATTCTAAGTGTTAATTGTTTACCTAATCGACAATTTATTCTTAAATTGATTCCATGATATTGGAGTTTTTTCCTTCCAATAATAGTTGTTAACTAAAATCGAAAACAATCAAAGTATTTGTTTCTTATTTCTCTCTTATTTTTCTGTTCTCTTCTCATTCATTTTAATTGTGTTTCTCTAATTGTCACCACTTAATTCACTTAATTCATTTTCTTTGTTATTTTTTTGTTCAGTGTTCTAATCAATCATTAATGTTAAAATCTATGGAATCGAGTGAAAAGTTAATCAATAGATTCCAAGGAAAGTAATTATCTTTAACCTTTTCTTTGATTATCATGTTTATTTGATTTTCTTTTCTTTTAAATAATTAGATCTCTTCAATAATTGTAACTGTTAATTGTCATTTATGCCTTGAATGCCTCGTAATTATCCACATATTGGTAATAATAATAATAATACTAAAACACAATCGTCTAATAATTTAGATAAATTGTCCCACCGTTCAGATGAATCGACTAGATTGTTAAACTCTTCCGCTCTCTCATCAAGATCTTCATCATCTCATCAGCGGATTAAGGAAATCCCACCTCATCGATTACGAGATAATCTTCATTGGCGCTGTTCGACCTGTAACACATTAGTAGCGACAAGTGAAACTGGTGCTCATCTGATTGGTTGTTTACTCGAACTGGTTGGAACTTATATCGATTCAGAATTGAAGGTTGATTCTGTTGACTCTAATTCTGTTTATTCATTTCAAACTGATCATCAAATCATGAATTCAACGACTAATGTTCAACGTCGGTCAAGTGATCGACCGAGAACCAAAAAACTAGAAAGACCAACACCCAATATAATACATCCTGTAATCAATGAGAAAACAATTGAAGTTGAAGATGAAGATAATATTAGTGCCAATGTGAGTTCGTGTTTGTGTCGAAAGTTAATCAATTCTGGTTCGATTAAAAGTATTCCTGAAAATGGTACAACTCAAATTGAAACATCAAAACGAATTACTAATCATCGAAACATCAACAAAGGATCTAATCGTAGTGTCTCTGGATGGTCTGGAGGTGGTAAAGTTTATCCACCACAACCTCCTCCTCCTCTTGTAACACCATCAACGGCATCAACATGTCGATCTGAAACCATTAAGAAAGTTTGTAATTCGTGTGATTGGTCATCAGCACCCGAAAGACTTCACAGTCATCATGGAAAATCATCATCACATCATCATCTCCATCACTCTCATAACAACTCTCGTGTCAATATATCACCCACAAAGGATAAGAGTTTAATCCAGAAACAAACGATAGACAAATGTTCAAAATCGCCATCGGTCAAGTCTTCACCAAGAACATCCTCCAAATCGGACATAAACAATAACAACAGTAATCAAGTGATTCTTGAAAACGATGGTAAACATGAATCAACTTCCTCTGATTTCGATCAACATCCTAAAGAAGATGAGGATGATAAAGATGATGAAAATGGACGAAATAAGAGTAACCGCTTGAAAGATCTTGACCTAATCGAACCAACTGACCAGGGTAACTATTCATCTCTTCAAATGAAATGTTACCTTTGTCGTCAAGACTTTCCAACTGATGACATCGAAATCCATGAGATTGAATGTTTCGAGGTAAGTTAATTGTTCCCTAATTGAAAATATCAATTGAAAAATGTCAACAATCAATTCATTTATTGGATGAAAACTAATCAATGGTCAAGACAATTTGAAACCTTGTCCATTTCTTTGACCTTGATCGTTAATTGTAACATGGAAATGATGTATTAATCGTTAATTGTGATGATACTCTTATTGTTTTCACCCTATTAACCTATCAACCATGAAAATATAATCTAAATTATTGATTATTATTACCTTAATGTTTGATTGTTATTAGATCAATGTATTAACCTTGATTGCAACAGGCGATTCTATGAAAAACTATTTTCTATTATTATCTTGATTGTTAGAAATCATATTAATATTAATCACAATTATAATGATATTATTTAGAAAAACAGAAAACGATTAAGGTTACAATTGATACTTGTCATTTGGAATTGAAGCTTTTCAATGTATAACAATTAAAGTTAATCTAGTAAACTTATTGGCTCCAATTTTAATTGTTTCCAATTGATTTTATACAAAATTCTAAATGTTGACATTGAATTGTTATTTAGTGATTCTAATCACTACCATGATTAACATTAACAATTAACGATTTTCCAATTTCTATATCTGATTGATTTTGATTCTAATTGTAGCTTAACAATTGATTTCTCATCGGTAAATTAACTTAATTCACAGTTACTTTTATGTAACAATAATAACAATTATTGATACTTGATATTTACTAAGGTGAAAAAAAGTAATCATTATCTACTGATTGTTTGATTAACCAATTCATGTTTTAACTGTCAACTATTAGCTTAATACAAACAATGAAGGAAACAATCAATGATCTTAATCAATAGTAACCATTAATTTTGATTGTTACTTTTGTTTTAACATTAGACATTAAATCATATTTAATAGACGTACAAATTATAATCTAATGTCTGAAATGATCCTATGGCCAATTAGTGGTCAGTTAACAAAATAAAATTAGGTCAATGGGATAGATAATCAATTGATAATAAAAAGATGATATAATCATTACAATTGATTTGATGGTTGATCAATTAATTATGAGCTTAGTCTGATTAGGATTATTCTGAACAATTAAGTGATACTATTTCTGTTTTTTTGTTGCATTTTTTTTGTTCAGAAATGGAAACATGATAATTCAGTTCTACCTCCAAATCAGCGGATTCCAATGGCCTCAACTCACGGCGGTGGAGGAAGTGATCATCGAGCGTCGTTTTCATCGATAACGGGATGTGATCCTGCAGGGTGGGAACACTTTAAATCGCAGCTTACACCCTGCCCAAAGTGTAGTCGAACCTTTTTCCCGCATAGACTTGCCGCTCATGAGAAGGCCTGTCTTGGTCCTCAATTAGGAAAACGACCAAAGAATACTGGTCAAGCTCGTAACAATGTTCACCCTGTTCCGGCTAAGGTTCAACTCAATCAATATCCAAAATGTACCAAAAAATCTGGACCAGGTCACCTAAGAGCTGGCCAGTTCACTTATAACAAGCACTCATAAACTTAATCCACAATTAAATTAAATTATTTCCAACAACAATTTTACGCAAATTAAATTAGTTAATAAGTATTATTTCAAGTTCGAAAATTTTAATTCTAATTTATCAATGACGCAAAACATTATTTTGCTATCCAAATCGTTTCATTTGCGTGTTGATTTAGTTTTATTATTAACTTAATTGCATCGAATCAATTGAATCAATTTATTGATAAATTTGTAATAACAGAAAAAACATTATGCCGTTAGGTTGACATTCAATGATAAAAGGCTTCAGCGATCGAGGTCACCTTTGCGTTCATTGTTTAAGAACAAAATTTTGACCGAAACTTTTGTTTCGTCCTCGGTGATCACATTCGAGGTTACGATTAATACATTTTATGGAAAGTCTTTTCACATTGGTGTATTTAGAATTTTAGTTTTAGTGATTGTGTTTGTGTTTGTCACTTTAAAATGTGGTCACTTTGGTCCTAAAATGGTCAATCTATTAATTCAAAATTAATTTTCTTTTATTCTTATCAAAGTCGACCGAGTGACACCTAGTGGTTCGGTTGTTCACTATCGATTCCGTTTCCACATTAATCTTATGATGGAAATTCATTTTTGTGATTTACCAAACTTGGAATTGATTTAATTAGTTTAACTTACAAAAGATGATGATTGTTTTTGTTTTTATTTTTCTTAACATTGCAAATCTTGAATGAATATCAAATGTTTACTTTCTGTGTTTACACTTAATTTTTCGTGGAAATAATCAGCTGATCTTAAAACGAGTTGTTTTCTGTATTTTTAGCCACAACAACAAAAACAAAAACAAAAACATTAGAGAATCTAAAGTTTAAATGATTTAATTATTTAATTTTCTTTTTAAATCTTCTCAAGCTAAGTTTTGGGTTTTAAATTTCGAAAAAAGTCCGAAAATTGAGCTGAAATTATCGGAGAAATGTTATCCTCAAGTTCACCCACTTTTATCCGATGGATAATCTCATTTGTTATCCCAATTCTAGTTGTTATCCATGGTTATCGGAAGAAAAATTTAAACTGGACCGGAGCAATTACTGGTAAGTAATTAACCAACAATCAACTGTCTCATTTTTCAAGAATATTGTTAACAATCAAAGGCTCTTCAGGTCTCTTAGTCAGATTGTTGTCTCTTTAATAGATTTTGTTTACCTTTTTCTGATTGTTTTGATTTTATTATTCTCGTTTTATTTTCCTTTGTATTTATATTTTCCAATTAATGGCTGACAATAATTCAATTTACTAATTATTTTTCATATTCTCATCCTTTCTTGTAGCCTTGATTGTTGGTTTTATCCTGACCATCAGCAATATGTGTTTTATGGCCTGTATGTTGACATTTTTTTTCACCTCATCTCGTGCAACTAAATACAAGAGTAATTTAAAGCGTAAAATTGAATCGGATTACGAGAAATCAAGTTGCCGTAATTGGATTCAGGTCATTTGTAACGGTGGAGTGGCCTCTTTATTTGCTATTATTTTCATATATCATCAAGGTTTTGCCGCCGAGATACCGATTAATTTAGTAAACAATTACTACTCTTCCTGGTTTGCCTTGGGGGTCATGGGAAGTATAGCTTGTTGTAATGGCGATACTTGGGCATCGGAATTGGGCCTTGCCCTTGGTTCAAGTAATCCAAGACTAATAACCACAGGACGACAGGTTCCTAAAGGCACCAATGGAGGGGTCACTTTAATCGGCCTCATCCTTTCAGCCTTTGGCGGTCTTGTGGTTGGATTAATTTACTACCTCTTTGTTATACTCTCAGTGGACCAATCGACTCTCTCGATTAGTCCACCTCAATGGCCAATTATCGCTAGTGGGTTGATCGCTGGTCTATTTGGATCAATTGTCGATTCCCTTATTGGCGCTACGCTACAATTTTCGGGTCTAAATAAAAGCACCGGGACTATCGTTGAAACACCGGGTAAAAATGTCCAATGGATTAGTGGATCTCCTGTTTTTAACAATCACACTGTTAATTTATTATCATCAATTTCTATGGCCTTGATTACTCCAATTATATCGCAATTAATTTGGCCATAATCAACTGCCAACAATTACAATTCCTGTTAATCTTTTCGTTCATCAAATCAATCAACTTTACCCACCGTCTTAAATTATTTGTGTCTTATTATCTAATTAACGTTGATGATTAAGCTGAAAAATATATTTTAACGATCATCAGATCGTTTCTATTTTGTACAACAATTGGTTAATTGTTTTCCAATCAAATCATATTCCTATTGTAATAGTTAATTTAATGTATCGAACAATTTTTCAACTTTAATACGAAAATTTTGTCAACCATTTTGTGTTTTAATCAACACAATTAAAAGAAATATAAACAAAAATCCTTTCTAACCTGAGATCTCAATAATTGTTTCATTATTATGATTTAGATTAATTACTTAATTGCTACCAAATTGTATTATAATCAGTAGAAACACAACAAAGAGTTATTGTTAGTTAATTTTCTTTGTTAATCAATCATTAAACAGCAACTTTGAGTTAATTGTCAAGAGATTTAATCTTGTTGATGATAAGAAAATAAAACAATTAGGATTGTTTAGTTAACAATTAAAAGAATCAGGAAAAGATAGTAAAATAAATCCCGTTGAGAAATTAAAAGATTGCTAATGATTAACAACACTAATTACACTTGAGATTAGAGTATCTGGATTAGTTGATTTGTCGAGATTGTTACTTAAAGTTTTCGGTTGACAAATTTGTTGATCATCTCGAAAGCGGCTTTGGGCTGATCGTGAGGAACCATATGACCTGCGTTACGAACTACAACATAGTGGAAATTTTGATAAGAAGTGATAAAACCTTGAACTTCAATTGGTTCACCTTCGAGTCGCCAAATTTTCCGTTCAGCTTGATTAAAGCCCTGAGCACCATTCCAACGGAGGGTTTGGAGTAAAGTTTCGGTACAAGTGGCCCCAACAACGATGTCAAGGGCACCAGAGTAAAGTAGAACCTCGTAACCTGCATCGGCAAGAGTTTCGACCCACGGAGAAACCGATTGGCAAAAATCATCCAACAAATGATTGTAAACTTGATCTCCAGGGTCAACGGTACGATTACCGACATGAAGAGCTTCCCTAACGGCATCAATGGCCAAATATTTATCGGAATAAGTTGTATCAACGGGATTAACTGTTAACAGAGAGTTGAAATAGTTGGTAATTCCGGTTACATTGGTAAACAGAGACGGGGTTCGATCACCGGCCAATAATTGATCTGAAAGGTAGAAACAGTCTTTCCATCGTTCCTCATCGGCTGCCTTACGAATTGCTGCTTCGATTGCTAAACCTTGATCGCGTTGTCGATAATCAAATAGACCTACTTGGTAAAGAATTTCAGAATAACGGAACATAAGAGCACCCGAAACAAGGCCATTTCCAATGGCGACACCTTTGAAATTAATTCCAGACGATTCTCTCTCTTGGTGTAATTTGTAACCGATTGCGGGAACATATTTACCAGCATAAGATTCACCGGTTACATAAAAGTCGTTGGGTCTCCATTCAGGGAAGAGGGTATAAAATTGTAACAAAGCTTGGTAAAGGTCACGACCCACCTCGACTTGGTTCTTAACGTAACCGGCCTCCTTTTCGGTGTAAGAGAAACCCGTTCCAGCGGGCTGGTCAATGTAAAGGTAGGCAAATAGATCGGTCCAAGGATATTCTCGAAGGGTTAAAGTCAAGTTCGATTGTACCTTGAAAGGTCCATTTTCGTTGAAAAGGGCATAAGTCGATGCAGCACCAGGTCCACCTTGTAACCAAAGACCGACCGGAGCAGAAACATTCTAATTGATACACAATAAGAATAGAAAATTATCTTTGACCGTTCGAAGGCAATTAATTAATTCTTACCTTTGATGGGAAAAACCAGAAGAAAAGATTTGACCCATTTTCCTCGTTAACAGTTAGATAACCAGAATAACTTTCCACCGGTGGGGCGTTCGGAAGATAAACCCTTGACCTTGCACGAGCTTCGTGGACTCGACCCGCTTTAATTAGAGGTGTCAACAAGAGTCCTTTTTGGTCAGATGAACAATTAACAGAATTTTCAGTCAGAAAAATGGTGACGATTAAAAAGAGTAAACAATTAACTGAAAATTGTAACATTTTCTTTGATAATAAAAACAATCAAGTTGACAATTAGGAGAATTAAAATCAAATGCCAACAATCAAGAATCTCTCATTGGTTTAATATGATTTTCTTCTCACTCACTCACTTACTTTCTCTCTTACAAAATAATCATTTTCATTGTTTACTATTGATTGTCGACTATCAACTTGGAACAATTAATAAAGATGCACTTAGATTAACGCCCAAATAACTAATCAAGATCGTCTCACAATCAAATTGAAAATTTCCAAATATTTACTCAGTGAATTTATCGATAAATGTAAGAATCGATTAACAGGTAAGAAAATCGCTAATTACCGAGGTAACAACTTCGAAAAGATTTCGATATTTCGATTGTATTTAATGATGAAGATGCTCGAGTTGATTAATTGAATACGAAATTCAAATCAGTTCTATTGTAACAATTAAGAAAAGAAACAACAATTTAGCTGATCAACAATTCTAATCTGATTTTCCAATGTACAAGTGGCGACACCTTAGGTAATAATGTCAACTCATTTTCTATTTTTTTTTCTTTCAGTTTTTCTTGTCACTTGTTGATCTAATTTCTTAATTGTGTTGCTTAATTTCCATTTTTCTTGCTTAGATAATTAGTCAATTATGTTCACTAAATTGTTCTTTTCATCTTCCTCGCCGCTCTACCTACAATCGAGCCGGTACTTGAGTACTGGTAGACAATTAAACGGAATGAAAATTGATAATATGCTCATCATTGGCTGTGGTTTAATGGGCTCTGGTATCGCTCAAGCCTCGGCTCAAAGTGGACCTAATTTTAAATCAATCGTCATCCAAGACGTTAATCAAACTGCATTGGACAAAGCTGCTGCCCGAATCAAGGCCAATTTGGAAAAGGCTAAAGTGAAAAATGGTTCAATCAATGTTGCTGAAATCATGGATAGGATAACATTTTCAACATCACTTGAACCAAAATCTACTGATAATTTATTGGTAATTGAAGCTGTTCCCGAGATAATTGAACTTAAACAACAATTATTCAAGATACTTGATGATACATTTAAAGATTGTCCCAATGTTATCCTGGCCACAAACACTTCATCTCTTTCATGTAAAGAGATCGGTGTCAATGTTACCAATCAATCTCGTTTCGCTGGTCTCCACTTTTTTAATCCTGTTCCTTTGATGAAATTGGTTGAAGTAATTAAACTGGACACAACCAGTGATTCAACATTTGATTCACTTGTTGATTATGTTAAACAGATCGGCAAGGTTTCGGTTAAATGTAAAGATACACCAGGATTCATTGTTAATCGGCTTCTATTACCTTACATGGCGGAAGCGCTACAATTATTGGAAAGAGGCGATGCCTCAGTTCGTGATATCGACACAGCCATGAAATTGGGTGCCGGTTACCCGATGGGCCCCTTTGAATTAATGGACTATGTCGGCCTTGATACAGTCCAATTGATTAACGATGCTTGGATCAAGAGAGATCCTGATTTGATTAAACCATCCAAATTGTTGAAAGAAATGGTTGATTCCGGAAGAATTGGTAAAAAGTCTGGTAAAGGTTTTTATGAGTACAAATAAGTACACCGATTAATTAAGATGCTCTTGATTATCGAGTGCAATTAATATAATAACATGCCAACAATCAGATCGAGCAAATGATTATTACAGTCTAAAGGCTCTTATTTTGAAAATTATCAATTGATTTTCTTTTCTATTGCAACAATCAATTTTTTTTATTGGAATTAATCATTTAATCTTCTTCTATATGTTAATTCATAATTTGTAGATAATTAAATGATCTTGATCATTAAAAATCTAACATTTAATTGATGTTTTTCCTTTCGAATTTATTTTTCTTCTAATTTCAGTTAATTGTTTGTTTTGAACGTTTTAAACTGGAAATTATTCTCAATTAATTGTTCGGTAGAATCGATTGAATAATAAAATTAAATATAAATTTATTATTAATGATCGCATCTAAACCAAGTGAAAATACAAAGTTTTCCAAATAAAAAGGAGAAACATATTGGAAAGTGTTTGTGTCAAAGGAGAGGAAAAAGGAATTGATTATTGATTAAATTGCAAAATTGATCGATCAACAATCAATTTTATTTTACCAGAGTCAAGGGATAGATTGATTATGATGGATTAAAGTTAAATCCAAAAATTGTATTTAGATAAATATGATTAGCTAGAAATTTCTGTGTTTAAAGTTTTGCAATTACTGTTGGTCTACAGTTTTGGATGTTAATTGTTTTCGGTCAACAATTAAGTTTGACTCTCATGTTTTCACCCAATTTATCCATAAATGCAAAAGTGTTCAAGTAATCAGCTGATGTAACATTTGCCATTCCTTTAATACTTATGGCCAAATCTTTAGTCATGTGTCCAGCTTCAATTGTTTCGACGCAAACTTGTTCCAAAGTATCAGCAAACTTAGCGAGTCGATCATTATTGTCCAATTTTGCTCGATGAGCAAAACCTCGAGTCCAAGCGAAAATTGAAGCAATAGGATTGGTTGAGGTTTCCTTTCCTTGTTGATGTTGTCGATAATGACGAGTTACTGTTCCGTGAGCCGCTTCAGCTTCAACGGTCTTACCATCGGGACAGATAAGGACTGAGGTCATCATACCAAGGGATCCATAGCCTTGAGCGACTGAATCAGATTGAACATCTCCATCGTAGTTTTTACAAGCCCAAACAAATCCACCATCCGATTTCATTGCTTGCGCAACCATATCGTCAATCAAACGATGTTCATACCAGATACCTGAGAGGAGAGGAAAAGGAAGCAAAAAAATTTTATTGGTTAAAAATTAATTAGAAAAAAACAAACCACAATTATAATGAAAATGATCATCCTATTGGTAATTTCATGATAATTTCCGGCTTTATGATCATTTTTCCTTTTACTAAGATTCTACTAGTGAACAAAAAAATTCAAGGAAGTAATCACGATAAAGATCAGATCATCATAATGAAATTAATTGTAATAGACGTTAATTTTTCCCTAACAGACTAAACTATTTACACTTCCAGGTACAAATTGATAAAATAAATAATCAACATCACATTCGATCAACATTATATTGGATTATATTAAAAACAAAGATGATATTTACCTGCAGCTTCATATTGACTTCTGAACTCTTTTTCGTAAATTTCTTGGAAAATATCTTTGAATCTTCCGTCGTAACGTTTCAAAATGGTGTTCTTAGTACTTAGGTACAAAGGCATTCCACGTTGGAGAGCGTAAACGAAAGAGGATCGAGCGAAATCATTAATACTTTTATCAGTATTGTACATTGAGAGAGAAACTCCTCCGCCATCTTTAAACTCGAAAATGGTTCTCTCAATGGTTTCTCCGCCATCGGTGGGGGTGAATTTAATCTCTAATTTACCACAACTCGGTACAACGAAATCGGTTGCTTTATATTGGTCACCGTAAGCATGACGTCCAATGATAATTGGCTTGATCCATCCAGGGACAAGTCGGGGAACATTTTTACAGATAATTGGTTCACGGAAAACGGTTCCACCTAAAATGTTACGAATTGTACCATTTGGTGAGAGCCACATTTTCTTAAGCTTAAACTCTTCAACTCGAGCCTCATCGGGAGTAATTGTGGCACATTTAACACCAACATTATACTTTAACATGGCAGCAGCACAATCAATGGTAACTTGATCATCGGTTCGATCTCGCTCTTCGATTCCAAGATCGTAAACATGAAGCTCAGGTTCAACGAAGGGAAAGATTAGTTTCTCCTTGATTAATTCCCAAATGATACGGGTCATCTCATCGCCTTTCATTTCCACGATGGGTCCACACTTGATTTTTTCGAATGACATTTTTCGTATTGCTAAATTGATAGAGTTGAACAAAAAGACAAAATAATTGTATTAATATAAATCGAGAAGAAAATAATTTCTTTTGATTTCGTAAGTGATGATAAAATGAGAGATTTGTTCTAATAGAGATGAAGATGTTTTCTGTTACCAAGGTTGGTGTTTAATATGAGCAAAACTGAGCAAACAAGGGATAGCACCACAATGGGGATGACCCTAAATGAAGGTTATGACGAGTGGTAACAGTTGATGGATGATTAGTGATTAAACCGGCTTAGAATCAGGTTGATATTCAACTGAGAGATATAAAATTATTAGTTAAACTTGTTTTACCAGTATAATAATCTCATCATTTGGGTGAGAGGGAGATGAGAGAGAGAGAGAGAGAGAGACAGAGAGCAGGGTAATAAATAATAGAACTAAATGATCATCTGAATTAAAAGATAGTTCATGAGTAGAATCAACATCAAAATAACAACTGAGACCCTGTAATTTGATCAGTCAACAGCTGATAGGGAGTGAGTTGTTTTTATGTTGGGTGTTTGAAATGGTTGTTTACAAAAAACAAAAAGACTCACAATTATAATAGATTGATGAACTGTGAACATTTGATGATTTGATGAGATGACTTGATTGTCTGACCATAAAGGATAACATGATTAATTTTTAGGTTTTCTGGTTAGTCTTAATTATGCTTGGCAACAACGAGGGAGAGAGAAACATACACAGTATGAACACACAGACAGAACAGATGAGCTGGCAATGGAAATTGTATGAAACAATAAATCACAATGAAAGGATGTCTTTTATATTGGAAAAAGAATTGACAGATTATCTTTTGATTTAAGAAACCATTGGATGAAAGAAGAGGAATCACAAGAAATCATTGGAGAGAGAAAACAAAGACTGAGGATTTTTGGTTCTCTTGGAAACACTTATTGGTCAAATTGTATCTAAGGACTAGTGATGTAACCGAATGAGGTGATATAATTGGTGGTCAGTTGGGTAATTAATAGATTAAGATGAGAATAACAATAAGAACAATATAAATCAGGATGTTTACAAGAAGAACCGGTGAAAATTGAGTAGAGAATAAGCTGACAAGAAGAGAACTGGCTTTCTTTTTTCTTTCCTTCTCTCTCTCTCTCTCTCTCTCTCTCTCTCTCTCTCTCTCTTTCTACTTTACACTTACAATGATGTTTAGTCATTGGTAAACTGAGATTATCTTGAAGATGGATAATGAAGATAAGATAGAGAATTAAGTTATGACAATTGGAAAGGTTGATAATATTCAAGTATCGATACATCAAATTGGAACAATGTTCACAATATAATAAGAGTGTAACCCTGAAATTTATGGATTTAAGTGCATCAGATAAGTAGAACGATAAAAATGCTGAGTAAAATTAGGAAATGTCACATTACACCCCCAAAAGAAAATCTCACAAACATTGAGAACCATAAAAGACCAAAAATGGAAGCTCTCATTAATTGGTGAAATCAATAAAGACATGAAATGTTAATAAATTAATCAGTAATCATAAGAAAAATTAAAAAGAAACAATCAAATTAATAGATGAATTGAGTAGACACACAAATGGAAATGAAAAACGAAAGGAAAAATCAACTCACCTTTTGAACACTTTCAAGATTCACAGAGAAGACAATTGATTAAATTAACAAAAAAATTAATTGGATAAGAAGATGATCAAAGATTAATTACTAAGAATAAAAAGAAATTGTAATTAAAACAGTTAATCAATAAAAAAGAATAACAAATTTCACTTAACTCAGACCAGGAACAAAAGTGAATTGATTCAATAGAAAGTGAGAAGAAGAAGAGAAATTGAGTAAGAGAAAAATAGACAGAAAAGTAGACAGAGAAAAGAGAATAGAATAAAAGGAGAGAGAGAGAGAGAAGATGAAAATAGAGAAGGAAAAAGTTAATTCTCTTTCACTTATTTAAATCATTTACTTTTGTTCACTTAACAGTTAATCACAATTAAGAATAATTTTTTTCTCTTCTACTTAATCGGTTTAATCAGTTAATTCGTTTATCATGTTAACTCATTTTCCTTGGTGTTTAATTACAATTTTCTTATTCTCAACTGTCTCTTCATCGACACCGACATCATCATCAACCTCAACTCTAATCTCACCTCCATCTTTTTTATCATCACCTTCTTCATCGTCTAATCTTACCCACAATAGTTTATTACAATATCTTAATACACTTTATTATCCACATACTCAGCTGATTGTTAACTATTTAGATCTATTTATAAACCATAATGATCTGGAATCATCTTGTGTCTCCAGTTTGGTTAAATTGAAAAAAGGGCTTGAAATCAATGCTCTTTGGGCGGTTAAGTGTAAGTAACATTTTCTCTTAATCTCTCCTTTGTCTTAATCCATTTTCCCTCTCATTTTCTTTTAGTGTCATTGCTTAACTTGACCTTTTCTATTTAACATTATGAATCATTTTGTTAATTTTCTTTTTCTTTTCTCTTTCTCTCTGTTTTCATGTTCTTTTATATTTAGTTCTTGATGCTTCTGGTCGTGGAAATGGTGGCTTATTAAATTATTATGTCATCGATTTAGGAAATTATGATGAGTGTCTTTCCCTTTCCGTTCATGGAGATTCAAAATTGGATTCTTCTTTTACTGGTCAATACTGTCTTGCTAAATTAAATTTACCAACCATTGTGGATGATGAAGTGTCATCAGCTAAGCTGAATGGGACATTAATTGAATTTCTATCTAATTCGTTTGAGCAATTGAAACTTAGTTTACCTCAGATTGGAATTTGTTTACCATCAACATGTCAACCAAAACAATTATCGGAAACAATCAACAAATGTGAGTTTAAAAATATATTCTCATCTTAATTTCTGAGAAAAAAATTACATGGAGCACGTTTCTCCATTCTGTCAATCATATTAAATTATGAGTTAATTGCCCTCTAACAATTTAGAGGAAATCGTAATCAGTTGAACATTCAATTCAAAGTAAATTTCTTTGTTTCACAAAGAGAAACTGATCCATTGAATAGATAATTTTATCGACATTTGATCTGAATCCATCAAAAGTTCCCACAAAAGAGATCATTTTCCTCCATTACCCGAATCTCTTCCCCCTGTCTTCTTAATTCTTACAGTTAAAAAAAATAATTAGAATCTAATCACAATGATCGAATACAACCCATTCAATAATCCCCCGTTCGTTTGAATAAGCTGAAATCATAAAGATCAAGTTGAATGACTATACAATTTATTAATTACATTACAGTTAACTGATTATACCAACATTCCGATATCGTAATTATCTCAATGTCACTTTAACTACAATTTACCTTCAATTAAACCTATTGAATATCAAGTTAGAAAATCAAAATAATTTCTTTACTCTTTGATGGTCAATGGTTATTATTATTTTTACACAATTTATCGATAATTTCTGATGATTATCCAATAATTGGACATTTCTCTCTCTCTCTCTCTTTTACTAACAGATACTCATCAAACTGGTCTCACCATCGAATTGGGGCCTTTCTGTGATACCAAAGAAACTTACCAGGAACCTTTTTCGACAATTGAAAAGATTGCCTTGTAAGCACGATCATTGATACTCTATTATTATTGATTGATTTTTTTTAGGAAACAAAATATTATAAAGGAAGAAGGAAATATTACTCATGATGCTTTTTGACCAACAGAAAAACAATCAAAACTTACGTTAACATGATGAACTTGACAGAAAGTTCAGTTTACCTTGATAATGAACATAATGAACCATCATAACAATTATTATCATGTAAACAAACAATAATAACGGGTACATCTTTTTTTCTCATCTGTCACCTCAGTACTGTTATTGGAATCCTTATTGGCTTAACGATTCTTGGAACGATTTTCGATCAAGGTTGGTTAAAGCATTTCTCTGCTATTAGAAATCTTAATCGTCTAGTGAAAGAGACCAATGATTCCGATAAATTGGCTTTGAATTTCATCAATGGAGGAAAAGTTTATTACCTTGTCCTTTCAATTTTCGGCCATATTTGGTACATCATGGGAACTCTGATTCCACCAATGTACAGTAAGTAATCATTATGACCGAGATTTTAATTTATCATTTTAATTATTCACTTAATCTTTTTTTTTCGCATCCAGTGGGAATTTTTTCTTACAACATTTCAAACAGTGCAATTTTACGGGAGTTATCATCAAATTGTCTTCTTTTCATTGAGATTATCATCTTCGTTGGGTGAGTTGACAAACCGATTGAGTATCATACCGAACGATGTACAGATATTATTTTCTCTACTGGTTATGGATTTTTGTCTCTCTTGAAACTTAATTTTTTTTTTCTTTTATTATTACATGTCATTCCAGTGGAGTCCTTACCATGTACACTTGTTATCAAGTTCTGGATAAAACTCGAGGTCGTTTATCTTTCATCCAATACATGGTTGTCCGCTACTTACGGTATGATTTCATTATTAATTTGACCAAAACAAACTTAAAGACTAATCAACTCAACGGAAATAATCAAAAAGTCAATGATCAAATCTTAAAATACTATTGCTATTACTTTTTATATTTACAACTTTTTCAAGTATATTTACTTAATCATGTGAATAGACTAACTATGATTACTGAATTCAATGTTAATAAACTTTGAATTAGCTCATTTCTGGTCAGTTAATTTAGTTGAAAAAAAGTAATGGTGATAATTTTCATGGTCAACATTGATTCTTGTCAGGTCAATATGATTGAAGTTTATCACTTTCGTCTCGATTAACTTTAAACACTTATCTCATAACAAACGATTATTTAACCAACAAGTCTTGATTTACTAATTGTAATTTTCACCTCATAGCGAAACACTGAAAACAAATTCTAAGTAATTAACATCCTTTGTTGTTTTGATGATCCAAAATTTTCCTCATCTTTTAAAAAATATTTCTAGTTCGTTTCTTAATATTATCTCATTACCTGCAAATTACCTGTTAGCAGTTTTTCCTCATCCTTACAAGAAAAATCCTCTCATTTATTTGTAAGAATTGTTGGATTGATTGGCTTTATTTTTCCTTATTTTCACCAAAACTTAAAATTCACATAATCAGAATAATTATCATCTGATTTTCTGTATAAATTGTCAATGAAATCAAAGAGAATGATCTTGATTGTGATGATTATCGATCATATCAGATTAAATTGTTGAACATAATTATGTTATCAAATTGATAACTGTACAAACAAGTTTTTTTTATATCTTGTTTACAACATTATGTTAGCCACAACAATTAACTTGACCTCAGTCCATCTAATTGTTAATACTAAACAACAGATTCGATATTATTTAATTGACGTCAAATCAAAAACTTTAATGAACATTTTTTTCTCTCTCTTTACTTGATTTCTCATCTACTGCCGAGATGTCTTTCCAATTGAAATAATAATAATCACTATTAATTATTGATTATTATTTTTCTAAACCTTGAGTAAACAATATAATCATACCAGGCAGAAATAATAATAATGTAATAATCATCTCAATATGAGTCTTGAAAATTTTCAAGGATTTCATTCATTCTTGGTTATTTACTGAAAATGGTGACCTTTCATTGACTCTGGTCATTTTTTTTCACTCTTCATTTCATTGATCACAATCAATTGATTCATCAAAACCATCAAATACTAAAATATTAACATTTACAATTCTAATTGTTGTCCAAATTTTTTATTTTCGTTACCAGAACAACACCAACATTAATCGCATCGATATTTTTGATATTTATTTGGCCTCGACTTGGGTCTGGTCCGTTTTTCCGTGAATTGGCCGCCAAACAAACTGATAACTGTGCTAAACATTGGTGGCGAAATTTACTTTTCATCAACAATTATCAGCACATATTTGATATGGTCAGTTTTTTTTCCTCATCAATTTTCGATATAATTTTTATCGATATCTCATATTTTATTTTTCTCTACTTTTTCAGTGTTTACCCGCTACTTGGTATTTGAGCTCAGATTTTCAATTATATGCTGTTAGCTACCTGCCGATTATTTTACTTCATCGTAAACCTAAACTCGGACTGTTTACATGTTTCACTTATATCGTTGGTTCTGCACTTTACATGATGTACGATGCCACTCGTCGGGACTTGAAACCGCTTATAGATATGAGATCAGTGACAATGTATGTTCAATATCGGTCAATCTTGTAATCATTGAATCATAAAACTTTTCGTTTATTTTTCATTTTCACATACAGCACAACAATCAATGGAATATCTGATCTTTACTTTCCGTTTCATTTACATATTCAAAGCTACATTATGGGAGTGCTTTCTGGATATGCTGTTGCAATCAAAAAGAAACCAAATATAAAAGTAATTTAAACATTCAATTCAATAGCAACGATTTACATAAATTTGACTAACGTTTACATATGAAATAATCGTTGGTATTGATTGTTCTTATTATAGCAATCGAAAGTTTTCTATTTTTTCCCCCTGTAGTTTAATTGTACTTTTTTATTTGTTATTTACAGAATTTTTTTACCATCGGATGGATTGTCAGTGTATCCATGGGTTTATCAACTTTATACTTTACATACTTAATCAAATTTGATCCAAACGTTACTCGATTCGGAGAGCTTATGTTCATTGGTTTCCATAGGATTCTGGTCGTTGTTGGTTTTGCTTGGGCAACTTATGCTTTCTCATTCAATTCAGGAGGTGATATTTTTAATCAACGTCATCATTTTTACAGTTATTGAAAAAAAACAATATGATTTGATTGACATTAGAAACAATAATGTAACACTAACTCAGATGATGAAACTGAAACCATAACCTGCGTTACATATCAATCTAGTTGGACACTTCGAGATCAAGATGTTTTGCAAAATGATTCAAATTATCATTACAAAAATCAACCTAAATTAACATTGTTTCATAATTAACAATCAATTAATATCAAAGGGGATTTAGTTACCTACGCATATACATATGAAAAAGAAGATAATTTTGAAACAATCAGATTTTCATGTCAATTACAAGCATATTGTCTGAGTCACTAATTATAATCAACCTTGATGAACTTACATATTAATAATTATATCATTTGATTTGTTTTTTTTTCAGTTTGGTTAAAAAAATTATTCGCCTGGAAATTTTTCACTCCAATATCTAACATGTCACTATCGATTGTATTGATTCAATTTGTCTACATGTTTTATGATCTTGGTACAAAAAGACAGCCATTAGTTTTCACTAATTACAACCAGGTAATTAACTGATGATGATAACTTTCAATGTTCTCACCCTACAAATGCAAACCCAGAAATTTTATATTTCCCAAGAGTAGTAAATGTATGTACGTATTTATTAATTAATAATCTATTTTCTTAATTGACGCAGATCATTTATGGAATTATGTCCTTATTGATGTGTATTCTTCTTGGTGGATTTTTACATTTAATTGTCGAAGCACCAACGTCTAATTTACTGGCATCTTCATTACGTTCCAATAGAAGAAGTTCATCTAAATCAACACAATCACCAACAACAGAAACACCGACATCATCATCAACCAATGAAATTAACACCGAATTGAAAAAATCAACTAATCATCTAAACCAAAATAGTATAAATCACAACAATAACAACATAGATAATAATTTAGAATCCAAGAATGAATCGAATCATGTTAAACAAGATTGATCTAATTTTACTAATTATGGTCAGATTTAGGCCAATCCTCACCCAACCAATTAATACCTAAGATATTTTTACATACAGTCTTTTTTTAATTACTTGCAATTTAATTACTTAATGACTTTTTTTTTACTGATTGTGCTATTTTTAAAAACAATACGAAAAAAAAGAAAGTTAGTTTTTAAAAATATTAAAACTTTCAATTTATTATCATGGTTATTGTATAATCATTGTAATTAACTCTTGTTTGATTCCCTTGATGATGATAATTGTTGATTAACAGAAAGCAATTAAAGGCAAGTGAAAATTTTTGCTTTTAAAAACAAATGAAAGGTAAGGCACAATGAGAAAAGAGTGAGCGATAAAGAGAGAGAGAGAGAGAGTAGGAATTGATGAACAATTGATAATCAATTTAAACTGTACAATTGGAACAATTTAGACGATTGATCATAACATAGTAATGATAAATTAATTCAATTTGTAAAAAAAATGTGAGAAATAGATAGTAATTGAAACGAATCACTATCGAGTTAGAATTGTTAATATAACTATTTACAACTTAATTAGTATCTCTGATCATCTTGATTAATATTTCCTATTGGAACGAACAGTCATTGCAATACCAGCAACAATTGCCTAAAGAAACAAAGAGAGAAAGACAATTAGATGAATGATTAGTTAATCATGAAATTAAATTGTCTCGAAAATCAACTCACCATAACAATTGAAAATAACGCCATGAATGATGAGACCATGGAGAAAGTAACAACATCAGTCAAGGAACCACCAAGAATTGGACCTGTTGCTTCCCTATGATTTGGAATGAGAAGAAAAAAAACCAATTCGAATGAGTTAATTGTTCATTTAGTGAAATTAATTATTGCTGATTATTTACCCTAAGGCGAACATGGTTGACCAAAGACCGGAAACAGTTCCATAAGTAGCAAGATTATCCTCCATCCCGTGGTCCATGGCAATGGAAAGGATATTTTCAAATGTTGGGATGAAGGCGAGAGCATAACCAAGGGCAATGATTACCATGGATGCTAATGATAAACCCAGGGTGGGATTGATATTCAGGAAATCAGATGGACCAAGTATGATAAGACCAACGGCGTTAATTGTTAGACCGATGAACATGCAAAGAAATTCATTCTCAACTCGTTCAACCAGTTTACTGAATAGAGGAAGAAAAATGCAAACTGTTCCTGACATGATGAAGAAGGCGAGAGATGCGATGTTTACATCGTATCCAAGAGATCGGTAAAAAGGTTCTAACGTTGGATCCAAGAAGCTCATACTCTGAGCGAGAACCAGAACAATTAAGCAAATCATTGCGATCTTGGGGATTTTCAGTAGTTGCCAATAGCTCGCACTTGATGTCATATTGCGTCGAGCCTCTGAAAGTTAATTAGTAAAATGATTAGTCAACAATTTAAATGAGTTTACAGGTAAAGGTTAGATTAATTGTCTAAAAATATGTATAATCATTTTCCATTGATAGTTTTTGTATTGTTTTCCATTAGATTATCAGTTAGCCTCATTTCCGATGAAAATTTTCCTATGTTGATTAAATGAATCATATTACTACTACAACAATTAAATAGAAACGTATTTCAAATCTTTACAATCAGTTGATAATTTTCACTTTTTCATGACATCCGATTGCTTAGTAAAGTTGATTAAACTAATTGCTGTGAAGGTAATTTCTTATAATAAACACAAAAAAATGGATCAATTGATTAAATCTTAATTGTATTAGCTTGATGATAACTTTTAAATTAAACTGAAATCTATCATGATAACCTTGAGATTTGAAAATGTAAACTTGTTGAAATCCTTTAATGAGATTGATTTGACAATTAACAACATGATTTAAGTAAATAAGACAAACTAATAGTTACTTAATGATCAAATTTTCAAGGTTAAATGAGATAAATTTACTATGTTAATTGAATGAATTAAAAAAAACAAATCTTAATGATCAGTGAACTAGAAGTAAACTCATGATGAACTTAATCAAGGAAATGAAATCAAGTGAAACGTAGTAATTAAAACAATTACTCAACTAGAAAATGAATGGAATGACAAAAATATCAATAAAGTTACGAGAAATTGAACAATTTGAAATGAATGGAAAATTGAAAATGAAACTAAATTAATCGGTTGATGAGATGGTTGATTAAACTTACTGCTAATTCTTGGTAATTTAGATGCACACAAGGGAATGGTGATGAATGAGAAAACGCCGAGCACGTAGAAAGGTAAACTATAACCACCCCATGAGTAGAGTAGCCCACCGATTGCGGGTCCTAAGGTGGTTCCAAGGGTGGTGAAAGTTTCTGTCATGGAGAAAGCATAACCAACATGATCAGGGAATACTTCAAATACATAAACCAAACTGGCAGTGTTAAAAGAGGCTGCACCAAGAGCTTCAATGATACGAATGATGAAACACAAAGCGATGAAAGTTGTATCATTGTTTATGAAATCTAAAAGGCCGAAGATGATATTTGCCGTACCGGCGATTGCGATACCTGCAAGGAGCATAAATTTAGGACCAATGTGAGCAGAAAGTGGTCCAAAAAAGACGGAAGCAATGACCACGGTTAGAGAATAGGTTGAGAAGACAAGTCCAGCGATGTAGGTTGATTGACCACGAAGTGAAGCTTCAAGGGGGAAAAATGGTGCAATGATGGACATTGACGCGAAAGCGGTAAAATCCACTAAACATAAACAAAGTAAAATCCATTTTTGTGAATGAGTTAAAGGTAAAGTCACATTATCACAAGAATCTGAACTTTCACTTAAATGACCTTTACGACCTATTTTTGGAACAACAAGTAGATCGGCTGTTATTTTCGTCTCAAGGGATAATCCTTTCTCAATGGATCGACTCAAAGCGTTTGTAGTATTTTGATTATTATTGGCGGTGGAATTGTTATTGGCACTATTATTATTATTATTAACTAACGTTCGTAACAATGGCTGCCTTTCCGCGTAACTTATGTTCCTCTGAAGTCTACTGACTTCAGAACTCGTTCGACGTGCTGGTTTCATCTTTTCCCCTTTTCACAAGCTCCTTGATTCACTTTTATTAACAGATGATTAGGGTTGATGATGAGCTTGGTGTTGGAATTGATGATAAAGATGATGATAATATTGATTGATGATCGGTGACGATGGTGATGATGACGGTGGAAACGGTGAATTCAATATGGAGAAGGTGCTGTTTCCTCCTTCACTTTTGCTTGGCCTCAATGAAACTTTTTCCACTCTCTTTACTTTTATGTCTCTTTGTCTCTGTGTCTCTTTTTTTTTTATCAACACCGGTTCATTTTGTTTTCTCCTTGATGATTGATTACAGTTGAAATGATTTAATTAACACTGGTTGATTTGCTTTTTGTTCACAATTAATCGTCAATAAAGACTAGATCAATTAAATATATCAGATCCTTGAGTGTTGATGATGATGAAAGGTGTTAGTGTTTAGTGTGTATTGATTATCACAGACAAATTAAGAGTGAAAAATATAAAATGATAATTAAAGGGAAACAGTTTCTGATTATTAGTGGATTAGGTTAATTGTTGTTGTTGTTGTTGTTGTTTAATTGTGGTTAGTGGAGAAAGAAGAAAGTAAAATCTAATTTACAGAATTTGTTAATCTGTTTGTCATCTAATTGTGTTTGGGTTTTGATAAAGAAAAACAAAATGGTTGAAGTTAGAGTGGGTTGATTAATGATTAATGTGATTAGGATGATACGTTGACGATTGTTGATTGGCTTTTGTTAGATTGACATGAGCCTGAGAGAGAGAGAGAGAGAGAGAAAGAGGGAGAAACAATAGATTTGATTACAAAGGTCTCTTTCTATTCCTGTGATGATATTTAAGAATATCGAATGAATAAAACACCGATCAACTCAATTATATTTCTTGTTATGTTTTGATCCAAAGTCACGATGGTGATGGAAACTCAGTGGATTGAGATCAGAATTCTGGTTAATCTCAAGGTAAAAGGTTTTCTTTTTTTGTGTGAATGTCACAATTAAATCAATTACTATTGATGGTCTTTCTTATTGAGCCGGCAAATAAATCACAGAAGCTTCGCTTACACATTCGTCCCCTGACTTGACAAAAATCAAAGATTCCATTTGATTATAATCAATTTCCAATCAATAACACAGATAATCTGGTAGATGACAACGTTAATTGTGATGATGATAATCAGTTAATTGTATCAACTTTAATATATAAATGGAAGCCTATTTTTGTTTGGGCGATACCGTTCATATGAACTGAAAAAAAGGCAGAAAAAAAAATGAAATTAGATAATCAATGTAACAGAAATTAATGTAATACAATATCTTGAAATCAATTGTATTAGTTAATCAATTGGTAACAAGGGGAAACTATAATCAATATAATCTGATTATGAGCAATATTTAAAATCAACAATTAACAATGAAAATAATTACAATTGTTTTACACTGGACCATTAATATTGAGAGATGAACAAACTGATTGCGATTTAAAGTTGTCACCTTTAGATTTGATTAAATGGTTAATACAAATTACTCACGAAAGTGGAAAGGTTATACTGATGGTAATTAGTTGTGATTAATTAGTGATTGGCACTTAATTAACGAGAAAAAACAATAGAATATAAAAATTGATAACAATATCAAATGGAGATAAAAACAAAGGCAATATTTTTCCAAGGAAACTTCTAGTTTCCACTAGAAGAGAAACTGGAAGAGCCAAAGGTGAATTTAAATATACACCATTAGGTAGAAAGATTATCCAGATGAGATTAAACCGTTAATCCGATTGTAATTAAACCCAACAGAAAGTGATTTAAGTTTAAAATGATGAAACAATCAGAAAAAGAGGACAAACCAAACCCATGAAGAAAAACAAGAGGAAAACCGGTAAACACAATTAAAAGATAGAGATGATGATTACGAGGGAACAATTAAAAAGTTAAATTGTCAAATAGATGGAGAGACAATTGATTAATTGGTGACAATTAGAATTTAATAAGAAGAAGAAGAGAAAATCAATGGAATTGAAAATTAGATCAACAAGTGGAAAGAATTTGTTACCTTTGGCTCTTCTCACATGGGAACCAATGGAATAGAAAAAAAAAGAAAAACAATTTTTTCTTCTATTCTTTAAACCGGTTTTCTTTTCTCTTTAGAGAATTTTCTTCTCATGGTCAACCTGATTTACCTGTCGGCTAGTTCCAGGAAAAAGGTAATCGCCATCATCACATTGATCCCTTCAAGTGATCAGTTTATTGATAATTAACTTTTAATTATTCTTAATATTTTTCATATTATTCGTGTATCGGAAATTCATTGACCTTGACTGTTGATGTTAATAGGAAACAAGAATTGTTAATATTTAATATCATCGAAACTCCATAATTAACTATCATCATTAATGGTAAGTTTATTAACTAAATTGAAGACAGTTAATTGTTTCCTTGTTTTTGTTGCTCTTTGTGTGTCTATACAAGTATTTGGGTCTAAGGGTCGAGTTACAATCTAATTAAATTGTAGATTGACTCATTTTTTAGCGATTTGTTGGGTTAATTTATCTTCATTTGTTGTGGTCAAATTTTAAAATGATTTCAGAACGAGTTGTGAAAACGAAAAGTTCAAAAAACTATTAGCGAAAAGTTTGAAAACTTTTTTTCTGTCGTTAAAGTTGACGCGCGATTTTTGAACTTTCCATTTTTAGAAGAAAAAAAATCAATTTAATTTAATTTAATTTAGAAAAGTTAATCTCGTACTTTTGAGTTTTCAACGAAATAAGAATTGAAATGAAAGAAGGAACAATTAACTAATTTGACTAATTTTTTAAAATTCTATTTCAATTAGTTGTTAGAACAAGCAAATTATTATAATAAAAAGTGAATCAAGAAAAAGTTACAATTAACAAATTTGATATGTTTTAATCCTGAGATTATTGAGTATTTGATTAAATTGTGTCCTCTCAAACAATTAACAGAAAACAGAGAAGCAAAATCAAAAACAATTAACACAATTGTCAAATAATAATGAAGGGAAACAAATCAAAAATCAACATGAGAGATAATTAAAAAAAAAGGATAATAATAAATTCTAGATTTAAATTTGTTGTAATTGGTTTTTGATTAATTGTTGATTATTGGTCGACAATTTAACAAGATAATTTAACAGTATTCAATGAGAATGATGATGATCAATGGTGATGGACAAATAAATTAAATTATAATAATGACAAGAAGGAAAAACAAAACCAATTGTTAACTATGAATAAAACAGCTGATCAATGGATTAAGATTAAGATTAAGATTAAGATTTAACTGAAAGGTACGATATGGATTATCTTATTTTTTGTCGCTTGACTTAAAATGTGAACAATTTTAAAAGGTAAAGCAGCATAATCCTTATTAATCCCATCTCTCATTGTCTCAAATTGTTGATAATTAATCTTCCAAGTGTTAATCCCATCCTTACGGAATCTCAGGTAATCCAATATTTTTTCAACGTGTTCCTTTAATTCAGTTGACGATTGGACATCTTTGTTTAATAGTAATTTAATCAATACCTTTTCCGATGAATCAATCTTATTATTAAGATCTTTGATCTCGGCTAATAGAGATTCATCGTTCCGGTCAATTAGTCCAAGTTTATTGTCACAATTAATTGTTGAGATGAATAAGAGTGACAGGATAACTGTTAAAATGACAGAGAAGAAGAGGAAAAGAGGAAAAAGAATAATTAATTTAATTGATTAACTGATTAAAGGTTAAAAGAAAATGTCAACGATTACAATCAATTATCGAGTTTCAATGTAAATTAAATTGTACACGCGATTGTCGATCAAATTGTTGATCGTTATTTTAATCAATCAACAATTAACCTTGGACTTTATGATGAACAATTTAATAGGAAAAATCTAATCAAGGTTTAATTGTGATCCCAGGGTTAAATTGTCTCGATTGTTGCGTGTTAATTTTGATTTGTTGATTAATTGATTTCTTATATTTAACATTTGGTTTCCGTTGATCAGCAAACTGATTGTTAACAAATATACAACTTTGTTTGTGTCAATTAATTTAGATAATTTGATTGTAATCAATTGATTTAGAGGATTAATTTTAAATTGTTGATTAGCTTACCTGTGGCTAATTTAAAGTAATAAGTAACTGATCGAGATGGTGATGATGATGATGAGATGATTGTTGCTGTTAATTGAGATGATGATTGTTGTGATGATCCATTGGAATTGAATTTTTCATGATAATTGTGTTGATGGTGATGATGATTGTGATTGTGATATTGATGAGGATGATGATTAACTGATGGTGATGTTAATGATGATGATGAGGTATCATTGGTTTTGAATAGAAACATTTTCTTGATGTTAATTGTTGAGATCACAGAGAGAGTGAAGAAGATGAAGAAAACAGTTTAATTGTTGTTATTTTATTTTGGTGGTTAAACAATCAAGGAGAAAGTGAGAAGAAAATATTGATGATGATGATGATGATTAAAGATGATGAGGATGATAAATAATGAAGAAAATGATGATTTATTTTCTTCTCCTTCTCGCTCAATGTCACTTTCCTTCAGATTATCAACTAACATGTTACATGACTTTTTATACGAAATCAAATGTAAGAGGGAGAGAGAGAGATAGATAGAGAGACGATGGAGATGATGAAGAGTGAGTAAGATGATGAGGAGAGGTGGTGGTGGTGATGATGATGAGGATGAGGATGATGATGGAGTTGGAGGTGGAGGTGGAAAGCAAAAGAAAGTAACAAGATGATGATGATTCCAAGTTCCAAGCCGCTCTAAACCAGAGACTCTAAATTGTTATCACTTTAATTACGTAATTAAAACTCTTGATAATCAATAATCAACCAATTCTACTATTTACAATTAACTAATAACAATTTGTTTACCATTAACATTTTCTTTCTTTGTCTCTTTCTTTTTCTCTATTGATTAAAAAACGAAAATTAATTAACTAACTTTTTCTTTCAATTGTATTTATATGTAATAATAATATGGTTGATATTAATTTCATGATGATGAACTCCCATGTTGATATTTTCAACAATCAGTTCGGATTAAACCAGATTTGGATGATTAAGATGATGATGATTAATATTATTAGTTAATAGTTATGATGATCATCATCATGAGTAGTAATAACAAGATGATTATTGTAATAATCTTAATCAATTAAGTTAATAATCTGCAAGGTTAAGGTCAGTGGTTGTTAAGGTGGTTGCAAGTTTGAATTAATCGTTTGTCTATATATTAATTATCAACTCTTAATTGCAATTAATATAATCTTGTTACCTCTCCCAAGTTGGATGATTATATTGTTTGTTGATTAAGTTAATTTTATTAATAGTTAATTGTACAATTAGGTGTAAAATAATTTGCATTTTTGTTATCAATCATTAGAAAGCTTTTCATTAGCTAATCATTGATTTATATCAAAAGCTTAATTATCAGTTGTTGTTGTTGTTATTTGATTGTACAATTAAGATTATTGTATCTGATTGTTAGTGATAATTTTGATGTGATTGTTGTTGTGATAATCATTTAATTACAATTAATATTTAATTTTTGGTGTTAATTGTCTGGGTAGAAAGGGAATCAAGATTATTTCTTTGGTTAATTAAGTTGATTGTTTCAATTGATTTTGATTGTCCAGTTTATTAAAATTGATAATTATCATTGTTAACAAGGTTATCAAACCATAATAATGAAACAATTAACCTCGGTAATCAAATGATTAATCATTTGAAGGACAACTATGAGGTTGATAATTTATGGGTCAAGTTAATTGTTGATTGAGATTATCCAATTATTAATTGTGGTGGAAACAATTAAGTTAACAAGAAATTAATTAACTACCCTAACCTTATGAGATCCAATAAGATGAAAGTAAAATTTGATTGAAATAAAAAATAAATCATCAACAATTTACTAATTGTTTGTGGTTTTACTGAGATGGGAAACCTTGAAATGTTTACAATTAGCTGATTGGGTAAAAAATTAACAATAATAACAACAATAATCAGCTGAATTGAATCAATAATCTGACTGATTAATGAAAAATTATCATCCTTTGATTGTAGTGTTAAATGATAACAATCCTACTATACAATTAATTACAACAATTAACAAACTACTGTAATTTACTTGAAATGTTCAGATTTGCTCAGAGTGAGTTTCTTAATCAGATTACCTAATGTTGCTAACAACTCACTTTATTTTTCATCATTTTAATCCTCATCTTCATCCTCATCATCATCTTAATCATTGTTATAAATAGCTAATAGCATACTTATGATGAATTGGTAGATTGATTAACTTTAATCATGAATCAAGAATCAGGGTTGAAAATTAATTGTCTATCATTTTATTTACTTGATTTACTACATTCAATTTCAGTCATCAATTGATCAGCAACTGTAAATTGTAGTTACTATGTTCATCATCTAATCAATATCATCCTTAATCATCGTATTAAATCATGATCAGTATTAAATTTGATTAAAAGGAAGAGAGAAGAAGATAAAGAAAGAGAAGATGAAAGAGAAGATGATTAACTTGAGAGAGGAAGTGATTAACAAAGGAAGAGAAATTTTTTTCTCTTCATCATCAACTCTTAATATTTTACTTCCCTGGAGTTAATTGTTGAGTGATATTATATATTTTAATTGCTATAATTTAACAATAATTATTGTTTACTATTCATATTAGTAATTTGTGATAATCAAATTACTATGATTAAGTTAATCAACTATCATTTTCTAGTAACGAAAGTGAGATAATCAGGGATCGAAAACCTCGAATTAAAATGTTCACGATTCTCGGCATCGCGATTACCGCTCATTTGGCTCAGTTCGACCTGTTGGCCTGCGAAGAAAAGATTTCAGAACCATTACAATTGTTTTATTATGTTTTTCTAGCAGAAAATTAATTTTACCTCTCGATTGAATCACTCGACAGAATCTTCCCACTCAAGTCCAGTAGCATCGGTGCCGGGCCTTGGCTTATTGGCCTTCATTGGGCTCTGTGTCCGTGACAGGGACGAGTAATAATTATCGATAATTTTATCCTCCATTGGGATGAATAACATAGGCGGTCACGTCGGGCAAATGGCCTGGACCGTCTCTCGAGTCTTAACTGGAAAGGGTTGAACCTTAAAACAAAAGCTCCCGCGTCATCTCCTGGCGTCGACCCCTCGAAACTAAAACCGTTATGTTGATTCATCAGCTGATGATTAATTCAGTTAATCACTTTAACGGTTGAATAAAATTAAAATTTCAGTTTCAGTTTTAATTAGTCAATTGTTTTCTTTTCTCTTAATTTCTCTTCTCTTTAATCAATTGACAATCGATTAATTAACATGCTCTTCAACAAATTACCTGATGATTGCCTGTTAATGATCTTTGATTACTTTGATTCTCTTGAAGAATTGATACAATTATCCAAAGGTAAACAAATAATAATTATGGAGAGAAGAAAAAATTAATTACTAATTTAATTCTTTAGTTTGTTCTAGATGGGCTGATTTAATTTCTCTAAGATTGTCCAAAGTTGAATATCTATTAAGTGGTAAGTAGATGAAAGTAAATTAAATTTTATTGTTGATGAATATTCTAACCCTTTGATTAGGTGGTAATCGATCAGACGATCCGTCCAAAACTCTGATGATTAATGATGATTTTCCAATGAACAACAATTTGAATCTAACTGAATACATTCCCAATTTTAAGGTAAGTTTAATGTTGAGTGTAATTTAAGATTCGATTTTATTAAATTACAATAATCCAAATTCTCGTCAATAGATTTTCCAGTTTGAAAATAATTCAAAACAATGGAATTTTGAAGCTTTCAAAAAACTGATCACTGAGAATCCAAGGATTAAAGGATTAATTGCACCACCTCTTGATCCAGAGTCGAAAGATTTGACGATTTTTGATAATATCGAAATGATCGCTAGCGATGTGGATTTTCCCTTTACGGAAATGCCAAGTCCTAATCGGGTGACACAATTTCATATAACCAAAACGAGTATTGAGTTTTTGATTTTCTTTGTGCCTTTCACCAATTTGAAGCGAATCCACGTAGAAACAGGTCAAGAGTCGTTGCAATTTGAACTATTCGGACGTGATAACATAATGATAACTTACTGTCTTGGAATTTTCTCTTATACAACAGAATGCTTGGAAGAGGACTTTTTCCCGCTGTTTTTCGGATTGCATAAAAATCTCTCCAACTTGTTGATACTCGAATTTTCAACTAGTTCGTGGGAAGAGACGCACGGTGCGGGTTACAATGTAATAGATTTTTGTCCAGCTCTTGAAAGTTTATTCTTGCAATTGTCAACTACCCCATTTCGTTTCGAGGAATCCAAGAAGAACTACAATCTAAGAGACTTGGTCGTCGAAAGTGTAAATATAATTTATATCCAATTATCCACAAATCGATCAATCAATCAACTTGATCATTTTTCTTTTCCGTTAATATTCAGCCCATTATTCAAGATTGGACATCTTTACGAAGTCTTTTGTCCAAATTTCCAAAATTGAACCATCTCGCCATCAGAATCAGATACGAAATCAACCATGATAATATTGAAGAATTGGTATCATTATTGCCGGAGATTAAATTGTTGGATTTCAGAGGATACAGAAATTTTACGAAAAAATCAGCTGATTATTTGAGTGCTTATTCCAGTAAATTGGGTCGATCAATTGTCGTCTATTATAACTGCGAACAAGAGCCGTCCGATTGGCCTAAATTGGGACATCGTGATGAACGTATTTGTTTCGGCTTCGATTTCATGAAAAATTGTTTCTTCAAATACTTTGATCAACTTCCATATTTTTTGGACCATTAATTGAAGATTTAGATTTTTTTCTCAAAATCTATTTTATAATAATAATAATTTGATCTCTTCCATGTTAATTGTAACTTCGTTGCTACAATTTAAGGATAATTGTTGAAATTTATCCATAAATTAATCAACGAAATTAACTAGACTGATTGTCTTTTCAATAGATTGGCGATTGAAATTGTCCATGAACTTGATTCTTGATTGTGATTAATTAAATTTAATTAACTGGTATTATATTTCAATCTAATTATTTTCATCTTAATTTGGTTTCATCTTACAAAGATAATCAACTTTTTCTCTCTATAATCTCGCAGAGACACAATTAAATTAAATCGTCACCCAGAAAAGATGATTAAATTGATGATGATAGTGATTTCGTCATTGATTATTGATCAAATTGTTGAAATTGAAGTTAAATTGTTATTACTTTTTTTTTTGTTATCATGATAATATTACTTTAGCAAATCAAAAGTGTCAATTGATTGTTAGATTAGTTTTGCTCAATGAAAATGATCAGTTTGATAATAATTTTCAACTAATCATCAAATCGTTAATGGTTGATAATTGCAGCAATTAAATGTTATCATATTATCGTTAACCTTTAGATAACAGTAACATTTCATAATTAACTCAAACTCAGATAATTAATCATTTTTTTCCATGAATACACAATTAAATTAAATTCAGTTGAATGTTACTTCCGACTAATTAAGACATCTTAATCAAATAGTACATGTAATGTAATCTTATTGAGCAAGAGTGATAACAATCAGAATTATGATTGGTAGCTAATGAAACAAATGAACTAGACATGTTAAGGAAATGATTTAGTAAAATAATTAAATAAACACAATCAAGGAATGTGTTGAGTTAATTGTTATCAACTGACAGAATTGATTAGCTTTTCTGTTTCCATTTCAAGTTGATTTCACCCAAGGAGGTATTCTTAATTGTTTATCGTTTAAATAGCGGGAATTGATTTAAACATTTTCCTTTGATTGTTTCTTTTGATTATATTGTTTAATTTTCTCCATATTCAATTGCAATGGTTTTCCAATTTGATTTGTAATTTCCGTCGGTTTCCTGTGATTATTTTTCACAATTAACTGTATCATCTCAACAATTGATTAAAACATAAGAGTATAACAATATAATGTAGTATCACAGATTAAATTGATTGTTAATTCAGGTGATGATTGTTAGATTATCTTAATTGAAGATGGAAACCTTTTTATCACCATAATTAAGATTTTAACTGTTATTTGTTGTTGTCTGATTGATGTTGAGAAATTGATGATGAACAAATCAACCGCAATTAAGTTAAATTGATTAAAGATGATTAAGATGATGTTCTCCTAATGATAAAAACAAAATAAATATATATATAAAAAAAAAGGTAAATTAAAACAAAGAAAACAATAATTAATTGATTAAAGTGTTTGTAGGTTGTGAAACTTATCAATATCACCTGTAAATATAATGTAAACCAATAAATTGTTTACAATTAAACTGAAACTGAGAGACATTGATAACAATGATTAGTTGATTAGTAATGGAAACAGTAAAAATGATCGATAGACTTTGATTAGGTTAATAAGATTAATTAATTTGAAATAAAATACTAACATTGGTAAACATACAACACTTATAATGGAAAATTGTAATTTCCACTTATTAATTGTTGTCTTTTGTTGGGTCTTGTTTATTATTATTGATTATTATCGTTCCACATTTTGACCTGTCGCAATTGTACCTTGAACTGGCGTTTAATTGATTTGTGACTATGTTAATAACGATTGTCGGAGATTGTAAGTCATGGATTAAATTGATTGGAATAAAACCAAAAATTGGTTACCATTAACCTGGAAAAAAAAGCAAAGGGAAACAATTAATAGTTACTCACTTGGGATATTCAATCATCCGGTGATCAAGTAGCGATGTGATCAATTGTCATCTAGATAAACATTTGAATCAATGCCAACAAGATTAGAAATTAATATAAGAAAACAGATAATCACGGAAGCAAATGTGAGATAATTAACACACGTTGGAAATTAATTTCTCTCTCTCTCTCTCTCTCTCTCTCTATGAAGAGAGAGACAAACAGAGAAAGGGAGAAGCTTTTGTGGAGATTTTTTTCCTTCTAAATAGTAAACACATCGATTACAATTAACAACAGAATCAACTGATTTAGTAAACAAGTTAATTCACAGAAAAAGAATTGATTAACTATCGGTGATTAAAAAAAATAGAACAAGAAAAAAGATAAACATTAAAAATGGAATTTTTTTCTTCTCCAAAAAGAACAATTTTTTCCCTCCCTTTTTCTTTGTTCTCTTTTTAAAAAGAAAAGGGTTACATGTGATTCTCAATGGATTTTTGCTTCTTCCTGGTTACATCTTTTTTAATTGTTTTCTCTCTTCGTTAATTAATTTGTGATCAATTCATTTTCTTCTCTGATTATGGTTAAGTGTGGTCAAGATTTTCTGTTAACTTTGACTTTTCTCTTTGGTAATTTTGGTTGATTCAATTAACCGATTTCTCAGTTTGGTGTTACAATTGATCTTTTTGCTTCCCTATTGGTTTTCTGGTTTCAATGATCAACCATTGAATTAAGGTAAGGCTAATTTTTAATTTTCTTTTTTAATTGTTCACCATTTTCCCTAATTTTCTGGTTAATCTTTTCTTTCTTTGTTGGTGAATGTTTTTTTTTGTTCTTAAATTATTTCACTTGTTTCATCTCTGGTGTTACTGAGTAAGGAAATTGTGCTTGTTCAGATTTGGAAATATGATTTAAATTAGATTAGAATATGGATTTTTTTTCTATCATTGAGTTTTCGACATTATTGGTTGGTAATCTATTTTATTAATCTATTTCCCTGTATGTTTTTCTATTTTTATTAGGTAACCAGTTTTAGATCTGGTTAGCTGATTTCTATTCTGGATCCTGTTGTTTTCACTTTTAACCCAACTTTGCATTACGAGGAATAGAAAAACAAACAAAGGGATTGGTAATAAATTAGCTACCGGATAACAACAACAAACCAGAATCAATCAATCAAGATGAATACACAAACAATTGTGATTTCCTACAACCTGAGATTCTCATAGTGTTGTTTCATTAACCAGGATGATGATTCTCTTATCATAATCTCCCGCAACCTTTTCCAGATAAAATCTGGTTGATATGGTGTTTCTATTTTATACACCGCCTTCATTCAGTATTATTCATCGTTATTCCATTACTTTAAATGATGATGAGAGAACGAAGGAAATTTTCTCAGCTATGGGGCCCATTGAGAGAGATAAAATGGCGACAATAAATGCAGAGAGAACGTTGTGATAAATCACTAAGTTAAATGGAAAAAAAAGGAATAAACAAAAGATAAACAATTATTCTCACGTTTTCTAACCAATCATAAAGGCTCACATGATGACTGCGGACCATTTAAATTCTGGTCGAAATCAGAATAATTCATTAGTAATAATTGGTTTTCTTATTACCACATAAATTCTGATTCCTTTTCTACATTTGGATTCTCCAATAATCAAAGGTTATACCTCGGACCTTTTCCATTTCTTGTTTTCATCTTCTCTCTTTCTCACTCTACTCTCTTTCTCTCTGTCTCTCCTTTAACCTACTCTCATCATCTCTTTCTCTTTCTCATACTCTTTCTACTTTTCCTCTGACTCATTTCTGCCTCTTTTCCACTGTTCCCAGAGTCACTCTCACCTTCATTTGTCTTATTGTGTTTCTTTTCTCAGTTATAACTGCTATATTTGTTGTTAATATTTTTCTTCCTTTTCTTTTTTTTTTCTCAATTAGTTGACCCAAAAAAATTCCATCAGGTATCAACCCGACCAGGTCATCTTTATCCGACAAATCCAATCGATCAACATCATCATCTCCTTACAATCTACTTTCTCTGACAGTTTTTTATCATGTCTGCTCTTAAGAAAATTTGTCTTATTGGCTCCGGTAATTGGTAAGTTCATTTTCGCATGAAATAATTTTCCTTTTGCGCCTTTCGAAATCATTATCTTCCCTCCTTACGCTTATCATTTTTCTCTTTGACGATTTTTTCCAAATTTAATGTCTTGAAATGAAAGACTTTAGATGATAACATATTTCTCTTTCCTTTCCTTTTCTTTTTCTCACTCTCTATCTATGCTCTTACAGGGGATCAGCTATTGCCAAAATCGTTGGTCACAATGTTACCAGATTTGATCATTTCGACAAAACGGTTAAAATGTATGTCTATGAGGAGATGGTTGATGGCCGTAAATTAACCGAAATAATCAACACTCAACATGAGAATGTTAAATATCTTCCTGGACATAAATTGCCTGAAACTATTTTAGCGGTTCCCGATGCTCTTGAAACTGCCAAAGATGCGGATATAATCATTTTCGTTGTTCCCCATCAATTTGTCGAGAGAACCTGTGCTCCTCTTAAAGGTAACATTAAACCGAACGCTGTTGGCCTTAGTTTAATCAAGGGATTCGGTGAGAAGCCTGGAGGTGGATTGGTACTTATCTCTGATCTGATCGGTGAAATTCTTGGAATTAAAGTATCAGCTCTGATGGGCGCAAATTTAGCTCACGAAGTTGCCGATGAGAAATTTTGTGAAACAACAATTGGTTGTGATGATGAAGATTCTGGAAAATTGTTGAAAGATCTTCTTGATACACCAAATTTCCGGGTAACCGTTGTCCGTGATCGGTATACTGTTGAAATTTGCGGAGCATTGAAAAACATTGTCGGTTGTGCAGCGGGTTTTGCCGATGGTCTCAAGTTAGGTGATAACACAAAAGCCGCTGTTATCCGATTAGGATTGAAAGAGATGATTCGGTTTGTCAATACTTTCTATGGATCTAATGTCCAATTAGCGACATTTTTTGAATCTTGTGGTGTCGCCGATCTAATTACAACCTGTTATGGTGGTCGAAATCGTAAAGTGTCCGAAGCTTTTGTCACTTCTGGAAAATCAATCGAAGAACTAGAAAAGGAAATGTTAAATGGACAAAGACTCCAAGGACCTCAAACCGCTTACGAAGTATTAAATTTATTAGAAGCCAAAAATGTCACCGACCAGTTTCCCCTTTTCTATGGTGTCGCCATGATTTGTAAAGGTATTTCACCTCCATCATCATTGGTTGAATATCTAAGGAAAGAACCAACGGATTAGGAAAGAGATGAGGAGAAAATGAAGAAGACAAATTTATTTACAACGAGAAAAGATCCATCCAATTCAAAGAGGTTAAAGAATCGTTGAAGATACAGGGACAGAAAAGAGAATTCAAAAAGTGTTCCAATTTTTTTCGCCTCTTTGGCAAAGATTCAAGTAAACATATTTTAAGGTAAACCAACGTGAAAAGAATTAAGCAACAATTAAGTCTACCATTCTAATTGTTAACCGGCTCTAGATTTAAACTATCATTACACAATGGCTCAAATTTAATCAACTATCCCGATAAACCTGTTAATCCATTTAAATATATTGTCTCTATCGTTTATGTTAATCCATTTAAATCAAATTTTGTCCATAACTAACCTTTCCTCCTCTAACATTCACCTAATTGATTATGTTGTTATTATCAAAACTATACACATGACAAAGATGAATTATTGTTATAATTAATGTCAACAATTAAGTTTAGCTGGAAAATGTTCATTGATCAGTACAAAATCATCCATTATTAAGTATTGTTACAAGTGTAAATCGTTTTTGTCACAGTTAAAGTGATCATTAACTATGCAAAAGTGTAATGAGTATATTTAATTGTTGGTTAATCCATAACAAGAAAACAATTTATGACAAAATTGATTAAGAAATGAATCTCAAAGAAATTGATCATTTGAATACGGAGAAAACTAAATTTCCAACTCGTAATCAGTGAATTGAACTTCTTTGTATTAGTTAATCAGATTGCTTTTGATTAATTATCTTTGAAAGTTAAATCATTTTCTTCACCAATTAAACTACAATAATGCTGATGATTTAACTGATACTAATCGTAATTGCCTCCAACATTGATTAGTTTTTTCAAGCATCTCTTGTGATTAGTTGAAATTGTCCATTGTGATTTGATTATTCCGTTGATTGTAAGATTCAAATCAAGAGTGTTGATTAAATTCAATTCATTAGCTTAATCAACTTTTTCCAATCATCATAATTAAGATCGACAATTTAAGTTTCTACAATTTAGTTGTCATTTTCATTTCTTTCTCTCTCCACTTCAATTAACTCTCTTGATTAAGTTGATTCTTAAATCATTAAAAAAATTTGATGATAATAAGAAATAAAGAATTGAGCAATTAACTATTAATATGGGGAAGTGGAAGAAACCAAAGGTTAATTGTTGAATAGAAAAACATTAAAAATTGAAGAGAAAATTAATCAACAGTTAACCTTAATTCACCTGATTCACAATGAGAATTGAAAGAAGACAAAAATCTCTGGCAATTTACCAGAGAATCTAGAAAATTACAATTCAAGTTAATCACTGGAAGAAATTTTCAACAATTAGAAAAACTGATTGTCGACCATTTAAAGAATCAAAAGTGGACTAGAAAAGTTTTCAAGAGAATCATAATCACAACGAATCGCCGATGGGAGAGAAATTTAAATTGATAATCTTGGTTACAATTCAAGTTTTCGTGGTTAATTGTAAACAGAAATTGAACCTCGATGATTAATTGTTGATATTGATCCTTGTAAATTGTAATTCTAATAACAAACGACCCAAACATTTTGTTCCTTTGTCCAAATCTTCAATTAACCTTGAATATCAGTGATCATTTTTGATTCGCTTTCTAAGACTTATAATCAAATTTGCCGTTGGCACAGTTTCTTAGACAAAGAAAAGACGATGAGGGAAAAAGTGGCCGACCTTGAATTTGGTTCCAAACGATGAATATAATTAGTTTATTTTCATGCAGTAAAAAAATTCATAGACCAAAAAATATTTATCTTTGTTTTTTTTTGTTTTTTTTTGTTTCGTGTTTTGTTTTCAACGAGATGTGATTTCTTTTTTAATAAATACGCGCAATCAGCAAAAAAAATTTGGTCAACTTATTTAGGGAGATTCATAGTCGGGTAGCGGGTGGATGATGAGGAATGTTTTGGTTGTGGTTGTGGTTGTGGTGGTGGTGGTTGTTGTTGGAGTTGCTGTTGTGGTTGTGGTTGGAGTTGTTGTGATTGTTGTTGTGGTGGAAGATCCTTTGACCCCAAACTGTCTCGATTCCCGATTTCTCCATCTCTAAGTGACAAACAATTGAGATTATTATTAACGTGATTATATTTGAGATTAACCAAGTAGCTCTTACTTGGCGAATGGCGAGATAAATTATCATTATGTTTATAGTAAGCAACTCTTGGAAGTCTTTTACCAGATATTGGAATGTTTTGGTGAAGTTGGGCATCGCTTTCATATTGCCTCATAACACCTTCCCAATCTATATAAGATAAAAAGAGAGAGAAAAAAAATGATTAGATTGGTGACGTAATCCAATGTTAAGGGAAAAAAAGAAAAGAGATAAAAAAGAAAATAAGAAAAAATGATTTGTTAACATTGTTTTGAGTTGAATTGAAGGAAATAAGAGGCAAAGGTAAATGAAACATGTATTGGAACGCATTAGAGATCAGAATTAAAAGGCTTTTAAACTCTAAATTCATTTAGAGACATAAAGATGATGATGAAAAACAAAGCTTATAGTCAATCATCAGTATAGAATAAGCTGGTGGTTGAGAGAGAAAGAGAGAGAGAGAGAGAGATGATAGATGGAAGTAACACTTTTTACATCATCTTATGTAATGGAGGAATTTGAAGATGGATGAATACTGAAACATTGACACGGGTTCTGTTGGTAAACTCGTTGTGAGACTCACAGTTTCATAGATAATTTTGAATAATGGAAAGAGATTGAGGAAGAAGGGATAATGTGTTCAGTGAGATTTATATTTATAGAGTTAATAACATACTTCCATGGATGTAACTAATCATTTCCTGATGTTGAGGACTTATGACCCTCGATTCCCGTGGGTAGTGGTGGTGATGATAAGTCTTTTTACCGGAAGATGAGTTATGATAAACATGCCGTGGAGAACTATAAACGTGACAGAACATAGATGAAGACACGGAAAAGAAAAGAAAACAAGCGTGAAATTAGTTAGAAGTTTAAATGAATATGGTTGGTAATTGTATCTCTTTTCATATTAGAAGAAACAACAAAGAGAGTGACAATAGTGTATTCGCCGGTTTGGCAAAAAAAACAGAGATTCTTTCAATATCATGATACTTACTTTAAATCATTGATGGGATAATTTTCTCGGCGATTATTTTTCATGTTACCACGATTATTCTCGAAAGAATCCATCCTTGGTGGTAAACCTATTGTTGAGAAGAAAACAAAAGCCAAATGATAAATTGGGGAAAACTCTTAGAATCTTTGGAAGATAATAATTTGGAAAGGAACGTAATTGAGGACATATTAGAAAGGATTATGGTACTAGAGGTATAAAATACACTGGGAACACTTTGATTAAGGTGAAGGTGGGAAAAGAAAGTAAACTAAGAGATAAAGAGAGAGAGAGTGAGTGAGAGAGATGAGGTACTTACTTCGCCGAGATTTAACTAAAACCTTATTTGTTGCTGGTCCTTTAGGTATCGCGTACATAGTTGGTGTTTGGTGGTGGTGATTATGAAACAGGTACCAAAGAGTAGGGGGATTAGTTTACAATGGTTAATGGTGAGACTGGACAAGGTGGTTAACAAATGTAAAATTAGAAAGACAGAAAAGAGGAAAGGGGCGAGAGATAAAGAAATGAAGACAGAGATAGAAAGAGAATTGATATCACAAAAATTTGTTTTGAGCAATTGGGTTAATCTTTGATTAAAGGTTAGCTTTTTTTTACAAAGAGATTACCAAAAAGACTTTGGGTGATAGAGAAAAAGATATCTCCCAAAATTAGGTAGTAAAGAGATAAGAATTGAAGTTGTTTTTTTTACAGAAATGAGTCTTTTGGAAAGACGCAAAAAGAAGGACTTTCTTGATTCAAGAATCGCTGAGTGAGACAGAGAGAGAGAGAGAGAGAGAGAGAGAGAGAGTAAAAAAATAAGGAAGATGATAGAAAGAGAAAAAAAGACAGAAAAAAGAGAGAATAGAAGATAGAAATAGGAATAGAATAGAAAGAAGAAAACAGAGAAAGAAAGAGAAAATGAGTGAGTGAATTCACAATTTACTAAAAAAAGAAGAGACTAGAAGATGAAGTTAATTGTTATTACTTATTGATTTCACTTAATAACACAGATTAATTCACAGTCCAGTCGAGTGAGTGGGCGATAGAAAGATTAACAATTTGGAATAAAAAATAACTTCTTTAGAATTTTAGAGAAAAAAGAAAAGCGATCAGTTAAAGATGGAGAATGTAAATGAGAGAAAAGGTGAAAGAGAATAAAAAATAAACAAGCGAACAAAAAGAAAGAGAAAAATAAGTGAGTCTCTTTTTCTCTTTATTGTTTTGATTCGTTTGTCACTTTATTCCATCGACATTTTGTTTCTTTTTCATTGTTTTCTTTTACTCGAACACATTTTTAATTAATCATATTATTCACTTTCACAATTCCAATCAAGTGAAACGAATAATTAATCAAATTGTCTTGATTCTAATTGACGAAAATTAATCGTTTAATTTGGTTCCAATTCCAATTGATTTTCCTTCAAGAAAACCATCAGTTAAGCCGGTTGAGTTTCTTTTCACAATCAAATTTGGATCACAATTAAAATTAAAACTTCCAGTGATTAATTTACTAATCAAACCATCAAAAAGAAATTAATTAAAAGGTAATTAGATTAATTTTTTTATTCTATTCTTTTTTGTTCTTTTCTTTTTTTCTCCTTAACTTACATTTAGAGTTTTTCTCTTTTCTCAATTGTTCTTTTGTTTCAACATTTAATATTTACAATTCTAAATTTTAATTGATCCACAGAATTTTCTACTTCAACTAATTGTTACGATGATAATTAAAAGAGAAAAGGAATTAATTTTCTTTCAATTTATATTCTCTTTCACTGTGAGTTTATATCTCGCGCTTTTGGAGATCCGATCTACGCAGGATTTGATTCTCAGTGGGAATTAATTTGGATACCAAGAGGTTAACCATTTTTATGTTATTGTTTTTTTTTCTGTAACTTTTTATTTCTTACAATTTCGTGTAATTATAATAATAGTTTTTAATTGTTTTCTTCTCTTTTCTCTCCCTTTCTCTCTATCTCTTTTCTCTTGGTTAACTTTAGGTTTTCATTGTGTTTATTTACTTGATTTTCCATTTCTACATATCATATATTTACTATTTAGTGTGACAGAAAAACATGGCTGGTGTTGTTAGTCCCGAAACCCCAGTAGCGGGTATTTCACGATCTGGTCGAATAAGAAAAAAATCAGCTAAAGTTATCGAAATGGAAGAGACCGAAAAAACCGTCGAATCAACTGATAAAGTTAAACCTGTTAGATTATCTACCATTGGAATTACCAATAATGGTTTATCACCTAAAAAGGGTTTCATTGAACGAGATTTTACCAATTCTTTAAGCTCTAAGAAGCTTAAAATTAAAATTCCACCGGTTGATGGTGATTTTAAAGATGCTGTTATGATGGAAGGAGATGATGATAATGAAGAAGATGTTAATGATGATGACGATGATGATGAAGATGATAATTTATTAGATGAAAATATGGAAGGTACAGAATTTGGTGAAACTAAAACATTAACCAATTCAACAACTTCAACCATAATAAATTCAACTCCCAATAATACAGGTAATTATTTAGATTTTGTAATTAATATTCATTTTATTACATATGTTTTATATTTTAGAGGGGAAAATAATATTCTTAATGAATTTAAATTTTGCCTCAATTTTTTTGTCATTTAATGACAATTCTCAAAGAGCTTAGATTAGGCGCCACTCCTGGTGCAATATATTGTTTCACATTTCCAAATTTAGATCATCTCGAACATAAATATTAGTTAACAAATCAACGGAATTTGTGTATTGTCTTGAATCTCCATCTCTTACATCGATGTTTTGATTATTTTGTTCTTCCACTTGTATCTGGCATGTTTCGAGTTGTCGATTAATTTTCTTCATTATAATTTAATCTGTTTTCTATTATTTTTCTTATTATTCCATAGGAACTGCTCTTGGAGTACTACCCATAACAACCATAATACCATCTTCAGTACCTTTACCAACCATTTCAACTTTATCCACCAAAAAGCATGAGAAATCAACTAAAAAATCAACTCTCTCTGAAAGTTGTTACATTACCGAACCTGCTGTCAAACCGATTAAAATAAGTCGTAAAATGGTTGATAATGATTCTGCGGCCAATAAACTATTTGAACAAATTACTTCTGGTACACCTCATATTGACCATCGACGTAAAGGTTTTCGTAGGAAATTTAAATATGGAATTGTCAATAATGTCGATTTTGGTTCAGATGATAATGATTCAGATGAAGCTTCATTGGTGATTGCTACAGATCCCCAAGATTCCTTAGCATCGGCAATGGCTCATGTTAATAAACTTAAAACTCCAAAAGTTGAAGCAACCCCGGAGGCTGATGAAAAAGAGGATAAAAAATCAAATAAACGACAAACTAAATCTAAACTTAAAACACCAACTGATGGTAAATCTCCCGAGAAAAAGAAACGTGGTCCATTGATAACAGCATATACACTGTTTGCAAGAGAGAATCGTTCAAAAATAGCTCAGAGTAATCCTCTTTTAGATTTTGCTAATGTTAGCAAGAGATTGGGAGAAGTGTGGCAAACTTTACCCAACAAAGAGAAGATGCAATGGAAAAGAAAAGCCGCCAAAATGGCTCAGAATATGCACCGAGCTGCCCAAGAACCTGTTACAACCCCTTCAGCAACAAAATCCACCACCAGTCATTCAAAATCATCTATTATTTCAAAATTATCTTCAGTTACTCCCAAATACTCAACGAAAAGTCAAGAGTCAACCATAAATCGTAAAAATATTCCCGGTTATATTGACGCCGCTTGTCATTTTAAACTTATCGGCGATTCTCTCATCACTTTGGGTAAAAGAATCGGCGATCGTCCAGGTCTCGCTAGTACAGCCTCATTTTCCGTTCTACTTGATTCAACCTTATGCTCTATGGGCTCTCTTATAGGACTTACAAGGTTAGTCGATCATTCCAATGGATGTCCCAAGGAAATTCACGATAAATTAATGGACAATATCTCATTCATTATGCCAGGAATATAATAGAATAATTTCCCGCTATTTATCAAATTCTGCGACCCTTATCCTTATGTCTCCACCGCTTCCACTTCTCACCTTACTTTTCATCATCATCACTCATATTCAACTCATTTGTCAATATCTATATTCTTGAATCAACTTCATAAATCAAATTTAATTCAATATGTTCATGTAAAAATCAATTCAATCATCTTTACTTTAAGATGTCCCATGAAAACATGATGATTGTTTTCCCTTCTTGTACCTTATTCCCATTCTTGATTTCCTACTAACCATTTCAATCGTTTCCTGTCTCCCAATTCCTCTCCTAATTGTCTTATTAATCTTTCGATGATTTAATTTTCTTATGGAGACAAATCAGTTAAATTTCTATTCACAATTAATCTCTCTAGTTTCCTTAATTGGCTAATTAACTGATCTCTCCATAAACTGTTAAAGACTCACGAATTATATAAATTTTGTCCCACCCTCTTTACTCCCAATCTCTGCTTCATGATTATTTAATAATTTGACAATTTAATTTCATGAATTCGTGTAAAAAAATTAACCTCAATACATTTAATTGACAGATCACAATTAATCCTCAACAATTTGTCAAATTTTTAGTATATTAAATTACTTCAACTCCTGAAAACAACAATAATAATATTCAATTTCTTGATTGATTTCGATGATCACATTAATTTGTTTAGAATCATTTAAATCAAACAATCAACACGGAAATTACGAATTGAATTACTAATTTTTGATTTTCCTTTAATCAACAAAGGGGTTTGATTGATTGTCAGTGAATTTCAATCCAAATAATTAATTATTATAATATTCAAACAAAACTCAAACTTTTCATTCAACTTTCTTTCAACAAAATGAGTAATTAGATGAATGATTTTTTTGTAATCAAAAACTTTGATTTATTTTCTTAATTGCTTTTTCTGAAATGGCTTCAATTAAATTAGTACAGAAATAAAAAATTAAAGTTATTCCTGAAAACAAAACATCGGTGTTAAAATGATATGTCCTTTGGAGTTTTTCGAGCCGAAGAATAAAAAAAATAGATTAGATTTTATATAATTGATATTAATTAATTAATTTAATTAATTAGTAGTGTTGTTGGTAGACTGGTGAAGCGACTTTGGTGACGACTGGAGCGGCGTGGCTGACGTATGATGAATAATGAGCTGGGGCTGAAACGGCTGGAGCGTATCCGTAAGCTGGAGCGGCGATTTTGGTGACGACTGGAGCTGGAGCGTATGAGTAGCTTGGGATTGGTGCTTGGTAGTAAGCGGGGGCAGCTACTTTAGCGACGATTGGAGCTGGAGCGTATCCGTAAGCTGGGGCGGCGATTTTGGTGACAACTGGGGCTGGGGCATATGAGTAAGCTGGGGCAGCTAATGGAGCATGGTATGCGGGAGCGGCGATTTTAGTGACGACTGGTGCTGGAGCGTAAGCAACTGGTGCTGAGTATGATGGAGCAGCGACAATTGGAGCTGATGGAGCTGAAACGGTAGCAGCGGTGTTTTGGGTGGTTGGAGCGGTTCCTAGAAAAGAAATGGCAAAATATAAAAGTTAGACAATTAAGTTGTCAATCAAACACAATTAATGACAAGTACCTGGTTCGTTGGTGATAACTTGAGCTCGGAAACCGTGGACTGGGTCAGCTACGTAGTTGACAGTTCGTTGACGACCGTCGATAACACCGAGTGAATAAGATCCAACAACTTGGCCATAAGCGTTTCCTTGTTCCTTTCTTGATGTACCACCGGTGGCATGGTTTTCTGTGTAAGCGAAAGCGTAATTACCAACGGAATCTTGAGTTCGGGTGGAAACTGATGATCCAGTGTTGGCGATGTTGGCTGGAGCGTAACCGGCGGTGGCTAAACCAATGAGTGCGAATAAGGCGATGACCTAAACAAAAAGAAAGAAAGAAAAAGGAATCAATTAAAATTCAATCTCACAATTAACGAGAAAATGAAATCACTAATCAATTAAACGAGTTAGAAAAATATTTAATCCAAATGGTTAATGAGAAAATTAAAAGATCACAATTTAAAGTGAAAACAAATTGAAAGTTTACCTTCATTGTTGGTGTTTAGTTTTTGATTGTTGGACTTTAGATGTTGATCAAGAAATGGATTGATTGAAAGTGATAGTTGATTATCGAGAAACAATTTACTTTTATATCCAAATCCGATCGGAGGACAATCTCCCACCAAACTGACCATTAATTGTTGGTTCCCACCCAACAATCAAAAGACAACAGGTTAATAATCACCATCAATAGTATTATTATTGAAAGGAATTGATGTTAATCAATAATTTAATTCCTCCTTCTTTTACCTTCCTTGATTGTCCTTCATTAATCCAACACCATCCTTCATAACTAACTCGTAACAATTAAGCTCGATTACACTGTTAACAAAGATACAAGAGAAAAAGAAAAGAAAAATTTAAAATTAATCATTACAATTAATTCTGAGACTCAGATTACAATTTAAATATCGATAGAAAATAAAATCAATGGGAAATCAAATTGTGAAAAACAAAATAACAAAAGATTCAATTATTACATTGAACAATTAAATCAACAACAATCAACTTGACAGTTTCAAACCCAGACCAGCAATTAGATTAACAATTAAAGTTAATCTCTGACAATCAGTAGCCTGATTAATTAACCTGTGTGTCTATTGATTTGATTAATTGTTGATTAAACTGATTCGGGATCGCTAAAAACAAATGATAATTAAAATTTAATTGCAACACTGTGGTTGATAATTTATTAATAGTAACAAGGTAATAACATAATTGTAGCTATGGCCTCTTAAATGATTGGAAAACAATTAAGATTGTAATTAGCTGTGATTACAATCAATAATTGAAACATGATTCTAATCATTAAACATGATTAACTTTTTGATTGTCAGAGGAATTTGATTTTTAATAACAGACTTCTCGTTGATGATTAAGGTTAAAGATGAAAAGTAAAGTTGATTAGTGTCCCATTGATTATAATTAAAAAGCTTTAATTATCATGATTATCAGTGATTTAATTTTCTATCCTGTTCCATTGTAATTGTTATTAATCAGTTAATTGTAATAAAGTAAAAATTAAAGGAAAATCATTTCAATGGTTTAACCTTCAATAAAAACCACACCAAACATGTTAGTTTATTGATTGTCGATTTATAATTAACGGTCAAAACTAATCTCAAGTTTAATTAAATTACTTAAAACAGACACACATAAATTATAAATCAAACAATTTAATTGCTGGTAAGTCAATCAACTAATGATAATCTTAATTGTTAAACATATTGAACGATAATCGGGTAACTAAATCATTAAAAATTAACATGAAGGTAATAATAAAGTGAACACCCAACAATTTGTATTATTACAATTTAATGTATATCTGAACACTAATCAATTAAAAACCTTGGAGCAATTAACTAAACAATTAACCATTTTAAATATTGATTTTGGTGATAACAATCAATCGCCCATCTCAATTAACAGCAACAATCAATGACAAATCATCTCGATTAATGTTTCTAATGTTGTTTGGAGTCATTTTTATCAATTGATTGTTGTAATTAAATTAATTCCTATTTTATCCAGAATATTATTAAATTTGATTCTGTTGATATAGTTAATTGTTAATTGTTTATCACTCACGCATTTGTGTTTATATCGCCAACGCTTTCGGGTTAGTGCTTTGATTGTTGTGTCGATTAAGTTAATCAATTAATTTAATTGATCGATTAGCTTAATCCAGTTTAATTTTTTCAAGTGATTAACAACTAATTAGTTGAGAACCGAAAAATTATCTTGTATAATTGTCATTGTATATTAATTATTGTTACAGAAATACCTTGATCCAGTTTAAATTAATTTATTGATTGTTGTTATTCACGAAAATCGGATGCAACAATTAACCAGATCGATTACAATAATTAAAGTTCAAACAATCAAATCAATCTCCAAACAGATAATCATACTAATTGTCTGATTCAATATTAACCAATATCTTAAATTGTTTTATGAATTATTTGATATTTGATTCACTTTAATCATCAAATTGATGAAATGTTTGCATAATCATAATTAGTTAATTGGTGGTATTCAAATATGATCATTAGTTGATCTTGATGGTTACAATTTAATTCACCTTGATCTTAATCATTGCAGATAAAACAATCAATCTGAACATTAATTCACATCTAAAAGCAAGGAATTAAAGTGAAAATGATGATTAAAGATTGACATGGAAATTGTAATAATCAAATTGATTGATGACCAACAATTAACTTGATTGTAAACTTAATTAGTTACCTTGACACTTGGGAGATTTACCATTGATTTGATTTGGTTTTTTCATTGAAAAATTACCATTGATTATGTAAATTGTTAATTGTTCAATTGAGAAAATTAAAATCTCTATGTTATATTTAATCTGTGTTAACAATTAACATGATTAATTGTTTGGAGCACAATCAAGGTAATCAAATCTTTGTTTAAACTTGAACTTTTTTTTTCATTGTCTTTAATTGTATTGATGCTTCAGGCTAAATATATTATTGGGTGTTTGTTATTGAGAGAGAGAAAGTTAATTACAATTAAGTGATCGATTCGATAGAGGGACAATTAAGAAACTTGTAATTTATTTAAATCTTCATTAATTAGGTAAATTTAAACTCTTTGGGTTTCGTTATGATTTGACAAATTTTCACTTGTAAATTGCTAAAAATTAACCAATTAACTTGAGGATAATTTTCTGTTAATTGTTACCAATCAATTGTGGTATTAGATTTAAATTGTCACTTTAATTGTTGTTCATCTTTTATCCTTTTTCAAAGTTTTTTTTTTCATTCTTATCAATACAATAATTAAGTTAATTGTTGGTAAGAAACTTTTTTCACTCACTTTCCAAATTAAGAGTTATAGTAAAATGGGATTAGGCTTAATTGTTAAGATTAACGGTTTGTAATTGGTTTAATTTAAGGAAAATTGATAAACAATTTAACCAAGGAAAGAAAGTAATTAATTCAATTCTTAAATTTGAGTAATAATTTAACACGTTAAATGTTTTCCAACAATTTAGTTAACAGTTGTGTTATTTGATTATCTCTTGTAATGTTTAACTTTTACATGATTACATGATATTAATTGTGCTCATTAGTTTTATTTGATTAGTTTTTAACAGCAAACATCAATCAATCATTGATCAAGTTAATCAACAACAAAAAAACCGATAGTTAATCAAATCAAAAGAGCACAAAAATCAAGAGCAATCAACGCTTTGAGGGTAACATTTTGTAACAGCAACAATGCAAACATTGATTATCACTGATTAAATTATTTCTAATTAGAATGGACAATCATCACCAAAATCAATCTTAATTGCTAATCAAAATTAAAGAGATACAAAAATAATTAACATCCAACAACAATTAAAGAAGAAGAAAAAAAGTAAACCATCAACAAGATGAACTGGAAAGAAAGAAAATCAATAGAATTGAACAGAAATCAATAGACTGATTAACAATTTAGGAAGAAAAGAAGAAAAGAAATTAAAATAAAAACAATTAATTAATCAACTGATTAACATTTAATTTCTATTAATTGTTAATCCATAAAGAAACAGAATTTGACTTTGCCTCGCTTTTTGTGTTCCCTCATCATTTGTTTATCTTTTTCTGTGTCTCTTGTAACCATAAGTACAATTGAATTTTTTTTCGTCTCTCTTGTTTGTTTAAATTAATTCTAATTATTAAAGCTAAATTGTTAATATTTCACCATCAAATTCTGTTGATTACCATGAATTCATCAATTGGTCATGAGCAATTGTGAATCTTTATCGATTAGTAAACCGAGAATCAGTTTACCTTCATCACCATTGACCAAACATCTGATTTTAACATTAGTCATTTTCCAATATTGTTTTCATCTGATTTTACTCAATAATCATAATTGTTAATTACCTGGTGATTATTTTCTATAAGATTTAATTGCTTTAAATACACTACAATCAGTAGTATTAATTTGTGTTGTTTTATTTTTCCTTTTTATTTACAGTAATTGAAGGAGAGAAACTAATATTTGGCTCATCTCAATTGATCATCTGTTGACATTTTCTCTCATTCATTTGATTTTCCTGTTCCTATTTTTATCATCGTATCAAAATGACTCTTATCCGGTATATAAAAAATTCACGTAACAATGAGACCCTGATTGCTGGTGAATATATTTTCCGTAAAAATAAAAGTAGAGATGAAAAGGTTTACTGGAAATGCCGTAAAAATAGTTGCCCGGCCAAGATCACAACTTATGCCGGAAAAGTGATGGGCCATTACCTTAGACATAATCACAATGATAACAATCAAGATGAAATCGCTCGACTTGAAGGATTACAACCAACTACCAATTTCCAGGTAACAAAAAAAACATTGACCAGAAAAAGAAAACTAATCCTGTGTAATTACATTGATTTTCCAATCAACTTTCACTTGGATTGTTTTCTATTCTCTATATAAATGAACCTTATGGAGAAATTCACAATTGTTGTGACAATTATTTTTATTTCATTGTTATTCTATTGATTGTTTTTCTTTTCTTTTTCTTGATTTCGCTCTCAGGTAACTCAGGTTGATGACGAAGTTAGTCAACAAATAATCACCACTGGAGAGCCTTTTGGTGAATATTCATTTGCTGTTGAAAATTATGTGGTCACTTCAAGTGGAGAACCAGCTCGTCGAATTGAGTATATTCAAACTGACCCTGATCGACCTTCGAGCACCGTTGTTGTTACCACTTCGGCTACTGTGGATTCCCCTGTAACCGTTTCGGTGACTGGTGTTGATGCAACGGGTGCGCTTGTGTCCAATATTACCGGAGGTATTACTGCGACAACATCATCACTTTCATCACCTTCCAATTCATCTTCCCTGTCAACCATATTCAAAGAGTTTAATGAATCACAGAAGAAAATTGAACAATTAGTAACCAATCTGGTTACAACTAATGAGGTTGATGGTTTACAAACAGAGAATATTAAATTAAAATTAGAATTGGATGAAGCGATTCGCAAATTTAGAGGTGAATTGGAAAGTAAAGAGATACAATTACAGGAGGAGAAAAATCGAGCTGATCAAATTAAAGAAGAGCTGGAAAATCAATTAACCTTGGAAAGGTTGGAAAAAGAGAAACTCGAAGAAGAGAATGAAAAATTGCGACAATTAGTTAAACAGTACGAGATTAAATTCAAAGAGGAAGAAGAGGTTGAAGTTCAATCTTGCACAATTTCTCAAGTTTCCGATGCGATGTCATGTAATTGATTAATTGTTACATCAATTAACCAAACACTACAACTCCTCAAATCACCCACCACTCAGATACACTCACTCATTCACTGACTTAATCACTTAAACACCAACAATCACCTTTAACCAATTGATCCAATTACATTTCTATTTGTATTTCCATTCATTTTTGGCTTGATCACCAGTCAATTAATGTTAATCAACCAATCAAAGGTCATTCCGATCATCATGAAAAACTGGACAAAAAGACATGATTAACTTTCAACAACAATTAATATAAACACAAATATTAATTCATTAGATTGAATGTAAAGAAAAAGTTAATCAACATGATCAAGACAAATCATTTTGGAAAGACAATCAAACTAAATTGGATTGTGATCATTATCATTATCATTATCATCGTCGTCGTGGTCATCCATTTATCATGATTATCTAATATCCCAGCAGATTACAGGCAAGAATCAAATGAAATTGCACTCAATTAATTGACAATTTGTATGAATATATTTCTTAACTAATTCCTTAATTCAGTTGATTCATGTCATGTTACTCTAATTTCCTCAATTGATTAACCTTTTCCACTTCCCTCCAATTTTATCAATCACTTTTTTTTTGTTACCTTAAATGTCATCATTATTTTGTGCAATTAGTTGATCCTTGTTTCTTTTTTTTAATTACTAATATTTACGATATTATTTTAAAATTTAGAATATATATTGTCAATTAATGTAAATCCATTAATTTCCCAGCAAGAGAGAAAAACAATTACAACTGTTAATTGTTACACTGGAAATATTGTAATAGAGATTCAATTTTGGTCTCTAAAATCAAACCAACAATCAGAACCAATGTCAATTCATTGAGAAAAATCTGATTAATATTAACAATAAGAACAAAATTTACCAATAATAATTTGACTTACAATTGATTAATTGAGGTAACAAATTGATTTCCAATCTAAGTAACAATTAATTTCTATTGGTTTGATCTCTTTTTTTTTCTTAATCATTTCGGATCAATTGAAAATTTATCATTCTAAAAATTAACTGACCCAGACTGTTTTTCTGTTTATGATTAATGACAATTCTGTTATCGATTTCAATTAAATGGTGAAAAATATTACAATCTAATTATGATGATGATGATGATGATGATGATGATTAGTATTGTTGTTAATCATTTCCACGAATCCAATAGTTACCTTAGCAATATCTTGTATTGGTCAAAGATAAACAATATAACTGTGATATCTTTTAACCTTTAGGAGTATATGTTTTCGTTGAGATTGTGAAATAATCCAAATCTATAAATTGTTGAAAATTTAACAATTTATAAATTAATAGGTTTCCATAATGACGGTTATGGTTACCTTGTTGTTGAAAATTTTTTACATCAAACGTGATCAGATCAACAGTCATGTGTTAATCCCATGGAACTTGTTTGATTGGAGATTAACTGATTGTTCAAATGGTGTTTCCAAAATTATCCAACAGTAATGGTTATCCTTTAATGGTAATGACCATGTTAATATTGTTTCCAATTAATAAATTATCGGCAACAAATTCCAGGAAGAATATAGAAACCATTGAATATCCGTCATCATTTTGGTCAGTTAAACATAATCTAAGATTCAACGAGAATGAGAGTAAAATTTATGAATATTCGGGTGACACAGGTAAAAGAGATGAGAGTGATGATCATAATAACAATAATCGACAATTAAATGTCGGCTTATTACCTAAAAAACGAAGTCCACTTTGTATCGATGAGTTTATTTTCTGTGCCTCATCATTAACATGTTTGGATATTGTTTGTGTTGAGAGTTTAACTAAACAGATTGACTATTGTACTTCAGGAACAATTTACTGCCCAGAAACCGACGAGTGTCTCACCGTTTGTCCTCCATCCAATGGTCAAGAAGGTCCAGTAAGTATAGAATAAACTAGGTTAATTAAAAGAACACAATTAATCAATTAAGATTTAATCTAAACAGAAATTGTTTTCTTTTCTCAATCAAACCAAATCAAATTTTCTCTCAAGTGGCGACATCTAACGTGACAGAAATGAAAAAGAATTTTTCGTTTTTTCGTTTTTTCTTATTGACCATTTGATGGATTTTGTTTTAATTTAGTTGATTGTTTTTCTTTTTCTTTTTCATTTTATTTAATTTTCTTCCAGATAATTGTTGGGACTTTAGATCCAGTTGATTATAATTTAACCGATACTTTGGACGATGAACCTTCGGATAATTTTCCAGAAGACGAGGGAAATGTTACCGAGGTGATGGTTGTTGTTTCAATGGTTCTTGTATTTAAAGCTGATTATTCAATTGTTGTTGGTAATCAGTCAAGTGAATTTATTGAATTATTGAGAAAACAATTAACTCAATTAACTGGTCTTCCTGATAGTTCAATTCAAAATGTAATCATTATACCAGATACATTTAAAGTTACCTTTGATTTGGTCTATTGGCCTGAAGAAAGTGAAACCGCTAATGTGACATCATCTGATTTCCAAGCAATTGTTGATAAAATTGAAAGTGAATTAAGTTCAACTGGAATTAATTTCAATGATTTTAAAGGTGAGATAATTGTTGCTGTTGGAAAGATTTTGTACCAAAGGTTGAAGAGCAAGAACAGCAAAAACAAGAGACATCAACCCAACCCTCATCGTCCATTAATCCAGAGGCTGCAGAAAATTCTGGATCCAAAGATGATTACAGTTTAACCTTAATCTTAAGTCTTACCGTTGGTGCTGTTATTTTAATTCTAATTACAATTGTTGGTATAATTTATAGTCGAAAGGCCAACAATCGTAAACTAAGAAAGGTCACACCTTTCACCCAAATGGTGAGTAATTTAAAAAGAAAAAGTGATTTCAACTTCTAATTAAACTTAAATTTGAATTTGAAAACAGAAAAATGGCCAATTGGGATTAACCCCTTTATCTCAACCTAACAATGGAAACCAACGTTTATTTACTGGTAATCACGAGGACAATTTACTTACGCGATCTGATGACGATGATAATGGCTCATTGTACCTGTCGAATCAATTTAATCACAATGAACTAATCAATGGATTGCGAATACCAAATGCAGCAATTTATGTTCCACCAGGTGAACAAGACTTGAAATCAACACCAAAATCAATCACCAATAGAGTAAGTTGAAATTCTGTCAACTCACAATTCACTTAATCACAACTGATAATCAAATTAAGTGACAGAACTTTGAATTGGTGCTTCATTTGAATGCTCATTACAAAAGCAATGGAAAGTTTCAAAGATTCAGTAAAGGAAGATAATTGAAACAATTTATTTCTTGGAAGGAAAATGGCAAAGTTTTTATTCAATAATTGATTGCAATTTGATTGTCATCAAAATTAATGATGAACTCACTTGCATATTTCACAGAAAAGCAATTAGTCCATGTGCCAAAAAGATTGTACAGAAAACGAATCGTTGAAATTTTTCTTAGTCAATTTAAATAGCGACTGATTGTTGGTACACTTACGTTCACATCAAACTGCGTGGAAATAAAATTCTGGACACTGGTCAATGTGATACGTTCTTGTTGCTGGTCATTACAAGCGTTTCCTAGCTCATTGAAAGCTCGAATTTGGTCAATTTGATCTTGGTTCAGTTTTCGCTTTTTCTTTCCTCTGGGTCTTGGCGCATTTCCAAATGCTTTGTATCGCTTGATAATCGAGTAAATTGTGTTGATATTTACGTCAAAAACTGTAGCCAACTGACTTACCCGATTTCCATCATTGTACCGCTGAATAATCAACTCACGAATTGATTCACTTACAGGTTTATATTTACTTGAATTCATTTCGATTTCACTAAACAGTCTCGATATCGACCAAGAAAAAAAAACACTGAACTGGACATAGAAACACTTTCAAAACATAAAAGACATTCAACTCTCTGAATACACGAGTTTTTATATCGACGATTTCGATTGACTACCTTAATCTTTTCGCTTAAAGGATTAGTTTAAACCAATCACCATCTTAATCCACTTTACCTTTCAGGTAGATTGAAATGGAAGCAAATTTGACTATTCTAATATGCTCTTTGCCATGAGCTCTAATTTAATTATCATTTCATATCTTCTTCTTCACAAGTAAATTGTCTTCGGACAATCAAGTAAGAGCATTGAAATTTGGTATTAGTTGAAAGAAACAATGTTGATTTGGAGTTGAAAGAAAGTAACAAATTATAACCAATTAATGTCAATAAATCATTTCCTTTATTGTTTTACTAATGATTAAGCGATTAATTACTTTTTTTTATTGTTCTTTTCTCGCCTAAATTGTAGGTTTGGATCAACAAAGGTTTAAGCTGAGTTTTTAGCTTGGGAACTGTGGAGTTTGTCGCAAACCTTGTTGATTGCGTCGAAAGCAAATTGGTTGTTTGAATCCTTCATCTTGTAAAGAACACCAAGAACCTTTGAGACGATCAAATTTTTGGAATCATCATCCTTTTCTCGGCTGAGAAGGGTGTCAGAAGCATCGTCTAAGGTGTTGATGGCACCAGCGATGGTGTTCAATTGAGGAATCATACCACCGGACATGTTGTTGAGGAGGTTAATTGCATCTTCAACCATATCGATACCATCGGCAACCTTGTTAGCCATATTTCGGGCATTATCATTGGTCAAGACTTGTTGTTGGAAAGTTTCAGCAGCGGTTTTAAAGATGGCGGCCAAAGGTTGGTTACCTGAAGCTTCCATGTTCTTGGCAAACTTGGCTAAAACTTCACCGAGAAGACCACTTCGTTGACCGACTAAGCCAGCGATCATGGTGACAGCGCTGTTTCGTGAGGCTGGTCCATTGGAAAGTAATTTCTCTACTTGTGGGACAATTTTCTCGGCGTGGGTAAGAGCGGATTGAGCGGCTTCAGATGCTGGACCAACAAAGGAAGCAGTGTTGACCAATTTAAGAGCATTCTTAATTAATTTACTTGCTTGTCCACCTTCTGAGGCTTGGTCAAGTTTGGAGCTAAGAGATGAGATTAAACCGTTAACTCGTTGTTGGAAATCATTAGAAGCTGTTGGACAATTGAAGAAGAAAAAAAAATGAAAACAAATCAATTAATTCATTCAAATATTGATAATATTTATGTTATAATTGCATCTTTTTTTTTAAATTTAAAATTTGCAATTAAGGTAAATAACATGATTCAATCAATCTAAACACTCACCTGAACTTGCCAAAGTTGCACAGGCAACGATGGTGATTAAAGTTGCTGAAAATTTCATTTTGATGATTGAGATGTTGAGCTGGTTGATTAACAATCCAATTAAATCTAATTGCAACTAACCCAAGGTATTTATATATTGTAATTAATTTTCTCTGTCTATTGTTTAACTTATTGTTGTTTTTTTCTCCATAGGAATTAATTTCAATGCCATTTTGATCTGTCTAATCGTTCATATTTGATTAGATCAAAATTTTATTTCTGTCATATTTTTTTGCACTTGATTATTATTATTAAGATCATCGTCAAATTATTAATCTAATTATATAATTAGATTCATCAATCTATCATGAAGCTTAATCAGTGACAATTTGGAACAATGAAACCAGGATCAACTTTTCAAAATTTAACCAAATGTTGTCTAATTATTTAATTGTCTAATCAACAATTGACATCAAAGGTGTATCTCATTTGTTTAACAATAACTTTCTGGTTGCGATTTAACATTGATTACTTGCTAATTGTTGAAATAATTACTTTGCAATCAGTTAAAGGTCATCAAATTGTCATTTTGTTTCAATTGATGTCAATTATCAAAGTTTGATACCTTTTTCATCAGCTGGAAATTTTGATGAAAACATAATTAATGTCAATCATTGATCATTAGGCAAGATTCAGGTGACAATTAACAGAAAAGTAGTCAACAATTATCTGGGTATATTCACTTAGCTTTCAAATAGTTTATATATAAAAAGAGGTAACAATTAAAACTGTGATCAGATTGATTATTGCATCTTGGCGTCAGTCCAAGTATCAGAAGAAATTAAATCGCACCAGTTAATCATGAAGTCATTAATTGTATTTACCCTTGTTATTGCCTCCGGTAAGTTAACATTATTTTTGATAATATTCTTAATTTTCTTAATCACTAATAATAAATTATCTCATTTCTTTATTTGATTAGCTTTTGGCTCCAGTCAAGTTAATCAACTTTTGGACCAATTGGACGATTTGTTGATCGCTGCTCATTCCTCCAAGAATATCAAAGCCCTCGAATCAATTGAAGATGCCATTGATTCCCTTACCTTTTCCGCTGCTCGACTCCAAACCGCTAGTGCAGATGAGGCCAAAATTTACCAACAAGCTATCGATGATGTAGAAAAAGATTTTCCCGCTCTCGAAAAATTGGTCAAGTCAACAATTAAATCTCGAGGATGGATCACCAGCTCTTTGAGTTTCGTCGCCTCAAGTGTTACCGGTGCTTTCACTAAGGTCACCAGTATCTTTGACACTCTTAACAAGAGCGGCTTCGGTGGTTTAATCGCAATCTTCCAACCCTACATTGATCAACTCCAACAAAACGGTCAAGTTAAGAATATCATTTCTGGCCTTAAGGTCGTTGAACAAGGTCTCTATTCATTGAACAAGATGACCGGAGGTGCTATCGCTCCACTTAACACCGTCACTGATGTTCTAGCCAACATCGACACCGCTGGTGATTTATTCCAAACAATGAGCACCGCCAACTCATCTGAAGCCATTTCCGATGCTCTTATCAACACCTTGGTCAGCGCTAAAGGTTCAAACCTCGAAAAGATTGAAAAAGGATTAGATTACGTTTGCAATGGTATGACCGATGCTGCTAAATCATCATAAACAATTAAACAACAATCTAAATCTCTCTCTGTCTAAATTGCAATTTAACATGTTCAATGTTACATCAATTAGACAATACAAATGAATTATATCTAAATAGTAAATAAATTGTTGATTCCATTACAATTTATATAAATTTTATTACTTCTCATCATCAATTATTCACTTTTTCTTAACAACTTGATTAATCATTGTAAGTAAAATATATAGATGACGCTAATTGTTTGCTTGTTTTATTTATATGAGGATTTTAATTAGACATCAATTAGAATGGTTAGTTTAATTAAATGGTTACGATTTGTTGATACCAAGTTAATCATAAAATCATCATTATAATAGTCAAGTGGTTGTTAAAATTGATTTTAATGAAATTTATCCAATGTAAATGTGTACAAATTATTTGCTCATCATCAAAAGCTATTAATGATAATCAATAGCAAATTATTATCTCTTTACAGTATTTTAATTGTGATTAAGGGAGATGACAGTTGTATTGAGCGTTGGGATGATGATTACAGATTCGTATTTCCAGCAGTCAGCCCCCGTCGGTCTGTGTATAACGATCACGATCTCTCAGTATACAAAACAATTAAAATCGGAACCGTAGGCGATAACCTGGCAATCTCTTGTTTAGTGGACGATAAAAATGACCAATATGACCTCTTTCAACTGCATAAGAAGTACAAATGGCTTTATTATAAATTCAATACCCGCCCTCGGTTAGCCTGGACAGAATTGGCCCCTGTTGAAAGAGGAAAATATTCAAATTCGGAAGTAAACTATACGGTGGGTAAATGTTTCGAATTGATTGTTGTTAAAATAGATTTGGAAACTCGAGGAATATTCAAGTGTGTTCGTAAAGATAATAAAACAAAAACTGAGATTGAAATCATTGTTGATGTTGAGCCAAAGGCAGAAATCGATGAGTCCGGTTGTGTAAAAAAGTCACAAATGGACTTGAAATTGGACCGTAAAGCCTTGAATTTACTTATTGCGACAGGGCTCCATTCACTTTTCACCATGTGGAATCCTTGGAATAGCTATGAATTTATAAGCGATAATATAAAAGATGAATATTTTGAACATAAAGTTTTTTATGTTTATCAACCAGCGCTCGTTTGGCATGAAATTTTAGGTCAATGTTTACCCTGTATTTATAATGAGACTTCTACTAATGGGACTCGAAAAAGTGTTTCCAAGCTGATGCTTGTCGGTTCTGTTTTTTATTACAAGTGTGAAAAACCATCTACTATTCAATGGTGAGTTAATTGTTAGTTCCGAGAATAATTTTCTTCCTTTGGTTACCAATCATTCAAATCAATTCTAAACCTTTAATCTTTACCATTAGTCGTGATATGGTCAAGAATTCGGTTGATTTACAAAATATCGATTCGATAAAAGTCGCTGACTTGATTGGCCTTCGTACAATTCTCGGAGAAATAGAGTAAATATTATTTTGATTTACTATTAACTGAACTAAGTTTTTATTTTATTTCTTTTTTTGTTTTGATTGAAAAGCGAATCAAACTGGAAATATATCGATATGGATCGTTATCAGAAAGTTCGTGAACAAGTTGATAAATTAAAAGGTTATAAAGATTGTGTCACTTATAAGGATTGTGTACCCGAGACATGTCCTTCCGAAATCGCGTCGGTCACGATGGATAAAATCAATCTTGGTGATTTGAAGAAACGATTAAAAGTCCGAGTTAGAAGGCCGAAACTTGAGCTTAGACCAGATCAGTTTCAAAATTTTGAAACTCTTCATGCCGATGAATCTTTTGAGATTGAACTTTCTTGTTTACCCTTGGCTATTGATCAAGATGATGAAGTTCTTGCCTCAGATGATTCAGTCACTTGGTATCAGTGTATTGAAAGTTGCAAGAAGATCAGAGGATTTACATTTTTGCGATTTGTTGTTAGTAATAAAAATAACGGTACTTTAAAGATCAGAAAGATTGAGCTAAGAGATACCGCGATTTACGTTTGTACCCAATTTCATCAAATTCGTGGTGTGATTCGTCTTCAGGTCTTTTCTTCAACCGCAATTTTCGATATTCGAACTCCTGTTGGCTCAATGTTCATGAGCACCATTCTTATTTCCGGGTTGTATTTTATTTTCATCCCTTTCCGTTTAGGACTATTCAAGTATCTGGTCAAACTTTTTCGAAAGTTACGACTACGAAAACGAGGCTACAAACCGATTGAAAAAGTAAACAAAAAGGTGACCAAAGGTCAGAAAAAAGGGAAGATTAAAAAAGATGTAATGGAAAAGAAAGATGTAGTTTGATTCAATTCTGATCAGTTCGACAATCGATTTGAACTTTCCAATCAACAATAATGTTCAGATAATTGAATCGAAATCGAAAGAAAAAATGTAATATTAAAAGTCGAAAGCAAATATTAAATTGTTACCATTTAATTAAATCTGTTCTAATTAATTGTGATCACACAATTATTACGATTCGTGTTTTTTTGATGGAAACATTGAGAAAGAACCTGAAGTGCTACAGAGAAATCGAGACGCTCATTCGAAAGCTTTTTGAGTTCTGCACCAACATAGAATAGAACCAATGTTGTAAGGATCAAAAGTCAAAAGTTATAATTTTTTCAAATTTTCTCTTTTGGCTTTGTCTTCTTTTCGTATCCTTCAACTATTATAATATTAGTATTGTTTAACAGTTACATTGTTGTTAAAAAGAATCTAAATAGAGAGAGAGAGAGAAATAGTCGTGTAAAGAAATTTAAAGTAATCGTACGTCCACAGAAATGACCTGGTCTGTGACATACGATCGTATGGGAGCCAAGAACGCATTCGTGAAGTTAAGTTAGCAAGTGGCGGGTTTTAGCTCTTCATATACGAAACCAATTGTATAAGCTTAGCGTTCATGTTGATCGCTCGCCCCTTGTTAATTTTTACAGCATTTCTCATTAACTTTCGACGAGTTATCAAGTGGTTAAGTCGAGTTCCTATTTGGATTAGTCAACCTTATAGATATAAGCATGTTTACTAAAATAAGTACTTGGAGATGAAAACAATTAAATTGTGATTTGAAACCATTTTTTTTAATTGTCTTCTTAATTAGAAAGCTACTTGAATAATTGTTCCAAGAAGTTGACCAAATGAATTGATAATCTGCAAATCTAATTGGAAACTAATTGAAAAAAGTCTGCCATCTATCAGGTTGACTAATCCAAATGGGAACTAATTTAACCTCTTGATAGCTCGGCGAATGTTACTGAGAAATGCTGTATTGAGTATCTCAGACTATCAATTGTGTAGAGTTTCATAAATCAATTTTTCGTTTCTCTCAGGAATCTTTATGACAATTAGGTCTATTATTCAAATGGATCAATCATCGATTGGACTCAATCGCCAAAGGAGTTAAAAAGAAGAGAATTTATTTTGATAGTTTCTCTTAACATATTATAATGATAGATTAATCATTTAACTTTATCTATTGCGGATCATCATTATCAAATGAGATACTCTTCGCATATTAACTAATATATGCTCGTAATTATATTCGATCTTTAGTTCGGTCATTAGAAAAGTGGTTCAGGTACAACGTAATGAAATCTTTGAAAGGAAACAAAGATTCTTCATTAAACTTGAGGCAAGTTTACCGATTGATTATCGGTTTACCTCGGGATGACATCGATATCAGAGAACAGACCATCAAGTCCCTTTTTCGGTTCAATGTGTTCGTCGAGATTTTCCTTGTACCTCATCTTGGTTATTATTTAGAGGGAACAACCAAATTATTTATTATGAATTATTACAAACTTAGGATTAATATACTTCGAGTTTTCTTTCTTGTTTATATTTTACGCTCACTTTTTTTGCTTTCAACTGAAAAAGAGTCTATCCAAATCGCTTTAGGAGATGTAGCTTTCCGTTCACAAGATCACATGGCAGTTAATTTAGCTATATTCGTTGGATTAACAAGTTTCATTATACTTCGAGAATGGATGATTTATATTGAAATGAAAGGTAAAATCATTTGGTACGAGTTTATTAATAAAATTCCTACGGTTTCAGATCCAAAATTTTATCGACTCACTGATCGGCGAATGAGAGAATATCTCAAATATGTTTTCATAAGTTCTACTTTCTTTAATCGGTTGATAATCGCTGCAATTCCGTTAAGCATTGCATTCGTAGCTGGTCCATTCATCGTTAACCCTTGGTTTTATAAGCTTGCTAAATTGCGAATCACTGTACTTCTATGGGGATTCATAACATTTTATTCAGCAGTGCACATAATTATTACATGTTACGGCATTGGGAATTTTTTTGCATACATCGTATCTTATTATACTTCTCGATTATTATCTTGTATTGATATTGCTATCGCATTACGATACAATAGCAATGGCGTGAATATTACTAGACTTTTAAAGGAAATTGACGGATATTTTTACAATTTAACTAAAACAGCTGATTCGCTTCGGTACATATTGTTGTTAAGTTATGTTGCTGCAGTTGTAACTGCAGATACATTCCTCTTCTTTGGTTTAATTTTTCAAACGAATTCGAAACTTTTTTCTCATGGTGCTACATTTGTGGCGATGCTTCTTATTTTCTTTCCTGCATTGATTTCATATATTAATGGTCGTTGCGTGGTCAAAGTAAGTAAAGTAAATTAATGGCTGAGTTAAGGTCCTTATAATTGTCAATTTCTTCTTGTTTTCCAGCAACAAAGTTTGTGTGTTCATCTTTATGCGATAAGTAAATCAAGCAAGGCTAAAGTTTCAACGAAAATAAAGGTTCGATCAGAATACTTTAAGATCTCGAATCAGATAATGTTTTTTATCATTAGATTCTCAATACAATGGATCGATTGTTATTTCCTGGAAATGGTATCAAACTTGGCCATTTAGTCAACATGGATAATGAATTTTGGCTAAAGGTAAACATTATTAATATCACGTTAACTATAAATAGTAAACTTAAGTCCAAATATTTTGAATAAAATAATATTTTATATAATATTTTTACAGTTCATTCTGGAACTTGCTTCATCCCTCATGCTAATGATAATAAACCTAAGATCAATCATTAAATATTAAATACACTGCGTTTCAAAATATTAGGGACAGTAAGTAAAACACAATTAACAACAATTTAAATACTTTTTTCTTTCTAAATTGATAGAACATAAGTAGAAGATGATAGTTACCAATAATTAGAATTAAATTATTAACCATTGATGAGTAATAATTAAAACAAGGAAAACCAAGCGATCAACATGATCGCTTTTCTGAATAATTTTAGAAGATGGAATTCACGAATGTCATCTTTTCTGTCTTTTTTATTGAAAATTTTGTCAACCTTAATTTAAACAGAGTAGTTAATCGTATCTTTGATTAACCTCTCAAAGTTTCAATATCCCAGGGCGTGCGGTTGATACAATTGAAAAACTTACATTCATCTGATGCTCTTTCTTTTCTCTTCCCCTTTCATTGCCTCGAACGTCATAATTCATCCCTTCTCTCTCTCCCCTTTTCTCTTTCTTTTCCATCTAATCCTCTTATTAATCTAATTAACATTTTAATTTAGTCAATTTAACGCCCCGTTTTTTTCATTAATTAATAACTTTTGACCCTGACCCCCTATGACATTGGTTCTATTTTTTGTTGTTGAAGATTTTTGTCTTCTTTCTGTTAATATGTTTTCCATATCTGTACGGCTCCTAGTTTTTCTTAAATCTTTATATAAAAAATCGTGAATCGTAATAATTGTTTGTTGATTGATTACCTTTTCTCTCATTGTAAAAACAGTTTTACATTATTAAGGACAGTAGCTTTTCCTATGGAGATTTAACATGGTGAAAGGTGAGTAAATTAGTCTAAAGCAACAATGAACTTAAAAATTGAAACTTTTTTAATTTTTTTTTGCTCCCATCATAATAATTGATATTTTCTGTATAAAATCCCAAAATATAAAAATTTTTAATCAAATTAAAATAGAGAAAAACTGGAAAATGAAAAAAATTAGGATTTTCCAGCGATTTACCCTACTTACTTGCAGAAGATTCACTTTGATGATTGTAATCAAATTTTTCTTTATTTTAATTTGATTAAAAATTTTTTATATTTTGGGATTTTATACAGAAAATATCAATTATTATGATGCGAGCAAAAAAAATGAAAAAAGTTTCAGAATGAGCTGATAAAACACCAAGCAAAGTTTCACTAATTTGATAAATCAAACAGTCGAATAAAAAATTGAATAAAATACATTGTACACTATCTATGGTAGATTTAAATTGTCAAACTATTAATAATTAATAACTTGAAATGAAAATATAATTAATGGCTATTGAATACAATATCTACATGGTTGGTTTTTCCTTATTTTAAGTTCAAGTTTCATGTTAGACGAGAAAATATCAATCAGTGATCGAAGGCTAGATCGAGAACTAAGAAGCGATCACCAAGATTCGAGAAAGAAAAATCAAGAACAAATCGAATCTAATTTAAGATATTAATTGTAGCATCTTGCGAATCATAATCTTGTTTATATCGATCTATTTATTCTATTGATGGTTAATTTTAATTGTCTTCTATTAGTATAATTAATTGGCAAATATGAGATTAGCATCATTTGTTGTTGTTGATCAAAATGGTTAATGATGATTGTCAAGCTTGATGAGTTTTCTTGTTCATCAACAACTGTAAATATAAATGTATTAAACAACAGTTAAATTAAAAGATAAATTATTGATTTCATTACAATTTATATAAATTTGTATATAGATGACGCTGTTTGCTTGTTTTACCAATATGAGGATTTTAATTAGACATCAATTAGAATGGTTAGTTTAATTAGATGTTAATTAATTAATTATTTAATTAGTTGTTGATACCAAGTTAATCATGTAATCATCATTATTATAGTCAAGTGGTTGTTTAAATTGATTTTAAGAAAAGTTATTCAATGTAAATGTTTACAAATTATTTGCTCATCATCAAAAGCTATTAATGATAATCAATAGCAAATTATTATCTCTTTACAGTATTTAAATTGTGATTAAGGGAGATGACAGTTGTATTGAGCGTTGGGATGATGATTACAGATTCGTATTTCCAGCAATCAACGGTGCGCATTATGATTACAATGAATCTCTCTCAGCATACAAAACAATTAAAGTAGGAAACGTAGGCGATAACCTGGCAATCTCTTGTTTAGTGGACGATAAAAATGACCAATATAACCTCTTTCAACTGCATAAGAAGTACAAATGGCTTTATAATAGATTCGATTCTGACTCTTGGATAAGCTGGATAGAATTGGCCCCAGTTGAAAGAGGAAAATATTCAAATTCGAAAGTAAACTATACGGTGGGTTTATGATTCGAATTGATTGTTGTTAAAATAGATTTGAGAACTCGAGGTAAATTCAAGTGTGTTCGTAAAGATGATAAAACAAAAAATGAGATTGAAATCATTGTCGATGTTGAGCCAAAGGCAGAAATCGATGAGTCCGGTTGTGTAAAAAAGTCAGAAATGGACTTGAAATTGGATCGTGAAACCTTCAGAGTACTTTTACTTTCAGGGTTCCTTGAGAGTTTCACCAATGCTTGGAAAATCGACTATAATCTGGCCGATGATATAATAGAAAAGCCTTTGGAACTTAAATACGTTTGGGTTCATCAACCGGCGCTCGTTTGGTATGAAATTTTAGGTAATGAGACTTCTACTAATGGGACTCGAAAAAGTGTTTCCAAGCTGATGGTTGTCGGTTCTGTTTTTTATTACAAGTGTGAAAAAACTACTAATATTAAGTGGTGAGTTAATTGTTTAGTTTAGAGAATAATTTTCTTCCTTTGATTCTCAATCATTCAAATCAATTCTAAACCTTTACCATTAGTCGCGATATGGTCAAAAATTCGGTTGGTCTCGAAAATATCGATTCGATAAAAGTTGCTGACTTGATTGGCCTTCGTTCAATTCTCGGAATATTTGAGTAAATATCATTTTGATTTACGATTAACTGGACTAAGTTTTTACAGTGTGTTATGAAATGCACTTTAACTGTTTGATTTAATTTCACAGCATCATGAGCGATTCTAGAAATTTTTTGTTAGTGAATTTTTGTCGACAATAAACCAACTTAGATATACCTGAGGTCATTTCAATTTTATCGCATTTTACATTGAGAAAATCCACGTACAAACAAAATTTGAAACTATCAATTCAAATGAAAATTTTTCTAAGAAGACTATTATTTTGGACTGAATTTTTTGTTGAGTACTTTTCATTAGTCGGTCCTTGCAACGCCGGGTTAGTTGTTGACAAGTTCACATTAGTTCTTGAAAAATTTCACTTCTAGTAAAAATTGGGTATTTCGGACTCAATAAAATCAGTGTCAATTCTCAGTAAATGAATATATCGTCGAAATAAAAGTGTTTCAATACTTCAGAAGAAACCCTAGATAGTCATTCAGTACTAAAAAATTTCTATCACAAAGAGCAAAAGACTTAGCTCTTCAATGCGTTTCAATGGGAGACGAATTCACTGCGTAAAAGATTGAACTTGGAGTTGATACTGTGAGACACCCGTTTTTCGTATTGAATTTTCTTTATCATATATTATTTCTACAACCTTTCACAGTATTTTGCAGAAAAAAAATTGGAAAATGCACAAACCCCTACCGCACGATAGCTTCTCAAAGTGTTAAAGTCCTTTTCATAACACACTGTATTTTCTTTCTTTTTTTTGTTTTGATTGAAAAGAAAACCAAGATGGAATTATATCGACAAGGCTCGATATGAGAAAGCTCGTAAGCATGTTGATAAAATTAAAGGTTATAAAGATTGTGTCACTTATAAGGATTGTGTACCCGAGACATGTCCTTCCGAAATCGCGTCGGTCACGATGGATAAAATCAATCTTGGTGATTTGAAGAAACGATTAAAAGGTCCCGTTAGAAGGCCGAAACTTGAGCTTAGACCAGATCAGTTTCAAAATTTTGAAACTCTTCATGCCGATGAATCTTTTGAGATTGAACTTTCTTGTTTACCCTTGGCTATTGATCAAGATGATGAATATTTAGCCTCAGATGATTCAGTCACTTGGTATCAGTGCATTGAAAGTTGTAAGAAGATCAGAGGATTTACATTTATGCGATTTGTTGTTAGTAATAAAAATAACGGTACTTTAAAGATCAGTAAGATTGAGCTAAGAGATACCGCGATTTACGTTTGTACCCAATTTCATCAAATTCGTGGTGCGATTCGTCTTCGGGTCTTTTCTTCGACCACAATTTTCGATATTCGAACTCCTGTTGGCTCAATGTTCATGAGCACCATTCTTATTACCGTGTTGTATTTTATTTTTATCCCTTTCCGTTTAGGACTATTCAAGTATCTGGTCAAACTTTTTCGAAAGTTTCGATTACGAAAACGAGGCTACAAACCGATTGGAAAAGTAAACAAAAAGGTGACCAAAGTGACCAAACGTCAGAAAAAAGGGAAGATGAAAGAAGATGTAATGAAAAAGAAAAACGTAGTTTGATCCAGTTCTAATCAGTTCGACTATCGATTTGAACTTTCCAATCGACAATCGACGTTCAGATAATTAAATCAAAATCGAAAGAAAAAATGTAATATTAAAAGTCGAAAGCAAATATTAAATTGTGATTTGAAACCATTTTTTTTAATTGTCTTCTTAATGAGAAAGCTACACTGTAATTGACTAATTGTTCCGAGAAGTTGACCAAATGAATGATAATCTGCCAAACTCATTGAAAACTAATTGAAAAAAACTCTGCCATCTATCAGGTTGACTAATCCAAATGGGAACTCGATTAAACCTCTTGGTAACTCGGCGAAAGTTACTGAGAAATGCTATATTGAGTATTTCAGACTATCAATTGTGTAAAAATTCATAAATCAATTTTTCGTTTCACTCAGGAATCGTTATGACAATTAAATCTATTATTCAAATGGATCAATCATCGATCGAACTCAATCGCCAAAGGAGTTAAAAAGAAGAGAATTTCTTATGATAGTTTTTCGTATTATATTAGAATGATAGGTAAATCATTTAACTTTATCTATTGCGGATCGTCATTATCAAAGGAGCAACTCTGCAAATATCAACTAATATATGCTCGTAATCATATTCAATTTGCGTTCGATCATCAGAAAAGTGGTTCAGTTGGAACATAATGAAATCTTTGAAAGGAAAAAAAAATTCTTCATTTGAAAACTTGAGGCAAGTTTACCGATTGATTGTCGGTTTACCTCGGGATGACATCGATATCAGGGAACAGACCATCAAATCACTTCTTTGGTTCAATGTGTTCTACGAGATTTTCCTTATACCTCATCTTGGTTATTATTTAGAGGGAACAACCAAATTATTTATTGTGAATTATTACAAACTTAGGATCAACATACTTCGAGTTTTCTTTCTTGTTTATATTTTACGCTCAATTTTTTTGCTATCATTTGAAAATGAGTCTACCCAAATCGCTTTGGGAGATGTAGCTTTCCGTTCACAAGATCACATGGCAATTAATTTAAATATATTCGTTGGATTAACAAGTTTCATTATACTTCGAGAATGGATGATTTATATTGAAATGAAAGGTAAAATCATTTGGTATGGGTTCATTAATAAAATTCCTACGGTTTCAGATCCAAAATTTTATCGACTCACTGATCGGCGAATGAGAGAATATCTCAAATATGTTTTCATAAGTTCTACTTTCTTTACTCGATTGATAATCTCTGCAATTCCTTTCAGCCTTGCATTCGTAGCTAGTCCATTCATGATTAACCCTTGGTTTTATAAGCTTGCTAAATTGCGAATCACTGTACTAATATGGGGATTCATAACATTTTATTCAGTAGTGCACATAATTATTACATGTTACGGCCTTGGAAACTTTTTTTCATACATCGTAGCTTATTATACTTCTCGATTACTATCTTGTATTGATACTGCTGTCGCATTACGATACAATAGCAATGGCGTGAATATTACTAGGCTTTTAAAGGAAATTGACGGATATTTTTACAATTTAAATAAAACAGCTGATTCGATTCGGTACATATTATTGTTAAGTTACATAGTTGGAGTTGTCACTGCAGATATATGCATCTTCTTTGGTCTAATTTTTCAAACGAATTCGAAAGTTTTTGCTCATAGTGTTACATATATGGCGATGATTCTTATTTTCTTTTTTGCGTTGATTTCGTATATTAATGGTCTTTGCGTGGTCAAAGTGAGTAAAGTAAATTAATGACTGAGTTAAGGTCCTTGTAATTGTCAATTTCTTCTTGTTCCCCAGCAAGAAAGTTTGTGTGTTCATCTTTATGCGATAAGTAAATTCAGCAGGACAAAAGTTTCAACGAAAATCAAGGTTCGATCATAATACATGAACTTTTATTAAGATCTCGAGTCAGATAATGTTTTTTATCATTAGATTCTCAATACAATGGATCGATTGTTATTTCCTGGAAACGGTATCAAACTTGGTCATTTAATCAACATGGATAATGAATTTTGGCTAAAGGTAAACATTATTCCTATCAGGTTAACTATATAAATATTAAAATCAAGTCCAAATATTTTGAATACAATTTTTTCACAGTTCATTCTGGAGGTTGCGTCATCCCTCATGTTAATGATAATAAACCTAAGATCAATATTGCAATAGTTGATCGTTACCAAGTTATTGACAAATCAGCTGTTGGAATTTCCTGCCACCAAAATTCACCATTCGAGACCAAACCACACACGACAGAATGAGCTAATAAAACACCAAGCAAAGTTTCACTAATTTGATAAATCAAACGGTAGAAAAAAAATTGAATGCAATATATTGCACACTATCCATGGTAGATTTAAATTGTCAAACTAATAAATAACTTGAAATAAAAATACATTTAATGGCTACAATTGAATACAATATCTACGGTTTTCCATATACGAGAAAATATCAATCAGTGATCGAAGGCTAGATTGAGAACTAAGAACCGAGTACCAAGATTCGAGAAAGAAAAATCAAGAACAAATCGAATCTAATTTAAGATATTAATTGTAGCATCGTGCGAAATCATAATCTTGTTTAAATTAATCTAATTCTATTGGTGGTTAGTTTTAATTGTCTTCTTCTATTATTAGTATAATTAATTGATAAATATGAGATTAGCATCTTTTGTATTGTTAATACAATTTGGATAAACTAAATTGTGTGAGAATAATTTTCTGATCAAAACTACAATCAATTGATTATCTTTATTTTAAATCAATTAGTTGATGAGGGAATGATAAATCTGTGAGAAGAAATTAAAAACTTAAATCACATAGAAATTAATTGCAACCATAATCAGTAATTACAATGAGATATAATCAATCAACAATCATAAAGTAATCAATCAGTAAATTTAATCATTATAATCCAATGAGAGTAAATAAAAAAAAAGGTAATAACCTTAATTGTTAGGTTGATTAAAAGATTAATAATATTCTATGGATTGAATTAAATCAATTGTTCATCTAATTGTTAACCAGAACCGTTGTTGTTGTTGTTGATCAAAATGGTTAATGATGATTGTCAAGGTTGATGAGTTTTCTTGTTCATCAACAACAGTAAATATATTAAACAACAATTTAGTTAAATTAAGGGATAAATTGTTGATGGTTTGAGATAATCATCATCTTGGGTTTCCCTTTTTTCTTGCTGATTCAGTTGATTATGTTTGTGATGTTGATTTGATAATTGACCAAAATGGTAAAGGTAAATTCAATTGAACGGAGGGCCAGCACGCGTTAATCATCTGTGTGTGACCTCAGGTAACCAGGGACAGATGGTTAGAACTCAATTTAATCATTTTCGGGGCTCTCGATGGTGAATAACCTTTAGCATCCTCATCCCTCTTTCTTTATCATCCTTTTGTTGGGATACACGGTAAAGATACGATGTAATAGTGGAATTGAAGATCCTTTCAAAAATTTGAACCATTTGAGCTTCTTTTTATCGCCATCATCTTTGTGTCTCTTTAAAAATTCGTGAATGGAAAAAGGTCAAAATCTTTTGTGATGATAATTCACCTGGTGAAAGCCGATCGGTCGAGAGAGAGAGAGAGAGAAAGGGAAATTATCAACAAAGACTTTTTTTCGAATCAAGTTGAAAACCATTGAGATTTTAAACTAGATATCGGGAGAAAGGCTTACCTATCGTCCACCTTACAAAGTGACCTCTTTTTTGCTTCTTTTTCACCTTAGTTGCTTTTCCTGTTGAAGGTTTACGCTTTTTCCGTCATCTCTACGGAAGTGATCTGATCTTTTAACGCTTGTTTAAAGGGACCTAAGATGATGATGGTTCTATGTAAGGAAAATGATACTGAAGAAACTCCGGAAATGGTGCAGATAAAAAAGCGACTTCAACTTGTCATCATTTCGTTAATTATTCCTCTTGTTGCTTGTCGCCCTCTGGAAGATATAAAAATGGGGAAAAATATATTAATTAATATAATTTAGAGTAATTATCGTTGAAGAAAAAAATCTTCTCTGGATTATTTAAAAAGAGATAGAAAGTTATTCAATGAAATAATTATACTAAATGTTGGTTATATCATTCATTTGTATTTCAAATGGTCTTTTAAATTAGTTAGAGTAACGAGAGTAAAGGTCATCCATTCATGACGAGAACCTTGACCAAAACCAGTTCCTTTTGAAGAAGAGGAGAAATACAAAGATAATGATGATAAAAATAAAGAGAGAAAATTACTGTTCAATGATAGTAAATAGTTGATGACCTAGTGGAGTAAATAACCTCTGTGGCCTGTGGTTGACCTTCGTGTTATCCGTAAATACTTACGAGAGAGAAGAGAGAGACTGTCATTCAAAAGGTAAAACTGTCTACAGAATCCAAAAAGAGATTAAAAGAAAAAAAATCATCAACATGCTACAGTTTAGCTCGTGTTATGAAGCCTTTGCACGCGCAAAAGTTAAGATGATAAAGAGAGCGAGAGAAAGAGAGAGAGAAAACTGGATCTAAAGAGCCAATAAAGATACAGAGACACACGCGTCCTCCATCTGCGATGTAAACTGTTACCAGGAGTCGAACCCGAAATGACCCATAGGATATTCAGGCTACATTTTCCTCCGTCGGTGAAGTGACTTGTCTTTTTCCATATGTTTTCTTAATGGTAAAGTTCCTTTCCGTTTCTCTTTCTCTTCCATTGATTAATTCGAAATTTCTTCACTTGCTCTCTCTCTCTCTCTTACTTTTTCTTTCTCCATCCTCTTGTTATCATCTATTCTCACTTATTGATATACTTTAAAGAAGTAGAATCAAGAGAAAACCTGATCATTATCATGATCATCAAGGAGAACAAAAACAGAATTTAATTCTCATCGGTAAACATTATCATTAATATTTCCATTGTTTTTGGAAAATCAAATCAATCGGAAAAAGCAAAAAACATCCATAGGCCTTGAATGTTTGCAATTAACCGAATCCAATTTGCTCCAATTGATAAACTTGAAAACAAGTTAATTGTTGATGGTTTTCTTTGTTTACAATTGTTAAATTATCATCATCATGTTATTGTTATCTTATCCCATCTTGTTAATTGCAACGAGACTTGAATAATTA